CCAGTTTCCTCCGACAGAGGCCCCGTTGCAGACGCTTCACATGGACGTGTGGGGCCCAGCCCGCGTCCGTGGACAGGGTCAGGAGCGCTACTTCCTGCTGGTGGTTGACGACTACTCGCGTTACACCACAGTCTTCCCCTTGCGCAGCAAGGGTGAGGTCACTGAGGTGTTGATCGCCTGGATCCGCGCAGCTCGTCTTCAGCTTCGGAGGAGCTTTGGCTCTGACTTCCCTGTTTTGCGTCTGCACTCGGACAGAGGCGGAGAGTTCTCCTCTGGCCTCCTGAGTGCCTACTGTCGTGTGCGAGGCATCCGTCAGACCTTCACGCTTCCGGACTCACCACAGCAGAATGGGATTGCTGAGCGCCGCATTGGCATGGTCATGGACGTCGCTCGTACGTCCATGATGCATGCGGCTGCTCCCCATTTTCTGTGGCCGTTTGCGGTCAGGTACGCTGCGCACCAGATCAACCTCCACCCCAGGGTCTCTCGACCAGAGACCTCCCCAGCCCTGCTGTGGACGGGGAAGGTTGGCGATGCGTCGGCGTTCCGGGTCTGGGGATCTCGGGCGTTTGTTCGCGACCTGTCTGCGGACAAGCTGTCCCCTCGTGCTTCTCCCTGCGTCTTCCTGGGGTTCCCCCCCGACGCCCCTGGGTGGCAGTTTTACCACCCCTCCTCTCGACGTGTTCTGTCCTCCCAGGACGTCACGTTCGACGAGTCGGTACCCTACTACCGCCTCTTCCCCTACCGCACTCCGTCCCTCCCCCCGCCCCCGCTCTTCTTGGTACCAGGCCCCCCCCCGGTAGTCCCCCTCCCCCCTCAGGGTCCTGCCCCTTCAGGTGTGTCCCAGGTAGACGCGGTCGAGCCTGTCGAGGTCACTGGTGACTCTGGTGCTGCTGCGGGAGCTGAGCCTGAGGGTGCGGGGTCTGGGGGTGCTGAGCCTGGGGGTACTGTGCCTGGGGGTGCTGAGCCTGGAGGTGTCGAGCCTGGGGGTGCTGTTCCTGGGGGTGCTGAGCCTGGGGGTGCTGAGCCTGGGGGTGCTGAGCCGGGGGGTGCTGTGCCTGGGGGTGCTGAGCCTGGGGGTGTTGAGCCTGGGGGTGCTGTGCCTGGGGGTGCTGAGCCTGGGGGTGCTGAGCCTGGGGGTGCTTCGTCTCGCCGGGAGCCACTCTCCCCACAGGAGCTGCGTGAGTGGTTTACCAGACGCTGGAGGCGTGCTGCTGGTGCTGGTGGTTCTTCGCCTGCAGTGGGTACTGCTGCCGCGCGTCCCGACGGTGCTCGTACTGTGGGTGCTGGAGCTGCTCGGTCTGAGAGTTCTCCTGGAGCTGGTGCTGCTGAGGGTGTTGACGCTGAGCCTGCCGCTGGTGGTCCGACTGACAGTGCTCCTGGTGCTGCTGCTAGGGGTTCTGGAGCTTCTGGAGGTGCTGCTGGAGGTGCTGCTGGCGTGGGTGCTCCTGACGGGGGGACTGGTGCTGTTCCTGCTGTTTCTGGTGTCGCCGTGCGGCCTCGACCGTACTTCGTTCCGCTCCTACAGCAGGTTCTTGGTCTTGCACCTCCTCCTGCTTCCTTAGAGGGTCCACAGCCTGTTCGGTCACAGCCACAGCTACAGCGTGCCTCCTCTTTGCCTGCTCCTTCTCCCTACGCTGGTCCGACTGGAGGTCTTACTGAGCGTCGTGAGCCTGCGTCTCGTCCTGCGTCGCCTGTTCGTACTGAGCGCACTAGTGGTCGCGGGTCGCGTCAGCGTCCTCCTCCTGTCCCTGGCACGCACCGGATGTCAATGCGTCCGTCCACTGCTCCTCTGCGTGCCCCTTTGCCTTCTCCTCCTGCTTCCTCTCTTCCTGCTCTTGCCGACCCGGAGTCGGACTCTCTTCGTGCTGCCAGTCCTACTGTCACGCGTCTCCTGGCTACTGCAGTCACTGACCCTTCCTTTGAGTCGTCTGCTGCGTCTGCCCTTGTCACTGAGCTTGTCGACTTTGCTGCGCGCTGTCGTCTAGACTACGCTGCTCGTCTTGTCGCTAAGTCTGAGTCCGCCTGTCCTCCGTCCGTCGGGGGTGAGTGTGCCCTTGGCACGGACGTCCTAGAGGACAGGCAGGAGGAGTTACAGTGTCTAGCGGCTGCTTCACCTCATCTCGCGTCTGTACTGCTTGCCCCTGAGGGAGACCCGGATGCACTAGACATCCCGACTCCGCGTTCTTACGCGGAGGCCGTAGAGGGTCCCTACTCCTCTCAGTGGCAGGCAGCTATGGATGCAGAGATGGCTTCCTGGAAGTCCACAGGCACCTACGTTGACGCGGTTCCCCCTCCTGGGGCGAACATCGTCAGTGGCATGTGGATCTTCAGGGTGAAGCGGCCGCCGGGCTCCCCGCCTGTCTTCAAGGCGCGTTACGTGGCTCGTGGCTTCAGTCAGCGGCAGGGAGTTGACTACTTTCAGACCTTCTCTCCCACCCCGAAGATGACCACTCTTCGGGTGCTGCTGCACATTGCCGCTCAGCGCGACTACGAGCTTCACTCCCTCGACTTCAGCACTGCGTTCCTGCAGGGTAGCCTGCACGAGGAGATCTGGCTGCGCCGTCCGCCTGGCTTCACTGGGACTTTCCCTCCTGGCACCCAGTGGAGCCTCCGACGGCCAGTCTACGGTCTCCGCCAGGCACCGCGTGAGTGGCACGACACACTGAGGACTACGCTTGCGGCTCTTGGGTTTGCTCCTTCTACTGCTGACCCGTCGCTGTTTCTTCGCACCGACACTTCCCTGCCGCCGTTCTACATCCTCGTGTACGTCGACGACTTGGTCTTTGCCACAGCGGACACTGCTGGACTCGCCTACGTGAAGTCCGAGCTGCTGAAGAGACACACGTGCACAGACCTGGGTGAACTGCGCAGCTACCTTGGCTTGCAGATCACTCGGGACAGAGCACGTCGCACCATTACCCTGACTCAGTCACACATGGTGCAGCAGGTCCTTCAGCGCTTCGGCTTCACGTACTCCTCGCCTCAGGCCACTCCTCTGCCTACTCGCCACTCACTCTCAGCTCTGCCTTCGGATGAGTCCGTAGAGTCGAGTGGTCCGTATGCAGAGCTTGTTGGCTGCCTCATGTACCTGATGACCTGCACACGACCTGACCTTGCATACCCTCTGAGCATTCTTGCACGCTATGTTGCTCCTGGGAGACACAGACCGGAGCACATGGCTGCAGCGAAGAGGGTATTGCGCTACCTGTGCAGTACGTCGGGCATGGGGCTAGTGCTTGGAGGGCGGAGTCCAGTGGTCCTTACCGGCCACGCAGACGCTTCTTGGGCTGACGACCAGGCTACGCAGCGGTCGTCACAGGGTTACACCTTCAGCCTTGGTTCCGGTTCTGTCTCGTGGCGGTCTACTCGCTCGTCTTCGGTTCTCGGCTCTAGTTGTGAGGCTGAGATCTAAGCCGGGGCCATGGCTGCACAGGAGCTTCGCTGGCTCACCTACCTGCTGACCGACCTTGGAGAACCGCCTCGTTCTCCTCCAGTGCTGTACGTAGACAACAAGGCCATGCTGGCCTTGTGTCGAGAGCAGCGCTTGGAGCACAGAACGAAGCACATTGCTCTCCGCTACTTCCTTGCTCGTGAGCTGCAGCAGCGTGGTCAGTTGCGACTTGCTTACGTGGCCTCTGAGGCCAACACTGCTGATGTGTTCACCAAGGCACTTGCGCCTTGTGACCATCAGCGCTTTTGTACCCAGCTGGGTCTTGTACCTGTCTTGCCTCACTTGCTCTCTTCTTGACTTTACTTGTACTTTGTCATATATATACCTGCTCCTGCTTGTCTAGTTTTATATATATGTCTGTACTCCTGCATGTGAACTGGCCTCTGGCCCTGCTCTTGTGCTCGGACTGTGTGGTGACTTTGTGATCCACCCTGAGCTTGCTTTGCTTTGCTTTGTTTGACTGGTCTTGTGACCCCTTGTTCTCCCCCACTTTGCCTATGGGGGTGTGTCAGATTATTATAGCTGATGCATGTTTGTAGGCTATAGTGGGGTAGCACATATGGGGTACAGTTTGCTAGGGTTGTATTTGTACCCAACTCTGACTTAGTCAATTCATTCCTGTTCAGTTAGTTTCACAGTTGCCTTGGGTCTTGTTGCCGTACCCTCCTCTGTCTGTAGGCCAGAGGCAAGAGGTGGAGTAGGAGTAGTGCCGGGAGAACCAATAGAGGAGCTCCTTTCCTTCTGAGTAGCCATGTCTTTTGATGTTGTAGGTGTTTTGATAGTTGAATTCCCCCTGATAGCTCTCATACCATGTTGGGTTGAGAAAAGCCCTTAGGATCTTTGCAGGGGTGAACTCTGGGTAGGACTGATGTAAATAGTGGAAGCGTTTAATGGAGAGTTGTGAACCACCTTGCGCTAGTATGTGAGGGAAAAGTAGATTGATTAAGGCAAAGAGATACAGGATTTTATAAGAGTACAAGGAATACGAAGAGATACAGTTATAACCGCTTTACCGTTACTGTTGCGGTTCAATACAGTGACGACTCGGGCAACTGCTCTATAGCGAGTCAGTTGTGTGTCCTTGCTGTCGCGCAGTACTTGTCAGGTCAAAGGTCGCTGTCCTTTGACTTTCGCGTAACCTCCAGCAGTTGCTCAACCTCCGAGGGTTGACTCGCTAATGCTGCGATATGTTGTGCTTCACTTGTGCCTTGGTGTTTCGACACTACAGAGGCGCTTAGAATTAGTTGTTTCCAACATAATCTGCTCGGTGGTGGTGCTGAGGCTGTGGGCAGAGGTAGCATGGTAGAAAGCACAGGAGAGACACTTTTGGAAGAGTGACCCGCTGGTGCTCTCGTTGTAACTTGACATCAATAGCATGTTACAACGCATTTACCCTCTTGTACCCTCTGCCTTTCCTCTTTCTATAAGGCATCTTTAGGTTTGCCTTGATGTAGAAAAAAAAAGAGCTTTCACAGCAGTATGTACACACGATAACATCAGCACCAGGTATAGAAGACAGTGCCATCCTCTACTCTCGGTGTCATCTTCACGCCGTGACACACTCCTGGAACCTGATGCCCCTCCCCTCATGCCGCCAAGCTTGCTTGGGCGAGGCTTTGTCCTGCTTGTAGCTGGAGCAGAGGGAATTGTCCTCCTTATACGTTGCTGAAATACATGCAAAACTGGCTGCTTTGCGTAAGCATACAAGTTGTATGAGACCTGGTGTCGCATCGGTAATGGGGCCCCAAAATAATGGGAGGGAAGGCAGGGGTGGGGGCGAAGGGAATACAAGTGAGTACACGTAAGTTAGAGGGGAGTGTATGGGGCAAATGTGATGGCAACACGTGCACGGGAACTAGGAGGCACAAGGCGAATAGTGGCGCAGAAGGGCAGGGCAGAGAAGGAAAGAGCAGGGATGGAAGGGCATGGGGAGGGAGCGGAGGGGAGGAAGTGGAGGGAGGGATTAGGGAGGGAATGAAGGGGAGGGTAGGAAGGGGACGGAAGGAAAGGAAGGGAAGGAAGAGTAGTGGCAGGAAAGAGAAAGGCAAAGGAATTTGAGGGATGGGGGAAGGGGGAAGGGAAGTGGACGGGAGAGGAAGGGAGAGTGGGGGTAGGGGGGGTTGGTTACAGGAAGCAGGAATGGAGGGAAGAGAGGAGCAGAGAGGGAAGGGCGGGAAGAGAGGAGCAGAAAGGGAAGGGAGGGAAGAGAGGAGCGGGAGAGAAGGGAGAGAAGGGAGAGAAGGTAAGGGGGGAGAGAAGGGCGAGAAGGGAGGGAAGGGAGTGAAGGGAGGGAAGGGAGGGAAGGGAGTGAAGGGAGAGAAGGGAGAGAAGGGAGGGAAGGGAGAGACGGAAGATTGGAAGGGAGAAAAGGGTGGTAGGGATGGAAAAGATGGAAGGGAGAAAAGGGTGGTAGGGGGGAAGAGAAGGGCGGGTAGGGAGAGAAGGGAGAAAATAAAGAGAAGGCTGGGAAGGGAGGGAAGGGAGGGACGGGAGAGAAGGGAGAGATGGAAGAGAAGGGAGAGAAGGTAAGGGGGGAGAGAAGGGCGGGAAGGGAGAGAAGGGAGGGAAGGAGGGAAGGGAATGAAGGGAGGGAAGGGAGGGAAGGGAGGGAAGGGAGTGAAGGGTGGGAGGGAGAGAAGGGAGGGAAGGGAGAGAAGGGAGGGAAGGGATGGAACGTAGGGAGGGAACGTCGGGCGACGGAAAGGGGAATAGGGAGGCGGGAAGGGAAGTCTGGCGGCGGGAAATGGGAATCGGGCGGCGGAAAATGGGAATCGGGCGGCGGGAAGGCGCATCGGGCGGCGGGAAGGCGCATCGGGCGGCGGGAAGGCGCATCGGGCGGCGGGAAAGGGGAAGCGGGCGGAGGGAACGGGAATCGGGTGGCGGGAACGGGAATCCGGCGGCGCGAAAGGGGAATCGGACGGCGAAAAGGGGCGGTCGGCCGGCCCGCCCAATGGGCGGGAAAGGGGATTCAGGCGACGCGGAAGGGGAACCGGGCGGCGGGAACGTGAATCGGGCGACGGGAAAGGGAGTAGGGCCACGGGAAAGGGAGTAGGGCCACGGGAAAGGGAGTAGGGCGACGGGAAAGGGAGTAGGGCGACGGGAAAGGGAGTAGGGCGACGGGAAAGGGAGTAGGGCGACGGGAAAGGGAGTAGGGCGACGGGAAAGGGAGTAGGGCGACGGGAAAGGGAATCGGCCGGTGGGAAAGAAGAATCGGGGGGCGAGAAGGGGAATCGGCGGCGAGAACAGGGAGTCGAGCGGCGGGAAGGGGAATCGTGCAGCGTGACTGAGGTTTCGTGGCGGCGGGAAAGGGGAAACGGGCGGCGGGAAGGGGCACCAGGCGACGGGAAAGGGGAATCGGGCGTCGGCGAAGGAGAATCGGGCCGCAGAAAAGAGAATGGCTAAGGCGCCGCCATGGATGCATTCTCACTTTTGATGCGAAATGCTCCGCGTAATAGGTTCCAGAAAATAAACAATGGCTCTGTCGGCGTATGACCTAAGCGTGAGAAGCGCTATAATCGCAATGGCTTGCAGTGCTTTTGGAAGTTACATTTTTTAGTGATGACTATGCACGCTTTGGGAGTGGGGACAGTGGAGAGGAGGCACGTCCTTCAGTGTACTGTACTTTTGGCTAGGTATAAACTTTTGACGAGTTAGTCAGGTGAGAGGGGTTGGGTTTGAACTAGTCGCTGTGTTAAGAGGCCGAGAGACCCTGTAATCTGGTTACCACCATGTACCTTTTATTAACTTTTGGCCTTTCCCCTGCCAAATGTATACCGCTGCTTTAAAAATGAAACGCTGCAATGCTCCTCCGGTATGCTGCAGTGGGAGGGCGAAAACGGGTCACTGCATGGTGCTCCTCAAATCTCGACAGGCGTCGCGTTTCTAGGAATTTTGACACGGCAAAAGCAATGCGACCTTCCTCACAATGAGTGCAAAGGAGATTTCAGCCACAAAACGGTTTGGTCATTGAGATATTGATTGGTTGCGGTGACGTTGCTTGCTTCTGGAAGGTGCCGTGTGGATGGTCCTTACTCTTTGATGACGTGTCGAGCCCTCGACACCGCTTGCCCACAGCCGCTGCTTGAGCGTTCAACTGTTACGATTTCTTGTCGGTCGCGTATCTGCTCCTTGGTCGAATCGTTGGTCCGGCAAAACGCCATTGTATGGGCAGACGAAAAGTATTGGATGAGATTCGTGGCCAACATCTGCACTTTCTAGCCTCAACACCGCCCTTCACCATTTCGTAATGATTTCACTTCCATCGTTTCCACGGTCAATTTCCACTGCCCATGCCATAATCCTCGGTGGCCTTTCGATCTAAATCTGATCTTCGACAAGCTGTCAAATAAAACACGGCCCAGAAAGAACCGTTTGCATCTCCCCGTCCCTTCCATCCACTCCTGCCCTCCAATACAGCCAACCATTGCACTCCTCTTGATTGTCTCCAGAGGAATCCACCGCAACTGCCTCTTGATATTGCCGAACCTCGCGTCACGCGGGTTTCTCCGCCACTCGTTTTTCGTCTTGCCAGCTTTCCTCCGGGACCTTGGCTTTCCTCGAGCTTGGCTTCCCTTGGGTTGGCTTGGCTGCCCCAAGGTTTTCCTTGGCCTGGGGCTTCCTTGTCCTCCTGAAGCTTGGCTCTCCTAGAGGTCGGTCGTCTTTTGTTTGGTTTGAGTTCTTCAGAGACGGAACTCGACTCGCATTCTCAGGTTCCGCTCCCACACATCAGTTACGGGCGAGGAGGTGTGTGGTTGAGCGAACGTAAGGACAACAGTCCCTGTCCACCTTCTCGCCTGTGTCCTCGGAGCCAATCAGTTGAGCAAATCTGCTAGTGTTTTACTATCTTCTCGACCGGTTTGACCTTCAGAAGTAGCTCCCTCTCGTAGTTTCGCGTTTCCTGAAGTCTTCCGTGTTCGACGGCAGCATCTTGGCGTCCGATAGTCGACGTCTCTAGTGTAATCAGAACAGCTTTGCGAATAATCAAATATATCTGAAGCATCCTACGGCCCACCATTCCCGGCTGTCCCGCCATTGACGGATCCTCAGCCACGACCTATCGTAACTAATCTAGGGAGGACATCTTACAGTAACGTTTCCGTGCTGGAATACTGCGTTCTTTTTGTTGGGTCTATATTAAACTCTAACTTCCTTATTAAGGAGCTTTTTAGTTGGCGCAATTTCGCTATGGTGGACGACGAGATAATCTTCCCGGGCCACATCGACATGGGTGACATGGCGGATCTCATGGTCGGCGAGGCTGACCTAGACGGCTTTTCCGACGACGAGCTTGACGTGGACGAATTGGAACGCCGCATGTGGAAGGACCGCCTCAAGCTGAAGCGGATCAAAGACTGCCAGAAGATTAAGGATGCTCCGGAGGCTCAGGAGAATAAGGAGGACGAGGAGGAGGACGACGACTTTAAGCCGCGCCAGAAACAGTCGCAGCAGGATCAGGCTCGCCGCAAAAAGATGTCGCGAGCGCACGACGGGATTCTGAAGTACATGCTGAAGATGATGGAAGTCTGCAAGGCCCAGGTACCCATTATTACCAGCTCCGTTCAATGACGTGAAAGCGTTAGTTTATAAATCTCGTTAAACCTTTCGCTATTAAGTATGTTTCGCTTCGCAGCACACTGACCTGTCACTTTTTCGTCACATTTTGCGTTGCGTCTCGCGAAACCGTTTCTTGTGACAGGGTTTCGTGTACGGTATTATCCCGGAGAAGGGCAAGCCGGTGGGCGGAAGCTCTGACAACCTGCGCGCGTGGTGGAAGGACCAGGTGCGCTTCGACCGCAACGGGCCCGCCGCCATCGCGCGCTACAACGCGGAGCAGGCTGTAGCGGCCGGCAAGAAGGACCACCAGCCGGCAGGCCTACTACAGCTCACCACGCCAAACACGCTACAAGAGCTTCAGGATACGACGCTCGGGTCGCTGCTATCCGCGTTAATGCAGCATTGCGATCCGCCGCAGCGGAGGTATCCGTTGGAAAAGGGAAACCCCCCTCCGTGGTGGCCGAGCGGGGACGAGGATTGGTGGCCGCAGCTGGGGATGCCACGTGGCAGCGGTCGTCCTCCTTATAAGAAGCCGCACGATTTGAAAAAGGCGTGGAAGGTCGGGGTGCTGACGTCGGTGATAAAGCATTTGTCGCCGGACATCGCACGGATTCGCAAGCTCGTGCGACAGAGCAAGTGTTTGCAGGATAAGATGACGGCGAGAGAAAGTGCCACGTGGCTCGCTGTGCTGGATCAGGAGGAGGCGTCGCTGCTGCACGCGCAGGGGAAGCCGCTTCCGCCGGGCGCGGCGGAATACGACCCCTTCCGCGTCGACCTTCCGCCCTTCGTCTCCGCGAACGGCGGCGTGGGATGCGGTGACTACCTCGCCGGAGCGCTGCAGGCACTTCAGCAGCAACAGCAGCAGCAGCGAAGCGCTGCAGCGGAAGGGGCGACTGCCGGGAAACCCCCCGCTGTGGGCGCCGCCGGCGTCGGCGGAAAGCCCGCCGCCACCATGAAAACCGAGCCGCTGTCGTGGATGCCGGCGGTGACGAATCACATCCCCGCAAATCCTGCCGCCACTGACGCGGCTCCGGGTCAGGCGCCGGGGAATGCCGAAAAGCTGCTAATCTTAGGGGACAGCAGTGATGCTGCTGCTGGGAATCCCGGAGGCGATGATGACGTGGCACCGCCAATTGAGGCGGTGCTTGCGGGGGTTGAGATACTGCCCGAGCACAGAGTTTTCATGTGCCCGTTCGACCGCTGCCCGCGGCACTTGTGGCGCAACGCGTTTTCCGACCGCGCCTCGCGAAACCTTCACCAAGCGAACTGCGCGTTCCGCCCTAGCGGCAAGGGGGAGGGGGATTCCGCCGGTTCCGCGGAAGCCAGCGGTGGCGCAAACGGCAGAAAGAGTGGCGCTGCTGGGGGAAATTCGCGCGCTGACGTTGGCGGAAGCGCAACTGCTGCCGCCGCCGCTGCCGCCGTCGTCTCTGCAAAGACTGTTGCTGCTGCGGCTGCTACAGCTGCTACAGCCGGTACTCCGAAGAAAGCAACGGCCGGAAACGCGCCTGCTCCTGCCACGTCAGCGATATCCTCCGCGCCGCCAGCCGCTGCCGCGAAGGCATCAGGCGGACCGGGCAAGGCTAGAAACGCTTCTGCTGCCGCGTCTGCCGCCGCTTCTGCCGCCGCATCAGCCGCTGCTGCTGTTAACCCCACGTCAGCTTCCACAATGTTCCCTGGAAGCTTCGTCCCGCACATGCCACGTCTGCATCCAGGCGCGCCCGAGGGCGGGGCGCCTTTCCTGCCACCCCACCACCTGCGCCACGCGTCCCTGCTCAGGCAGGGAAGCTTCCCAGGAGATGCCTACCACCCGGGGGGTCCCGGAAATATGATGGGCATGGGCGCAGGTAACATGATGGGGGGAATTCCCCCCTCTCATCCGCCCATCATGGGCCCTCCACCTCCCGCTCCGCCGCTCCCGTACCCCGCGGCGCTGGGCCTGCCAGCTCACGCATCAGGGTATCCTGACGTGTACGGGGGTATGTATGGGCATATGATGGGCATGGGAGGGGGGCACATGGGGATGGGGGGACCGCATGGGATGGGGCCGTATGGGATGCCTCCGCCGCCACATCACTATGCGGGGATGATGATGGCCGCTGCGGCCGCCGCCGCCGCTGCTAATGCTAATGCTGGTGGTGGTGCGAATGGTGCTAACGGTGCTGTCTCTGCCTCTGCTGCTGCTGCTGCGAGGGGAGGTATGGCACGAGCTGGCAACGCTTCTGGTGGGGTTGGGGAGGAGGCGTTTCGGGAAGTGATGCTGCAAGGACAGGCGATGCAGCAGCAGAGAAGGAACGACGCAAAGCAGCAGCAGGGGTTTTTGCAGGGAAGAGCCGACTCTCAGGAACAGGGAGTGCAGGGAGAGGAGCAAAACGAGGGCAGCAGCAACGCTCGCTCTGCTTCCTTAAACCCCTTGGCTCGAGTCACTGCCGCGTCTCTCCCTCCCTTCCGCCGCAACTACAGCGATCAGAACCTTCCGCTGTGCGCGATCACTGGTGGTGTTGCTAGTGGCGTGGCTGGTGGTATGGCATTAGGCGGCAGGGGTGGAGCTACTGCTGCAGGAGGGGGTTCGGGGCGGAGCAACCTCGGCATGCTTCCTTCCCAGCTGCACCAGCAGCAGCAGCAGCAACAAGAGCAGGAGCAGCAAACAGCGTTTCAAGAGCTTTCTGCTGCCGTGGCTGCTGCAGCTGCTGCTAGCAGCGGCGCCAGTGCTGCCAGTTCTGGCGGCGGAGTGACGGTTGGGGCGAAGCGGAGGGCGTTATCCGATGCGGAGGCTGTTCTCGCCAGCAACCCGGACTTTTTCGCCTCGGTCCTCGAAGATTCATCGAATCTGGACGGTATGATTCATCTAGAGGGCATGCTGCATCAGCAGCAGCAACCGAGCTTGGGATCTCCCCATGAGACTATTACGGATGATGGGGCAGGTCGGGGAGGAGGTTCGGGCCAAGCCGGAGCAGCAGGTTTGGGGATGATGTCATCTAATGCTAATGCTAATGGTATTGCAAACGGCAATGGTACTGCCAGTGGTAATGGTGGGGACGCTGGTGGGGCAGCCGTGGAGCAGAGCGGAGGGGGTCCGGTGGGGATGGAAGAGGATGTGGATGACAGCTTGTTTGGGTTCAGCTTTGGAGCGATAGGGAATCAGGACCACATGAGACTGCTCAACAATCTCATGGATGAGGAATTGTGCTACTTCGGTGCATGAAGGGTGTCTCAGCATTGTGGTTGAAAATGAGGATCAGATGTATGAGAAGCTGTGTTGTTTAGGTGTTTGAGAAATTACTTGGATGCATTTGGCTAGTGCTGTAGATGTGGCAATCAGATGTGGCAATCAAGGTGAAGACGTGAGACTGTTTTAACAATCTGATGCTAGACTAGCTTGACCAAGGAGTTTGTTGGCTATCGATGTATTTCATGTTTCCTAGTAGACAATCCTTGTTTTTTCCATTGTGCATAGCGTGTACAAAGCAGCAGGATTTGATTGCAAACCATTACTGTACAACAACTCATTTTTAGTGGAACTTGTAGGTAGATATAATATATGTCAAACGTCACCCATATTTATGGTATGTACAATAGGGGGGGAATACATTGAAAATCACCATTACACAGTCATTGGTAAGTACAACTGTTTTGTAACCACACTAATGCAACTCATACACAATGACTGCAAGTAGGCTAGGCACCAAAGTACCAAATAAGATCCTCATCCATGAAAGGATCAAATCCAAAGTTGTCCAGAATCGGAAGATTCTGCACCATCATCATCCCATCCAGCTGCCCCTGCTGCTCTCCTCCCTCCTGCGCCTCCCCTACCCCTCCTCCCCCAACCTCATGCCCAACCCCTCCCACTGCTCCCATCACATCATGCTGCATGTCATGCGACACATGGGACTCATCCTGCATCACCATAGCCATAGCCATCCCAGGATTTGCTACAGTAGTTTCTGCTCCCCCTTGCTCTGCACTTGCATCTGCCCCTGTTCCAACTGTCTGCCCTGCCTGCTGCTGGTATTGTTGCTGCATCTGAAACAGCTCATACTGCTGCTGCTGCTGGTACTGCTGATAATGGTGCTGGTACTGATGCTGCTCATACTGCCGCTGATACTGTTGCTGGGTGGGTGCATGTGGGTTCCATACCCCATGTGCATGAGCCTGCACATTTGCATGTGTATGACCCTGAGCAGGTGCATGTGTATGGGGGTGTGAACTGGGATAAGGATGTAAATATCCCCCATCGGACGTACCACCACCTTCACTCGCAGGCTCATTGTGTGTTTCACGTGTCTCCCCTGCTGGTAACCCCACAGCCAAGTGCAGTAAAGACCATTGCCCCTCTCCCTCTGCCTCTCCCACGACTTCCCCTCCTCCTCCCGCCCCTGCTTCTCCCCCTGCCGCTCTCCCAGCAGTTGCTGCCACCTGTCTTCCCTGATCTCCTGATTCTCCCTCTCTCGTCCCTCCTCCCTCCCTCACTCCCCTCCTCCTCCTGCTGTTGAAACTCATCCCCCTCTCTAAAGCCGCAGGAGGTAAAGGCTCTATTTCTTCCTCTCGCTCCCCTCCTCTCTCCCCTCCTCCTTCCCCTCCTCTTCCCCTCCTACCACTCCCCCCTTCCTCAGCCAAAGCTCGGCTGTGGGTCCTTCTACACCCCCCTTGGGATTGCTCCCTGTTCAGAACCTCCCGAGCCTGTGCCTCAGGTTCGGACTGAGCCAGGACCTCAGCTTGGGTCCGAGCCTGCGCAGGTCCCCGGGCAGAGGTTGGAGACCGAGCCTGCGCTTGAGCTTGGGCAAAGGCTCGGGCGTAGGCTAGGGCTTGGGCGGGAGAGAGGTGGAGGCGGGGGGAGTGGCGGTTGTGGGGGGACAGAGTGGGCCGAATGGGGGAATTCGTGGGAGGAGTGTGATGAGGGGAAGGATTGTTGGGGGAGAGGGAGTGGAAGAATGGAGAGGGGGGACGGTTGGGGGAAGAAGGGGGAATAGAGGTGGAGTGAAAGGGAGGTTGGAAGGGGTATTGGGGGGAAGGCTGGAAGGGGAACTGGGGGGAAGGCTGGAAGGGGAACTGGGGGGAAGGGCGGAAGGGGGAGTTAGGGAAGGGGAAGTTGGGGGGGAGGGTGAGGGAGGCGCGTGGGGAAACGGAGGAGGGGCGGGGGGAGGAGGAAGATGGGTGGGGGGAGGTGAGGGAGGGGTGGGTTGATCCTGGTTGACTGTGGGAGGATGGAGGGTTGGAAGGAGAAGGGTAGTGATTGTACTGACTTGAATGGGGGTGCGAGGGAGGGTGAAGGGAAGTGCGAGTGTGGGAGTGAGTGTGGGGTGACATGGCACGAGGGAGAAGGTAGGGATTGGGATGCGGCATTTGGAGGATGTGTGAGGGGTGAGTGAGTGAGTGTGACTGTGCGGGAAGGGGTGTGGGGCGACAGGGGAAAGATGGGACTGATGGGGCTGAAGCATCAGCAGCGGCGTCATTACCAGCAGCACTGCCATCAGGAGGAGCAGCAGTGCCATCAGGAGAAGCAGCAGTGCCATCAGGAGGAGCAGCAGTGCCATCAGGAGGAGCAGCAGGGGCCTCTGACACAACAGCAGCAGCATCAGCGCCACTGGGGAGAGTAGGAACAGTTGCCGTATTGGCCTGAACAGCAGATGCAGCTGTATTAGCGGCAGCAGCACCGATTGCTCCTGCAGCACCATCGGAATGAGCTGGTGTCACACCCTCTTGCTCTCCTTGCTGCTCCTGCTGCCGCTGCTCCTGCTGCCGCTGCTCCTGCTGCTGCTGATGCTGCCCCTGCAGATTCTGCTGCTGCTGCTGCTGCTGCTGCTGCTGCTGCAGTAATCTCCCCTCTTCTCCATTGCCTTCTCCCCCACTCGCACTGTGCCACGTGACACCCTGTGATGAGCTGCGAACGACGATTTGGGGGCGTCTCGCATCAGGATATGTGTGAGAATGCTGCAGGGGGGAATGTAGATATTGCAGGGGAGTGTGTGAGGAAGCAGGAGGATGGGAGGCAGAGTGTTGGGATGTGTGAGTTGCAGTGCCCAGGGTTGCTGCGAGGAGCTGAGTTGCAGACCCTGACAGTTCATACTGCTGCTGCTGCTGCTGTTGTTGGTGGTTGTGGTGGTGGTGGTGGTGGTGCTGCTGCTGCTGCTGCTGCTGTCTCTCCCCCATTCCTGTTCCTCCTGCTCCCCGTGCCACTGCTGCTACTGCTGCTCCCAACCCAGCCGCTGCTGCACTGTCAGCAGCAGCAGCAGCAGCAGCAGCAGCAACAGCAGCTTGTGAAACCCCCTCTTCCCGGGATGTAACGCCGCCGGAAGCAGCACCAGCCACCTCCCTTTCCCCATCGTTTCCCCCATCATCTCCCCCACCCTTCCCATCCGCCCCCAGCATCTCCCCCAAGTCCGCCTCTCCCCCGTCCTGCAGAACAACTGACACTGCTTGCACTGCAGTAGCTGTAGCAGCAGCTGTAGCAGTAGCTGTAGCAGGAGTTGTAGCGGCAGCTGTAGCAGCATCAGCAGACCCAGATGCATCAACAGTAGCAGCAGAAGAAGAAGCAGCAGCAGAGGAAGCACCGGGAGCAGAAGGAACGTTCCTGGAAGCCTCAGCAGCAGCAGCAGCAGTGACATCAGCAGTGACATCAGCGGGAATAGAGGGGGTGGATGCTTCAGGAGCGGCAGCAGATGGGGTTAACCTGGTGGTGACGTCACCAGAACCAGCAGCAGCAGCAGTCGCGATGGGCTGTTGTGCTTGTAACGAATGTGCTTGTATTGGATATGCTTGTAACGGGTATGCTTGCATGGGGTGGGGCTGGCCGCAAGACCGGGATCGAATCACCACAGGGGTGACAAGCCTGGGCATATTGGACAAATTAGGTCCAGTACTGCAAGGTTCGGCACGAATAGGTACGGCAACATGAGGTCCGGCAGGATGGCCTCCAGGACCAAAGCTGTTGCTCAGGAGTGGGGATCCTAGAAGCATGGGCTGGGGCACTTGGTATGGCACCATTGCCGAGCCTTGGGGTAGAGGCTCGGCAGGGAGGTTCGGAAGCGACTGGGAGGGTATGAGGTGGTGTTGGGAATAGGGATTTGAGTGAGTGTGGAGGTGAGGAGGGAGGAGGCGAGTGTGTGGGGCCAGGAGGGGTTGAGAGGTGGCATGAGGGAGAGAGGAGGGATGTGATGAGGGAAGGGAGGAGGGGGGTGTGGAGGAGTGAGGAGGGGGAGCAATAAAAGCACCGGCATGGGTATAAGCAGGAGCATCGTCAGCCATTGATTGCATCTGCATCAACGGCAGGAATAGCTGCTGCTGCTGCTCCTGACTAAGATGCTGGCTCGAGTGCTGGTTCGGTAGCTGACTAGGGTGCTGGTTTGGGCGCTGGTGCGGGTGCAGCTGGTATGGCTGCTGGTACATCTGCTGGTCTGGCTGCTGGTTCGGCATTGCCATGCCTGAAGCAGAGGCTTGGGAGAACTGAGCTGCTTGTGCTTGTGACTGCCATGCCAAAGAATGCATGCTACTGTGTACCGGCGCGTGTGATTGCACCACCACCTGGGGTTGCACCTGGGGTTGCACCTGGGGCCGCAACTCAGCCTGAGCTTCCGTGCCTGCTGCATAATTTTGTGACTGTGCCTGCTGCACTTGCTCCTGCTCCTCACCCTGTGCTTGAGCCTGTTCCTGTGCCTGTGCTTGTGCTTGCGCCCGTATGGATTGGCTAGGCTGCTCGGAAGTGACTAAAGCGGGGTTGAATGATCCAGGGGTGATGGTCGGTTGAGCAGATGGCGGAGTGAGTGTGGGTGGAGCGGAGGGAGGGAGTTTGAGCAGGGAAGAATGAGAAGAGCGGCGACGAAGGGGAGGAGGGGGAGCAGCAGGGGTAGCACCAGCACTGCTGGTAGGAGCACTTGCAGCCGGAGCATCAGCAGCATCAACAGAAGCAGCAGCACCAGCAGCAGCAGCATCAGCAACAGCAGCACCAGAAGCAGAAGAGGCAGCAGTACCAGGAGCAGCAACAGGAGCAGGAGTAGGAGCCGCAGGAGAAGCATCAGCAGGAGCAGGAGCAGGAGTAAGGGGAGAAGAAACAGCAGCAGTAGTAGCACCAGGAGCAGCAGCGGCGTCTCGGTAGGGGCACATAGCCTGATGCCCGTTTCGGGCAGCCCGGTCGGGAAAACCACAGCCTGCCCGGCTCCTTGGGCAGGTGGGGAACGGGCAGTAAAACGTTCGGTCATCATCCTGTGCGGGGCCAACGTCTAAGACGTAGGTTCCAAGGGCATGCGCATGGGGATCCGCATGGGAATGGGAATGGGCATAGGTGTGGGGAGCATGGGGTTGGGCGTTGGCATAATATGGGTGCATGTGCATCTGCATGTGTGCATGTGCATGTGCAGGGTGGGTGGGTTGGATGTGCGTATGTGACAGTGCCTGTGTGCCATGCATCCCTGGAGGTGTTGCTGCTGGAGCTGTTGCTGCTGCTGCTGCTGTTGTTGTAGCTGCTGCTGCTGATCCCACTGCTCCTACAGCTGATTCTGCCCCTCCTGTTGCTCCTGCTGCTTCTGTTGCTCCTCCTGCTGCCCCTCCTGCGGCTCTTACAGCTGCCGCTCCTGCTGCTGCCGCTGCTGCTGCTGCATATGATGACACTGATTCCAAGCGCGACCCATGCAACTGGCCGTTGCAGCAACCACAAGGAACCAGCACCTGTCCAGCACCATCTGGCACCGTACTCAACCGCACAGAACTGTCCTGCACCGTACTCAACTGCCAGGCACCGTCCCGAACCTCCCTGACCAGCTCAGCAGTCTGGACAACCACCATCGCCCCTCCTTGCTGCCTGCTCCCATCCTCTACCCCACCCAACAACATCATCATCCCCCCTCCCCCTACTCCCCCTCCTCCCCCTTCAACAATCCCCCCAACGTCCCCACCAGCAGCAGACACCCCCGCCCCTGCCATTCCCCCTGCCCATACGCCCCCGACTCCCGCCATCCCCCCTGCCCCTACCCCCGCCACTCCCCCCACTCCCCCCACTCCCCCCACTCCCGCTCCTCCCCCTCCCCCTGCCCCAACTCCCGCCATTCTTCTCTGCCTTCTCTTCTTCTGCCGCTGCCCGTCGCTGCTGTACGGATCATAGTCCTCCTCTATATCCCACTCATCCCCATCCTCCTCTCCTCCTCCTCCTCCACCTCCGGCTGCTGCTCCTGCTCCTGCTGCTCCAGCGCCAGTGCCTGTTTTTCTCTGCCCGTTTTGCTGCCCGCCCGAGCTGGTTGCAGCTCCACTGCCCTCGAGAAGCTGCAAGCTGTTCGCCGACCTGCCCGTGGGCAGCTCGCCGGAAATTCTTTCCTGCCCGGTCCCATTACCAACACCGGCACCAGCAGCACCAGCAGTACCAGCAGCAACAGTAGATAGGTCACCGTTTTGGAGTTTGATTGCTCGCTCTTCGTTATTCAGTATCGCGAGCCAAATGCTCGTCTCCAGTGCTGACATCTTATTCTGGTAGCGGGGAGTGCAATAGAGGGTACAAGGGGAAGGAAATGGAATGAGGAGGGGGAGGAGGGGGCATGTGCTTCATGACCGTCGCCAGCATGGCCGCCTTGGCCCCCTTCTCCAGATCATGCAGCTGGCGGTCCATCAGAGAGAGAGAGAGCGAGAACAGTAAAGAGCGAGGGAGCACACCTGTAACCCCTTGTTCTGCCGAATCAGCCGTCTCATCTTTGCCACATCCGGCAGCATGTGTTTAATAACCGTCGCCAGCACAGCCGCCTTGGCCACCTTCTCCAGATCAGAACAGGCGGCTTGGAGTCCATGAGAGAGCAGAGAGCAGAGAGCAGAGAGCAACAGACAAATGCATGCATACCTGCAGCCCCTTGTTCTGGCGAATCAGTCGCCTTATCTTTGCCACATCCGGCAGCATGTGCTTAATAACCGTCGCCAGCACGGCCGCCTTGGCCACCTTCTTCAGATCATGCGGCTTGCGGTAGGGCGGCAGTCCCGACTCTCCAGCGCCGCCCGGGCTCGTGATTTGATTCAGCCCGAGCCCCTGGGAGAGAGCGCCCCACCAGGGCTCGTTGCCTGACGGCCACCAAGGGGGGGCTACGCCCTTGTCCAGGGGGAACTTGCGCTGAGGGGGAGAGCAGTGCTGGTATGGGGGAAACGGGGGGGGGGGGGGGGGGGGGGGGGGAAGAGGGTTCGGGGGAAAAGGGGAAGAAGTGGATAAGGCAGGAGGAGAGGGGGAGAGAAACGAGCCCGAGGGGAGTGGAAATGGGAGAGAGCGCCCCACCAGGGCTCGTTGCCTGACGGCCACCAAGGGGGGGCGACGCCTTTATCCAGAGGAAATTTGCGCTGGGGGGGGGAGCAGTGCTGTGCTGGTATGGGGGAAAGTAGGAGGGGAAAGAAGAGGGTGTGGAAAAGGGGAAGAAGCGAGTAAGGCAGGAGAAAAACGGGCGGGGGAAGTGGAAGAGGGAGAGAGCGCCCCACCAGGGCTCGTTGCCTGGCGGCCACAAGGGGGGGGTGACGCCCTTGTCTAGTGGGAACTTGCGCTGGGGGGGGGAGCAGTGCTGGTATGGGCGGACAGGAGGTTATGGGGGAAAAAAAGGAGGAAAAAGGGGGTTAAGGAGGAGAAGAATTGAACAGGGCACGAGATGGACCGCCCCACCAGGGCTCGTTGCCTGGCAGCCACCAAGGGGGGGCGACGCCCTTGTCCAGGGGGAACTTGCGCTGGGGGGGTGAGCAGTGCTGGGATGGGGTGAAAACGAGGAGGGGATAGAGGGCGGAGGGGAGTGGGTGCGGGGAGAGGGCGTGGGGAAAGGGGAAAATCGGACAAAAAGTTGAGCACATCGGTATGAGGGCAGTCAGCATATGTGTATAAGCACAGACAGCAGATCTATTTAGACGCCCCCAGCCGCTCAGACGGTATTTACAGCAGATCCAACCCTACCCCCAACCCTCCTCCTCCCGCCTCTACCTGCATGAGAGCCAACAGCAGCGACCCCAGCGTGGTATCCTGCAACTCCAGCAGCGAGTGCAGAGGCATGACTCCCTGACCTCCCTCCTCCTCTCCTCACCGTTCCCAGCCTTTCTCAACCTCACCGTTCCCAGCCTTTCTCAACCTCACCGTTCCCAGCCTTTCTCAACCTCACCGTTCCCAGCCTTTCTCAACCTCACCTACATTAAAGCAGACAGCAGCGACCCAAGAGTCGTATCCTGCAACTCAAGCAGCGAGTGCAGAGGCATGCACGTGGGAGCCTGCAGAGGTTCTCATTACCTGGCCTCCCTCCTCCTCCCCTCACCCTTCCCACACAGGATTTCACCCCCTCACCTGCATCAAAGCAGACAGCAGCGACCCCAGCGTGGTATCCTGCAGCTCCAGCAGCGAGTGCAGAGGCATGCACGTGGGCGCCAGGCCCCCTGCGCCTCCCCCGCCCTCCCCTCCCCCTGCGCCTCCCCCCATGGCCGCCGCCCGTTCCGCCTCAAACTTGGCCAGGGCTGCCGGGCCGTTCTTGTCGAACCGAACCTTGTCCTGTCCCTCACGCCTTCCCACCTTTTCGAGGTGACTTTTGAGTCGACTCAAAAGTCACCTCGTTTTGAGTCGACTCAAAAGTCACCTCGTTTTGAGTCGACTCAAAAGTCACCTCGTTTTGAGTCGACTCAAAAGTCACCTCGTTTTGAGTCGACTCAAAAGTCACCTCGTTTTGAGTCGACTCAAAAGTCACCTCGTTTTGAGTCGACTCAAAAGTCACCTCGTTTTGAGTCGACTCAAAAGTCACCTCGTTTTGAGTCGACTCAAAAGTCACCTCGTTTTGAGTCGACTCAAAAGTCACCTCGTTTTGAGTCGACTCAAAAGTCACCTCGTTTTGAGTCGACTCAAAAGTCACCTCGTTTTGAGTCGACTCAAAAGTCACCTCGTTTTGAGTCGACTCAAAAGTCACCTCGTTTTGAGTCGACTCAAAAGTCACCTCGTTTTGAGTCGACTCAAAAGTCACCTCGTTTTGAGTCGACTCAAAAGTCACCTCGTTTTGAGTCGACTCAAAAGTCACCTCGTTTTGAGTCGACTCAAAAGTCACCTCGTTTTGAGTCGACTCAAAAGTCACCTCGTTTTGAGTCGACTCAAAAGTCACCTCGTTTTGAGTCGACTCAAAAGTCACCTCGTTTTGAGTCGACTCAAAAGTCACCTCGTTTTGAGTCGACTCAAAAGTCACCTCGTTTTGAGTCGACTCAAAAGTCACCTCGTTTTGAGTCGACTCAAAAGTCACCTCGTTTTGAGTCGACTCAAAAGTCTTGTCGAACCGAACCTTGTCCTGTCCCTCACGCCTTCCCACCTTTTCACCCTTTCAACCTCTCACCCGCTCACCTGCATGAGAGCAGACAACAGGGAACCAAGCGTAGTATCCTGCAACTCCAGAAGTGAATGTAGAGGCATGCAAGTGGGCGCCAGTCCCCCTGCGCCTCCCCCGCCCTCCCCTCCCCCTGCGCCTCTCCCCATGGCCGCCGCCCGTTCCGCCTCAAACTTGGCCAGAGCTGCCGGGCCGTTCTTGTCGAACCGAACCTTGTCCTTCCACCAGGCTCGGAGGTTGTCGGAGCTGCCCCCAACCGGCTTGCCAGCCTCGGGAATGACGCCGTAGACGAACCCGCGCGCGTGGCAGAGCTCCATCATTCGCAGCATGTGCTTCAGGATTCCGTCTTGTGCTCGCGCCATGCGCTTTCGCATTGCTGGTTCCTGCAGGGATAGGGGCAGGGAGAGAGGCGTGAGGGGATACACGAACCCCCGCGTGCGTGGCAGCGCTCCATCATTCGTGGTGGTGGGGGCAAAGCTCCAACAGGCACACAGGTAGCCTCGGGAATGACGCCGTAGATGAACCCGCGCGCGTGGCAGAGCTCCATCATTCGCAGCATGTGCTTCAGGATTCCATCCTGTGCGCGCGCCATGCGCTTGCGCATCGCTGGTTCCTGGAGTGAGCAGGGCAGAAGGAAGAGGAGAGGGAGGGAGGTCTATGCACGTGCCTCTGTGCCTCTGTGCCTCTGTGCCTCTGCGCCTCTGCGCCTCTGTGCCTCTGCGCGCGTGGCAGAGCTCCATCACGCGCAGCATGTGCTTCAGAATGCCGTCTTGGGCTTGTGCCATGCGCTCGCGCATCGCTGCTTCCTGGTAGCGTGGGGGTGGCAGGGAGCAGTGGTGGCGTGGGGGGCTGCGGAGGAGGGAACATGCATGCATGAGCTTTAGAATGCCGTCCTGCACCTGCAGGGAACCAATTTTGAGAGTTCCGAAAAGCCGTCCGACTCGGCACCCGGCTAGCGCATCCCTGCTTCCTGGAGGGGAGGTGGTGGCGGGAACGGGGGGGCGGGAACACACACCCTTTCACTCTAAACTGCCTGCACGGGAGTGACGTGTAAGTCGTCTCAGTCGACTCAAAAGTCACCGCGGGAACACGCACCCTTTCACTCTAAACTGCCTGCACGGGAGTGACGTGTAAGTCGTCTCAGAAGTCCCTTCTCCTTCCATCGTCCCTATAGCTTCTCGACCCCAGCACCACTACTTGATGAAAAGTGTTGTTTTGAGACGACCCCAGCACCACTACTTGATGAAAGCGTTGTTTTGAGACGTCTCAAAACGACCCCAGCACCACTACTTGATGAAAGCGTTGTTTTGAGACGTCTCAAAACGACCCCAGCACCACTACTTGATGAAAGCGTTGTTTTGAGACGTCTCAAAACGACCCCAGCACCACTACTTGATGAAAGCGTTGTTTTGAGACGTCTCAAAACGACCCCAGGACCACTACTTGATGAAAGCGTTGTTTTGAGACGTCTCAAAACGATCCCAGCACCACTACTTGATGAAAGCGTTGTTTTGAGACGTCTCAAAACGACCCCAGCACCACTACTTGATGAAAGCGTTGTTTTGAGACGTCTCAAAACGACCCCAGCACCACTACTTGATGAAAGCGTTGTTTTGAGACGTCTCAAAACGACCCCAGCACCACTACTTGATGAAAGCGTTGTTTTGAGACGTCTCAAAACGACCCCAGCACCACTACTGCCTGATCGATCCTGAGTGGCTTGAGAGCCAACTGAGAAGACGTACCCTTTCCTCCTCTTCTCCCTGTAGCTTACTCGACCCTGCCACCAGTAACACCCGATCCATCCCAAACTAATTGTCAATCCCCTCAAAAGAAGGCCCCTCTCGTCGTCCTCTTCCCGATATAACTTGCCCGATCCCAGCACCACTACCCCAGGTGCCTTGCTTGTCGACTCAAAGTTCCCCCTCCTCCTCTCTCCCTATAGCTTGCTCCACCCCATCATCCCTAACCCAACACCAGTAATGCCTAATCGATCCGGGTGACTTGTGAGTCCACTCAGAAGTCAACCCTCCTCCTTTTGCCCCTAATAGCTTGCTCCACCTCAGCACCACTCCTCTTCAATCGATCGCCCCCTCCACTGCCTTGACTGCCCAGGAACTGACTGGCAGATCAATCCGGGTGACTTGTGAGTCGACTCACAAGTCGTCACTCCTCCCCTTCGCGCCTACAGCTTGCTCAACCCCAGCACCACCACTGTTCGATCGATACTCCCCTCCGCTGCCTTGACTGCTCAGGCACGGAAGCAGATCCAGACTATAGATAAGCCTGGATAACACTGAATCTTTCTGGGACCCCTAAGCTAAGGAGATCCTCCTGACTCGAGTACCCGGGAACTAAAGCCGATACTGACAGCAGGTTAAGCCGGGATGATTGCATGTGCCGCGTGACCTCTTAACGGGGTAAACTGGCAGGAAAATTCAGAGAACGGGGTCCCGAGGAGAAGAACGACGTCTGAAGGACAAGATGCCTGTCTAGTTCTCCTCGTGTCAAGGGCCTGTGACATGATCACCTGACACACGATCACAGGAACGCACCCTAAGTTCGCCGCACAACTCAAAAGTTGTGCCTTTGGTCTACTTTCCCCGTAACGGATCGGCTCAGATGAGCAACTGGTATAAGCATCACCCTTCGCAAATTTAGGAGTGGTTTTAAGCCGTATTGTTCTGCCCGAGTCGTGTCTCGCATCCTGTAATCTGTAATTAAGTTGGGTCTGTAACTACCAACTCTACACCAACCACCAAAAGAGCCATGGTTCTTACCAGTAAGAGCTGATAGGAAGAGGGAGGGAACGGAGGAGAGGGAAGAGAGAGTAGATCAGGAGAGGGTAGATCAAGGGGGAAAAAAATAGGCACTGTGGGGTGTCTGATCAAAGATGGTCGCTTGGCCATTTTTTTTGGTAGACACAAGCAAGGCGACGTGGGGAGATGAGGCTGTGGGGTATCTGACAAAGATGGTGGTTTTGAACGCTTACTTCAAGCAAGGAAGATGGGCTAGCCTGATTTTAAGCATACCTGCTACCACACAAAGCACTTAACTAAGTGGCGGTGCATAATCACTACCTGCAGCTTCTTCTGCCGTGCCCGTTGAGCCTCTTCCTTAGCCTTCCGCATTTCCTTCAACCGTTGCAACTTAAACTGGTCCCGCTGAACCCGCTTCTCCAACTCGTCTATATCCATCTCATCATCACTTAGTCCCTCATCTTCCGCCTCCTCTTCCGCCTCCCCCGCTGAGTTCCCCCTCTCGTCCGCCATCGCCAGAAGCCTCCCCGCGGTCCCTGCGCCGTCCCCCCCGTTTGCGCCTGCTCCGCCCGTTTTTCCGCCCCTTACTACCCCCTCTACTGCGGGGTGAACTGCGGTTTCGCCCATGTCCTCACCCTCGTCATCATCTCCCCGCGGCCGTGTCATCCGATGCCGCTGAGGCCTGGAGGCTTTTAACGACCCTCTCTTAGCTAAGTGCGTGGTTGTGAATGGCCGGCCTATATTGTTAAAACCAGGAAACTTCAAGCACAGGAAGAGTATACACTCCTACACGGCTCTTGCTACAACGTACAGTCGATCCGTTAAACTGCTGACTCCGCATTAGTTGAATTCGCAGTAGCTACTATGCGTACTTTACTTCTCTCCCGCACTTGGCGCTGCTAAGCCGTTATAAACTTTTAGAAGCGATGTCGACCTGTGCGATCTGACCAACCCAATAAGAGAGTCGCTTGTCGCACGAGCTGAAGGCTAGCTAATGTATAGTGTCGCTTCGTCCTACTTCCGTGGTCGGCGGTGCGAGAGAACACCTGGCGGATCTCCCGCGCACTGCGCAGTACACACGTACTGTGATGCTTCTCGGCTTCTCGGCTTCTCTCTGCTTCCTACAGCTAGCGCGATGCCTCGCACCTTACTACGAACCAATCAAACCGACAATTGAATTGTAAATGGACCGACTGCCAAAAACAGTTCTGCTAAGCGAACAGCAGGACGTGGGAAGAGGAGAGGAACTGTACGTTGCTTTCAACTACAACTAGTTGCAACTAGTAGTTGCAACAGTAAGAGATTATTTTTTTCTGCCTGCCCGTGTGGATCGCTATGCTAGTAGGCGTGCACGACTTATCGACGACCTTGCTTCAACGAGCCATCAGAACGAGACCGGAAATCCCGCAGCAACTTGGCGACTTACGCCGTCCTTTCTCATCCCATCTCAGCCGATCAACGACGATCGATCGTCGAGGAAATCCGACGGAAAATCTTTCGCACTGAGTGTGGCTCATGGGAGAGCGATTAGCCGTTGCGCTGTACATGAACGCTACACTGGAAAAGCAGCGGACCGGGGGAGCTAAAAGGCGGAAGGCTCCGCGCGAGGGTCGAGATTATCAGGCGATTCACGGGAGACTGCGCAAAATGACCCCCGCGCGCGACAACATTCCGTAGGAAACGGGAGGGACAGAAGCAGGCAGCAGCGCATCGCCGCCAAGTTCTGTTCTGATTTGGTACCACCCAAGTGGTGGAACCTCGAGAGCTGCGACGATAAAATAACTGTACAGGTGTCCGTAATCCCTGCCCTCCCGACAGCAATTCAAAAGCTGGAGCCTCGAGCAGGGAAATGCGACGGGCAATGAGGGTGGGTCTCAAATATTTGCTAACAAGTTTTTTGGGATGGTTCTGTGTGATGCGCAATGTTTTGAAGCGGTACAGACGTAAATTGACCTCAACCGAAGGTTGTGCAGCTGAATGGCTGTGGTTTGGAAAAAGGCCCGTCCGTCACCAGTCAGCCATGCTTCCTCCCGCAGCAGCAGTCGGACCCTGCGGAAATCTGTTCAGACTAGCGGCTTTTTCTCGGGTGTCACAGCCCTGGGTGAGATCGACGCACGCGATGCTTCTGCTGGGCACACCGCGACGGACGAACGGCGACGATATCCGGCGGAAAAAGCGTTCCGAACAAGTGTGATGACGAATGGCAAGTGCCACATGTCAAAGTCTCCAGACCAGATAGTGAAAGTGCGAGCCAAGCCGCCTTTCAGAAGGGTGGAAAAAAATGATTGGCTAGACAGTGGCACAGCAGAGTGTTTCATCAGTCCCCTCCTCTCACGACCTTCGCAGCGAGTTGGTTGACGAGGCTGTCTGCATGCAAAGAATCCGTCACTATGAGGATGGACAGATTCATTCCCCCAAACCCTAGTCTGGCGAGAGTGCGTGGTCAGAGTTCGTTGAGCCTCGACAGCGTGAAGGTAAAGGTTGTCTTTTGTGCCGCACCGCGATAGCGACGCTGACCTGTCCAAATGCAATGTTCTCGAAAATCTGGTGGGAGGATGATGTTGGAATGGGTGAACGGTATGCTGCGTCACAAGGTAACTCATCAGCCAGGCATAGCTGGCTAGCTGTAATTTCTAGACATTCCTTAGGTCGTATCTCCAGCAAGTGTCAAGAAGGGCTAGTGTCATGACACCAACTCATGGAGGACTATCCCTCCTGGTGTCAGCTAAACCAACCAATGTGATCGGGGGAAATCGTCCAATGTGCCCAACATTGACACCAGGCTGGAGCCAGGCTCACACACGGCGCCACTTGGTGTCAACCGTTAACAACGCTTGACACCAAGCCCTTCTTGACACTTGCTGGAGATACGACCTTAGCGCATCCTGCAACATCGCGTACAGCAGCAGTCGTTGTTCGCCATTACTGCTAACGGGACTTTGCCGACTTCGCGCGCACTGTTTCACCGAACCATGCACCGCTGGCCCGGCCGTGTCGGCCTACGCTTCGGCACTAGCCCGAGCCTCGATCCCAGACTAGCACTAGCTAGCTCGCATGCACTGCATTACCGTTTGCATGTTTCGCGTATAAATGTTCGCTCATGCCTTCGCTCACATTTTGTACTCGTTTGACATTTGGTGCTATTGGAAACAATTAACTCTAAGCGGCTCTGTCGTGTCGAAACACCAAGTCAAAAGCGAAGCGAAGCATATCGAAGCACTGGCGAGTCAACCCTCGGAGGTTGAGCAGTTGCTAGAGGTTACGCGAAAGTCGAAGGTCAGCGACCTTTGACCTGATAAGTACAGCGCGACAGCGAGGACACACAACTGACTCGTTATGGTGCAGTTGCCCGAGTCGTCACTGTATCGAACCGCAACAGCAACAGTAAAGTAGTTATAACTGTATCTCTTCATATTCCCTGTACTCTTAAATAGTCATGTATCTATTTGTTTTAATCAATCAACTTTGTCCTCACATACTATTGCAAGGTGGTTCACAACTCTTTATTAAAACGCTCCCGTTACTACACCAATCCTACCCAGAGTTCACCCCTGCAAAGATCCTAAGGCCTTTTTTTTTTTTTTTTTTTTTCAGCCCAACAGGTGCAATCCTCGCTACCGTACCTCGATTCATTACACCCGTAACACTAGCATTTCTTATTCGTTGAATACGAACCACATGATAGCAAATACACATACAAACGGACTATGAATATTTATGAATAATTTTCACTCAGTCCTTGAAATTATGCCATGTTTAAATATGATCTGAAAGAATTATATGAATTACCTCTGCATATACTTGTAGCACGGTCAAAATATATACACTAGATGAAACAAACAGTGCATAGAGCATGTATTTACAGGAATTTGCTTGCTAATGCCATCATCCTGTCGATCTTTGACTCTTCAAGGAACCGTTACAAGCACGTGACCTTTCACCCATCTCTCTTTTTTCCTCCGAGCCCATCGCTATAATGGCGTGTACAAAGTGCTGCACAAACTCGACGTTGAGGAACGTCGATGAATCCTGACGGTTGGAACCTTTGATCCGAGGGTGGAAATTCACCGACGTTGCTCGACGTCAAGTATTTGCGCACTTTGCACACGCCATAATCGCTTCAAAGTCTCGGCAACATCCTTCATCTCTCTCTTCTCTCCCTCCAAATCTTTCGTGCCTCCTCCAGTCCTTCAAGATCGCGTCACCTAATTCCCATGTCCTAAACCCCTGATTGACGGACGTAGACTTGCGATCCTGCTGAACATGTGAAGCCGAACACCCTGCATGGAGTCTCGTGCCATTTCTTCTTTAATACTCAGATGTCTCAACCGCTTCACAGAAAGTGGTGACTGAGTTGGCGTTGATGCGCGGCTGTGTTGTCGCAATGGCTCGTGCTATGCGGCCGCGGTATTGGATGGTAAGTCGTGATGTCAAGATTATGATGTTACTACTCGTGATGCTTTCAGCAACACTGTCGATTATTCACCTTATCGTTTCATATTTCTCGAAACTTATTCCATTCTAACACTTTTTCTTTTCGTACTTCTCGAAATCTCAAATCTAACCATTGTTTTTTTTCGTTCGCTGTTTGTTCTGGTCGCTTTATCCGTGAAGGCGTTTGGATTTTTCACCTCCCCGATTGGAGTTTCAATCTGCTTACGGCTGATCTTGTCCAAAACGATGTGCTGCTGATCAGATCTGCAACTGGAGAGATTACGTAGCTTCTAGGTATGTCCTCTTTGTGGGGTGTCATTTGGTCATGATTTTTTCCGACTTGCTTTCCGATTCTGTCGCTTTCTACTATTTTTAATCTGCGTCTGTATTCTTCTATTTCCATCATTCCGCGGCATGTTCCTTCCAACTCTCCCATCCCCGTTCCGCCTCCCTCCACCCTTTCCCCACCTCCCTCCCCCCCAAACCCACTTCCGTCGCATTGTCGATTTTCTGCACTCTCTTTTCGTCGTTTCCAAGGGTGTCTACCTGCGAGCTTTCGTTCACGTTGCTTTCCCCTTGGGATCTTTCTCGCCTCTGCGAGCTTATGTTTCCCTTCCTCTTGGGATTGTGTCCGCCTCGGTGATTATGCAACATGTTATTAGCTCTAGCTGATTCGCCGTGATGAGCAAAACTGGATATCCATCGGATGAGAGGCGCTATATGTTCCATGGTTCTGCTCTCCGTCTCTCTCATTCTTCTCTCTCATTCGTCTCGTAACCGCTCGTTCTTCCTAATCCTGCCTGTTATGTTCTAGATTAAATACCCTGGGAAAAGCAGAGGGTTTGAGTTGGGGGTTTTCGCGCTGGCGTTTCTCTGGGATCGCATGTGCGCACTGCCCGTTCTGCTGCTGCTCGCCTTCCCGCCGGTGGATACCACCATACGGAAGTCGCCGCAGCAGCAGATTAGCCAGCGAGGATCCCCACCCTCCCGTCATCCCCAGGGAGACTAGCCTGAAGCCTCACATGTGATTGCATTCGTGCATGCATGTGCTGGCTTCAGTGGTTTTATCCCTCTGTGCCCTCTCCTTGCTGCCTCCGGGTGGCTTGTGGCTTGCCGGACGGGGGATCAGCCACACATTACTGTGACGATCGTTATCACTATAATGTTTACAAGTGGACTCGAGAGTGTACTTTTGTAACATTCTCCCTGACATCTCTTCAGTGTCCATACTTTATCGGGTCCTCTTTCCTTCTTTTCCTGGTGATCTGTTTACATTTCCACCCAACTGCGTATGTTGAGACCGATGATTAGATTACAGTTTCAATTAACCATCTTTCGGGACATACAGGGCTAACCACCCTCCTGATGATATCAGCTGACAAATGAGGTCTCAACACGCATCTTTGTACCGTCTTGTTTTGCCACCAGTCTTTCTTTGGGGTTTCCACTCTAATCATTCTGTTGCGTCTCATTTTCCCCTTTTATTCTTTGATTTTTCTTCAGACGGCATGGCTCGCTGGCGGCCATGTGGCGGATCCCAGGCTGACGTGGCGGATATGGCGATTAGTCAATGACAGTCAATACCGGTCGATGCTGAGGCGGCTCAAGGCACATCATTTCACGCTTAGTAACTCTTCATTCGGGAAGTCTGGATGACGACGCAGGCTGCTCCTGACATCCGTGCGCGCTTCCCAGCAGACCAATGCTCAGTGCTGAAGGTAAGTTCCGTCTTTACACCTTGTCGCTGCCGGTGAGATTCATTGGTACACTTTCCAGGTGTGGGAGGTATGTCCTAGGTTCCAGGTAATGATGGCACACAGGTACCGGCTAATCCAAAGCACAGGAGAGGAATGATAATCCTATCTCCACCTCATCATTAAAGGCCTCCAAGATTATACATTTGCAACCATCCAAAGCATTGTCTGGTCATCCAGGCTGCTAATGCGGTGTTATAGATCAATAACATGAGAGGCCGTCAGCTCTTTCAATCTCTTCGCTACTACTAGCCTCGTTAAGCTGTAGGAGGGCTATAGTGGTAGGTAGGAAAGCTGGTGAGGTGGGGGAGGGGCTGGATTAGGATAGACGAGCAAAGAAGGCTGGGAGAGTCGCCTTGCTGTTTGTCTGTCTGCCTGCGAGCTGCTGTCAGAGTGGGATGGGAAGTTAATGCTGGATGAGGAGTAATGGTGAGAGAAGGCTAGGCTTGGGGATGATTCTGTCTGAGGGACACGGAGTCGCCATGGTGTCTGTCTACCCGCGGGCTTTTCTTGGCGTTTTTCTTCCTTTTCTGATTCATGTTGCCTCTGTGATTATGAAAAAAATTATTAGCTCTAGCTGATTCGCCATGATGAGCAAAACTAGATATCCATCGGATGAGAGGTGCTACCTGGTTTTGTCTCTGTCCCTTGCTCTTCCCTCACTAATTTTTGTCCCCCTCTGGTTTTCGCACTCTGAAAATCCGTGCGTTACACTTGTCTTCCACACTCTTGTCTCTTTTCTGTATCCTTGCTTTACATTTATGGGAACGTTCGTGACCGAGACCAATGATTAGATTACAGTTTCAATTAACCATCTTTCGGGACATAGTGAGGGTTCCTCCCTCCTGATGATGCCAGCTGACAAATGAGGTCTCATCTCTCCATGGTACTGATATGCAGCCTCATTTTGTGGCCTGTGCCGAAATATAAGTCTGATATTTCCATCATGTCTACATTATCTTCCCCTCCTCCCCTTCCCCCCCTCTTCCCCTCCGTTGTCCAGTGTGCAGGACTATGGAAGAGGGTGATTAGTGACAAAATATACCTTACCTGTATTCCTGCTAAGTTCGAAGTGCCTGTTGTGGCTAACTTGAAATCCTGGTCCTGAAGTCATGGAAGGGCTTGTCACAATCAACTTGTACTGAAGCAATGTAATTCGTCATGTTTATTATGATGTTGAACTCACGCAAGGCAAATATTACTTGCGATCCATTATTGTCTGAGAATGAACCTCAACCCTCACCACATTCGTGCACCCCTAACCGCACTCGCGCATCCTTGACTGCACTTGCGCACCCCTAACCGCACTTGCGCACCCCTAACCGCACTTGCGCACCTCGAACCGCACTCGTGCACCCCTAACCATACCTGCGCACCCCTAACCGCACTCGCGCACCCCCAACCGCACTCGCAATTTCTTTGACAAGCAGACATCATAATTCGTGGCGGCAAAATCCCCGAACCTCGAAGGTGCTTGATTTTCCGCGTATCATTGCCGCGTCCCATCAGCTGCTCCGAAGGTGACTTTAGAGGCAACCTGCGGCTCCCGAACCTGCTCGCACCTGTGGGACTTACAGACTCAGGCTGGCCAAAACATGAACAGATGGCTAAAGGGGGGACAGGTCAGAAGCTGCTGGCTCCGCTTCACATCGCACAAATTTTTGTTTAGTAAAGCGCGCTGTTTAGCACTGTTTGGAGTGCTAGATCAGGGCGTGTTACATTTTTTAAATCTGGCTAGAGTCTGGATACCGTCCGAGAACGGTTCAGATTCCGAATCTCGGGCAGTACGAGTCCAGCGTCCGGACTAAACCTCGTCCGACGTTGTAGATGAAACATTTTCAACCTGACGAAAACTCGAATGTTTGCGAGGCTGTAACCACGATTACGAACAAATCACGAGAAAGGTAGCAGCAAAGCGACTTGAAGACTTGAATCGTCGACCAATGAATTTGCGTTACTGCTACGTCCGTCCACTAATCGAACTGTAATCGTCCGGTCGATTTGGGAAGGCAATACGCGCAAAACGTTCCATCACCGGCCCGATCGTTAACGACGTCACAAGTGGTCTAGCGAGGCAATTCACGAAACACAACGAGAAAGGTAACCACACAAAAGTCCGGACCACTGCATGTCCGTACGGGCTGAATTAGAAAATGTAACACGCCATCACGTGCCGAAGGCGGAGTTTTGTTTTTTCACGCGGCCATGCCAGGTGGCTTGGATTCCTCGTTGCCCACTGGGCCAGCTAGATTGGTCGTGTTGGGAACAAAGCTCTGAGTGTACAATTCTGTAGTGGCCAAAGCTGTGGAGTATGGATGGAATCCCACGTTTCCGGTAACGGTTTTTGGACGTGTTAACTTTCTTGTGGTGCGAGTTACGTTGACTCAGTCTACGCGGGGGTCTCCTCCTAGGAAGCCCGCTCTCACCTCACATCGCGGCTCGAAGCGAACGAGCCATACTGCCGTTCGATCATTGGAGATTCAGTGAGCTCACACGAACCGTCGGATCTAACAAGAGTTGCAGGGCGACGTCGCTGCCCTTTCACAACGGCAACATCTCTCATAGGGGTTGACCGTCAACGGAGAGGCTTGTAAATCATTCATTCCTCTCATTCCAACCACAGCAACGTGGGTTCTTCCAAAAAGTTTTTCTTACCGAACCCGGCAAGCAAGCAGCCAAGCTGACCATCCCCTTTCTGAAATACCTCCGTAGCCCACGACCTTGGGGTTGACGAGAGTCTTCTTCTAGGCGAGCTAGCTCAACTAACCCAACCCAATCTCAACGTGGAAACCACGCCAGCACAGCACAAGAAACCCTATCTGCTCATGTCCTCTGCGATAGCGTGCCCTTGGAGTCCTCACATGGACCAGCACCAGCACAACCAGCATCACAACCAGGAACCCTTGCACCCAGATCAGCAGCAGTTCTGCCTTTCTCCATCCCACAGATCCCCTCCCACGAGTGAAAGTCCGTTCACGTGGCCACTACCTCCCGCACTAGATTTACCAGCCACTGACGAGTTTCTCCCTGACGAGGCTTCACCCTGTTGGATTTGGGCCCAGCAGCAGCCATCGGCGCCCGCAATCCCCGCCGCAACGGCCGCTGCCGCGCACACAGTCCCTGCGCCAGCCATGGCGACAGCAGTGGCGACACAAGCGGCGTGGGAGACCACCCCCGCCACCAACTGCGGCGCAGCTAGCGGGTTTCAACCCACCGCAGACGCTGCCGTTCCAGCTGCCTCCGCTTCCCACTGCTCCTCTTCCGGCGTAAGCTTCCCCGCAACCCCCGCTTCCCCCTCGTCCGCATCCGCTCCTGCCGCCACCACTACCCCTCTCCCACCCGCGTCCGCCGCCTCCGCCGCCCCCGCGCAGTCCCCGCCTTCCCTCCCCGTGGCGCAACTGGAAGAGCTGCTCCTAGACGACTGCGGAGTCCTCGAGATCTCCATCCCCCAGCGCCGCTTCCCCTCATCCTTCCCCCCATCCTTCGTCTCATCCGCGGCCACGGGGAGCCTTGCGTCGACCCTCCCTACCGCGGGGACTCTCCCCAGCGCGGGAACCCCCTTCGCCGGAACTCCCGCGGATCTGCGCGAGCAGGGGTTGAATCTTTTCGCCAGCCTCCTTCCGCTTCTTTACACTCCGCGCTGCGCCGCCACCGCCGCCATCGCCGCTTCCCCCGCGGGAGAGAAGCTCAAGCGCGCTCTCGCGTCGTCTCCGGCGGCTGCCGGCATGTTCGAGGCGTTTGCCAACCAGCCGCTGCCGTCCCCCGCGCCTCTCGCATCACCGATGCTCTTCGAGCAGTTTCAGCAGCATATGCAGCAATGGCCCGCGCCGCAGGTGGAGCAACAGGAGCAGTCCGAGCCGCAGGCGTCGGAGTCGATTGCCGCGCCGCAGACCGACGAGGATATGGACGAGGCGCTTCCGGAAATTGAGAGCCCGAATAGCGTCGACGTGACCTCGCCGCACCGTGACCTCGACGACAGCTGCCTTGACGAGCCGCCGAGTTCCGCCGCCGCCGCCGCTACCGGCCCTGCCGCCGCTGTCGCCGCTCCGGCCTCCGTCGCTCCCATCCCGTTCGCCCCGGCCAAGCCGACCGCCGGGAACGCTTTTGCTTCCGACTCTGTCCCTCTCGACGCTCCCGCCGCAACAATCGCTGCGAAGCTCGAGCCAGTAGCCACGGAAGAGGCGGGAACAGCGGCGCCTTCTCCGGCGTCGCCTGCTGCGGAGCCGCTGGATGACGGTTACTTCTGGCGTAAGTACGGGCAGAAAGCAGCGAAGGGCGCAGCGTATCCGCGCGCGTATTTCCGCTGCGCCGTTCCCCGCTGCCCGGCTAAGAAGACGGTCGAGCGTTCGTCCGAAGACGGCAGCACGATGGAAATCGTTTACCGCGAGGAGCACAACCACCCACGTGGGACTCTCCCCGGCCGCCGCGCTTCCCCTGCGTCGCAGGGCGGTGCGGGAGGGGCGCGCGTTTTGGTGACGGAGGAGATGGGCGGGTTTAGCAGCGGCGGTGGCGGAATCGAGCGTTCCCCGGTCAAGCCGCACCAGGCGCAACCGCAGCCGCAGCCGCAGTCCCAGGCTCCTTCCGCCGCTTCCCCCGCCTTCCCCGCATCCGCTGATCCCGCCGCCGCATCCGCCGCAGCGGGACTCGCGCTGCTGGAGAGTCTGAGCACCGAGGATCTCGCGCGCCTCGTCTCCGCACTCTCTTCCGACGCTATGGCCGCCGCCACCGCCGTGCTCGAAGCGGCGGTCGCCGCCGGCGTGATGGACAGCAGCCTGGGCGTCGCCGCCGCCGCCGCCACCGCCGCCGCAGCCGAGGAAGCCGCCAACGCTCGCCCCGCGTCTCCGCCGGTGTATTCCCCCGCCGATCTCGCGGCCGCTGCCGTGAACGCCACCGCTGTTGTTACCGCCGCCACCGCCGCTGCTGAGGTGGCTCGGGGGCATATGATCCGATCCGCGTCGGACAGGGGAGCTCCGGAAGCAGCGGCAGGCTTGGCAGCAGGCTCGGCAAACGCTGGCGCGGTCCTTTTCCGTTCCGTATCGGCTCCTAAGGACGAGTGCGATGACCAATCCTCCTCCGGGAATACCGGCGGGATTGCAGGAATTTCCAGCGATGCTCTTGCTGCTGTAGCTGCTCTCACGCGCGGGTCAGCCATAGCTGTCGAACCGTCAAGTTGCAGCACGGGAAGCGCCGGCAGCACGGGTAGCCGTCATAAGCGCCGGTCGACGGAAGAATTTGACATCACTGTCAGCCCGTCTTCCCCGAGCCTGCACTCTGTGACTCTAACGAAAGGTGCTGGTAATGCGTTTAACGAGGGTGGTAACGTCTCTGGAAGCATTTCGCCTGCTGGCGGTAGGGGGAAAAGGATGCGCACTGGAGGAAACTCTGGCGGAAGGGGGAGCGGAGGGCGCGGAAGTGGAAGCGGAAGCGGGGGAGGAAACGCAGACGGACAGACGGTTACGATGACAGTCGTGCAGGTTGAGGGAACTGGCCGGGATGTGGTTGGCGACGTGGAGGATGGTTACCGCTGGCGAAAGTACGGTCAGAAGGCGATAAAAGCGAGTCCTTACGAAAGGAGTTATTTCAGGTGTAGCAAGGATGGTTGCGGGGCGAGGCGGGTTATTGAACGCTGCCCGGAACAACCTGAAGATGAGAGTGTAGCTGCGACTCACACGAATCTGCTTGTGACTTATATCGGAGTGCATTCTCACGCACGGCCGTTCCGAGCCAAGGTGATCTACAAGCCCGTTCTGGACGCTTCTCAGGAACCCCCTGCTGACGTGGCGAACCCTAATTTCGCTGCTGTTGCTGGTGGTGCTGACAGCGCAACATTGGTTTCTGCTCAGATTCCCGAGACGCTCCCAGAACGAGCCTGTGAGCAGCAGAGCGCGAATCCAACGGATTTGACCCAAGCTGAAGAAACGGGGAATGGTGAGGGCATGCAGATGGCGATGCCGCATCTCCGGGATCTCAAGATTGAGGATTTCGCTTTTGGTGACCTGCCCACGCTTTGGTGAGGCGTGAAGAAGGAAACATTGGGGTTATAAAGGATTCGCTCATAACGCAGCAGCGGCTGAGAGGAGGGGGAAACCATTCCCTGGAGAGGGGAAGGGAGTTTACTGAAGAGAGGGAGTCTCACTCTATCGGGTGTGCCTTTAGATCAAGGTTTGTACAGCCTTCCATCCATCCACCCGCTCTGGCTGTGGGGATGGATGGCAGGCTGTACCCCTTACAGGCTTGCTCGTTTCCTGGCTTGTACAGCCTTCCATCCATCCGCCTGCTCAGTGCTCACTGTGGGGACGGATGGCAGGCTGTACTGTACCCGTTTCGCTTTCTTGTGCTTGCCCTGTGTGTGTCTTACGTTTTAATACGCATAATTTATATTTCTGCTTACGAAGCTGTATGAAGGAAAACGAGGAATAATCCACAGGCCATGATGCATTGGGTTGGGGTGTGTGTGTTGCTTGCATTGTGGACTGCACGGCACAGCTCTTCCACTAGGCGCTTGATACATGAGCATGTAGTGTAGGTAGGGCATGTTGGGGCATGTAACATGTTGAGAAAGGGACAATGGGACATGCTTGCTGGGGCACGAAACATGTTGTTGGGGTTGGGGGGTATGTTGCTGGGGCATGCCGGGTTATATTGGGGCATGTGGCATGCGGTGCAGCATGTGGTCATGGCCCATGGCTCATGATGACTCATTCTAACTGTTGCAACAAGCTCGTATACATCAAGGTAATAATTACGAAGAAATAATGATACAACAACAGCACAGGCAGCAGCGGCAACAGAACTACCGTAGCAGCTGGGCCCGTCTCTTTCCCCACGCTCCCAACAGCAACAGAACCACCAGCACCAGCATTAACAACACCAGAAGAAGTTTTTGCAGCTGCTTCTTCCAGAGCGTTGGTTGCACAGGGGTTACCAGCAGTACTGGCAGGAGCACCAGCCGTAGCAGCAGGGTTACTTCTGCTTGTCTACCCTTCCATCAACCCCAGCAGCAGATCCAGCAGCATCAGCACCACCAGCTGCAGCGACAGAGCCAGCAGCGTTGGCAGCAGCACCAGCAGTAGAGGCAGGGTTACTTCTGCTTGCCTACCCTTCCATCAGCCCCAGAAAAAGAAGCAGCAGCAGTATTGACAGCACTACCAGCCGCTCCAGCAGCATCAGCAGAAGCTTCTGCAGCAGCTTCCACCAGAGCCTTAGTAGCTTGGGACAACACCTCTCTGGTTACCAGCAGTGTTGCCACCGCCCCCACCCCTCTGGTTACAAACCCACCTGCACCAGATCCAACCCAAATTGGAAAACACTTGCAGCAGCACCATCAGCGGCAGCAGCAGATCTATTCCTCCTTACCCACCCTTCCATCAGTAGCAGCAGCAGCAGCAGCAGCAGCAGCAGCCCCAGCAGCATCAGCAGAAGCTTCTGCAGCAGCTTCCTCCAGTGCCTTGGTCGCACGTGATGAAACCTCTCTGGTAACCAGCAGCGTTGCCACCGCCCCCACCACATACAAACCCACCTGCACCGGATCCAACCCAGACCCAGCACCAGCAGCAGCAGTCGTGGTTACGGTTGCATCGGTAACCGCATCAAGAGCCACACGGCCTGCTCCACCCAGGTAGACATAGGCAAAAGTAGCTGGGAGCATGCCGAGGGAGGAAGCAGCCATGTACTCGAAAAACCCGATGCCTGCATGAGGATTGGGGTTGGGGGATGCATTGGAATGAAATGTGTGGGGTTTACAGTTGTCACACGGTAACCGCATTGAACGCAACCCGGCCTGCTCCACCCAGGTGGCATAGGCGAAGGTGGCAGGGGGCATGCCTAGAGAGGAAGCAGCCATGTACTAAAAAAAACCCAATGCCTGGCGTCAGGGTGGGGGAAAGTGGGACGCAGGAAGCATTGGAGGGGAAGGTGTGGGGGTTGAGTCGTCGCAGGGTAACCGCATTGAGTGCCACACGGCCTGCTCCCCCCAAATAGACATAGGCGAAAGTGGCAGGGAGCATGATAAGAGAGGGTCCAGCCAGGGGTGGGTGAAAGGGGGTAGAGGGGAGGTGGTCAAATGAAAGAGCAAACATACCTATGAGAGCAATTAATACTAAAAACTGGTCAGATTTTTTTTTTTTTTTTTCTAGGGAACCTGCAATTCCAAGTGAGAACGGGCAAATAGGTTATATTCAGCACAGCAGCATCAATCAGACCTTACCTGTGATACCAAACACGTAGTTTGAGATGGAAAATGGGAAAATAGGCGACAGTCGGCACAGCAGCACGATACGCCACCCGCCCACTGAGATTGCGCGATCCAGCGCCTCGAACCGCCCTTCCCCGAGCCGCCCCGCGAGCTGCCGCGCCACGAACGGCCGCGCCGCGTACCGCGCGACGAGGAACGCCACCGACGCGCCGAGCGTCGCGGCGATTAGAGTGATCGCCGTGCCGCGCGCGGCTCCAAAGAGGTAGCCCGCCGCGAGGGTTAGGATGGAAGCGGGGACTAGAAGGACGGCGGCGATAGCGTAGGCGGCGGCGAAATAGACGGCGCCGCCGAGCGGTCCGGCCGCGTCGCCGCCTTGCTCGACCGCCGCCACGACCTGTTGAAGGGGATTGGTCCACGTGGTGGCGGCGGCAGCCGCGTCGCCACCAGCAATGGCGGCTGAGGCGGCGGCGGTAGCGTCAGCGGCGGCTGCGGCGCTGTCTACGTGCAAGAAGACAAGCGCCGCCGCCGCTGTCAACGACGCTGCCGTTACGAGGAGAGATTGCGACGTGGGAAAAGAGTCCGATTGGTGTAAAAGATCGAAGAGATTTCGATCGAGCTGTGTGGAGCGCCGCGAGTCTTCGTCAGCAGCCCGAGCCGCGGAGGTCCTTAGGTTGTCGCTGCTGTGGCGCGAGAATTCTCCCGTCGTACCGTCATCATTACGCTGCGATAGGTGGAACGATTTCCTAGGCGCCTCAGCAATGCTTAGCGTTTCCAGTTCTCTTCCACTGTGCACTACCGGCCTGTTTTGACCGCGTTGACTACATTGACTGACCGGTACCCTCGCGCACGTGGAGCGGTAGCTGGTCCGCGAGTTCCTGCGTAAATATCCAGCGGGAGCGGTCCGACGCGTGCTTGAAGTTAGTGTAGGAGGGCGGTATTTGGATGCTCCTAATACCGCGACTGAGGCGGCAGGAAGTGCCATTAAGGTCGCCGAATCGCGACGCGAAACCACGATTTAGTAGCTCAATGCCGTGGTGGCGACGCTTTGCGACGTGGCTGGCTGGCAGCAATAATTACAGAATGGCCTTCCGTGCAACGTAGGTCTACGTGGTTGTACAGGTGCATCACCAAAATCAGAGCTGCTGCTTGAAAATTAGTGTTCGGAATTCCTCGGTACAAGCATAACAGGGATGATGGTCTCGCTTCGCTCAAATACACTTTCACAGTACCTGCAGCCGTTCACTAAAATTTGAGGTACAGTGTAAGGAAATCTAAGCATTTTCCAATAGCGGCTATCAGGCCTAATACAGAAGCATTCTTGCCTTATCATCTGCTAGGTTCAAAGAGACTAACACATTTATGAGAGCTTGCCGCCACCTAAGGTACTCCAAATCCAAATAGTGCTTCAAGCGAACCACTAAGTCGATTATTGTCTGGGCAACCTCCCATGCCCCTGAGTTGAACAACAAAAAGAGAAGCCAAGGTAGAATATGCGAAGTAGAACATGCAGAAAAGTGAGAAGATTTGAAGAAAGAAACATGCATAACAGTCTGCAGTGAGGAGGGTAAGTATGGAGAGAAATCTAGAGGGAAATGAGGTTAGTGAAGAGGGACGTGAGGAGTGAAGTGAGAAGATTAAGACTTACGAATTCTGAGCATCAAATGCGCCAAGTCTAGCTGTGCTCTCAGGTAAGCTGCCAGGTTGGATGTCAGGTGGCCTGAAGGAGACAGACGGGGTGCGACAATGGGTGCGAACACAAAGTGGGGTCCAGGACCAGGTGCAAACGTGCCTGTGTTTTGAGTCGACGCAAAAGGAGCCGTGGTTTGTTTTGAGCCGACTCAGAAGGAGCCGTGCTTTGTTTTCAGTCGACTCAAAACAGAGTGGGGTCCAGGACCAGGTGCAAACGTGCCAGTCCAGTTGCGGTCAACTGAGCCACAGCGAACCGCCCATTGATCTTTGAGTCGACTCAAAACAAAGTGACTTTTGAGTCGACTCAAAACAAAGTGACTTTTGGGTCGACTCAAAAGTCACTTAGTCCAGCTGCGGTCAACTGAGCCACAGCGAACCGCCCATTGATCTGCAGCCTCAGCATTCAACAGCAGACCAGCAGACAGCATGCCCTTCTGCTACAGTTGTCATCATTGGTAGTCGGGTCCGGTCCAAGCAACAAATATTCTCTCAACATATAATCCGTGTGCGATGAGCCTATTTTTGAGTGGACTCAGAAATAAACCTTTCAACAGAAGACCAGCAGACAGCATGCCCTTCTACTACAGTTGTTTGAGCAAGCATGTGCAACGACTGCACTGCCAACACACACCCACCCACCTTGTTCCGACTACCCGCCACCAAGCCTCACCTTCTTCAGAGTGCCGTACAGCCAGCCCTGCCACAGCAAACCGTCCGTTGATCTGCAGCCTCAGCTTGGGCGTCGCTCCCAGCGCTGTGATGTGCTGCCGAATGAGGTTGCTGGGAGGGGAGACAGAGAGCAGGACAGGTACGATCAGCACAGGGAGGGGAAATGAGAAGGTTGCTATTGATTGAGAGCATCAGCTTGGGCGTCGCTCCCAGCGCTGTGATGTGCTGCCGGATGAGGTTGCTGGGAGGGGAGACACGGGGCAGGGGAAGGGAGGCAAGGGCACAAGGAAAGGTGAATTAGGTTGCTGCGATACCTCCAAAGCCTTCAGCTTGGGTGTTGCTCCCAGCGCTGTGATGGGCGAGGTTGCTGGGAGGGGAGAGAGTCGCATGGCAGGAGAGGAACAGGCGGAATGGGGGGATGTGAATGAGCAAACATTCATTTTCGGCTTAAAAAACTCAGAGCGTCAACGCCGCTCACACACTCACTGCTCCTCATACACCCTCCCTCACACCCTTTCCCCTCCACTCACTACATGCACACCACCAGGAGAATGTCATTCGGCGGCCCCTCCACCATGGCCATCAGGTCCATCTTTCTTCAGAGGTTTTTGAGAATTCTCAAAAACCGGCAATAACTGCTCGCTAATGCACGCAATACAATACAAGCAGTTACCACTCACTCGGTGCGCACCACGAGCAACATGTCTTTGGGAAGCCCCTCCACCACGGCTGTCAGGTCCTGGAGGCGATGACTGACTGCTCTCTCTAGTGCACAAGATAGCTTTCAAGCTACAACGGTCTCTCCATCCCTCACTCACTCACTCACTTAGTGCGCATCACCAGGAACATGTCCTTGGGAAGCCCCTCCACAACGGCTGTCAGGCAATGGGGGCTGATGCAATGACTGCTCTCTAGTGCTCAAGATACCTTTCAAGCTACAACTGTCTCTCCATCCCTCACAACACTCACTCGGTGCGCATGACCAGGAACATGTCTTCAGGCAGCCCCTCCACAACCGCCGTCAGGTCCTGCGGGCTGATCGCCTTGATCTCCCCATACCCGTCCATTCTCTCCACCTGTATCTCCCTCTCTCCGCCTCACTCCACCAGCCCATTCTCCACGACCTCCCACCACCTTCCTTACTACCACAACCACTTCAGCCTTCTCCCCGACTCACTCGGTGCGCATCACGAGGAACATGTCTTCAGGCAGCCCCTCCACCACCGCCGTCAGGTCCTGTGGGCAGAGGCAATGTCTGCTCTTTATTGGACGAAAGGTAATCCACCCCTTACCCCAACCAACACTCACTCGGTGCGCATGACCAGGAACATGTCTTCAGGCAGCCCCTCCACCAACGCCGTCAGGTCCTGCGGGCTGATGGCCTTGATCTCCCTCCGCAGGCTCTTCTCCTCTTCTGGTGACATGCGCTGCCCCCACCGCGTTTTGCTGGTTGGGTACAACAGAATGTTGGGAACGAGAGGAGGAGAACAACGGGGAACGATTAGGTCCTGCGGGCTGATGGCCTTGATCTCCCTCCTCAGACTCTTCTCCTCCTCCGGTGACATACGCTGCCCCCACTGCGTCTTGCTGCATGGTTAAGGGGAGCAATGGAAGGAGGAGAGGGGAAGACAGCATGGGAACCTGTCAGGTTCTGCGGGCTGATCGCCTTCATCTCCTTCATCAGAATCTTCTCCTCCTTGGGTGACATGTGCTGCCCCCGCCGCGTTATGCTGTGTGATAGCGGGGAGGAGTGAGTGAGAGCAGGAGAAGATGGGAACCAGTCGAAAACCAAGGGCTGATAGCTCAAACTCTTGTCCACTTCAGGTGAGGTGACATGCGCTGCCCCCATCGCATGTTGGTGCTGGGGGAAAACGGAAGCAGGGTGCATATCTGTAAGAGGAAGAATGAGAGCAGGGGAGGATGGCAAGCAAGACCCACATCGCTTTACTCCCTTGTAACACTCACCTCTGGGAGGGTCTTGCAATGAGGAGCACAGAAAGGAAACTTGAACCGACAGTAACGAGCGAGCACCGCAGCTGACAGAAGGGCCCTCCATATAAGAGCCCCTCTCTACAGTCACTGTCCTTTCAACACGGCCCTCCCATGCCCGCCAGATACCCACCTTTGGAAGGGCCTTGCAGTGAAGAGCGCAGGCAGGAACCTTGAATATTCAGCTGACTTTGGACGCTCCCTAAGTGGGGCTCCATTGGACGCCCACCTTTGGAAGGGTCTTGCAGTGAAGAGCGCAGGCAGGAACCTTGAATATTCCCCCACGCCCAGCCGCTCCCCCCACCGCTGCACCCCCCCCATGTCCGTCAGAATGAGCGACCGCCACAGCTGGCAGAAGTCCCTTCTGAAGCCGTCGTCCATCTCCCTGTAGAGCCCATGGTCCAGGAGGACTGTGACAGGAGGAAGGGGAACGAGAGCGAGAGAGAGGTAAAGGGGACCGACAGAATGAGTGGGCGCCACAGCTGGCAGAAATCCCTTCTGAAGCCGTCGTCCATCTCCCTGTAGAGCCCATGGTCCAGCAGGACTGTGACGGGGGGGGGAAGGGGAGGAGGGAAGATGAGAGGGGGAGGGGGATGGAAGGCATGGGTATTGTGATGTGAGGGAGGGGAGAGCACATTGCCCCAATGGGGGTGGGTGTGAGTTCCCCAGGCAGGGGGACATGAAGAAGCGTCAATAATAACCAATACCCAACACACTACCACACGCGCTCACCTATGTCAAACTTTCTGAGTCCAGGCTTGTGCCTGGATGAGCACAGTCGATTTTTGAGTCGACTAAAAAATCGACTCAACTTTATGTGTCCAGGCTTGTGCCTGGATGAGCACATTGCCCGTGTGGGGTGGGGGTCCCCATGCAGGTGGGTGAGAAGACGCGACAACCACCAGTGCCCAATATCCTATCACACACCCTCACTCACCAATATCGAACTTCCGCTGCCCAGGCTTGGTGGTGCCGGGTGCGTGTGCCTGAATGAGCACATTGCCCGGGTGCGGGTCGCCATGCAGGTGGCCGTGGCAGAACACCATCTCTGCAAAAACCTCCACCAGCAGCGCCGCCACCTGATGGGGTTTTGGAGTCAGGGTTTAAGTTTCAGGGTTTGGAGGGGGTTCCATGGGAAGAGCAAATGTCCCCATGCAGGTGGCCGTGACAGAACACCATCTCCGCAAACACCTCCACCAGCAGTGCCGCCACCTGCGCAAAGGGGAAAGTCAGGGGAATGAGGGGAGAAAGAGGGGGAGGGGCATGGGGAGAGGGGAGCACAATAAGGTGGTGGTCCCCGTGCAGGTGGCCGTGGCAGAACACCATCTCTGCAAACACCTCCACCAGCAGCGCCGCCACCTGCGCATAAGGGGAAAGGAGGGAGGGGAGGGGAGGGGTGGGGTTGGTCATGGCAAAAGACCGTCTCTTGCCGCCGCCTGACGAGGGGAAGGGAGGGGAGTGGGGAGAGACGACCAAAAGAAGGCACTATGGGAAGAGAAGAGGTAACAGGGGGAAGGAGGCTCTGCAAGATCATGCCCAATGCATTGCTTTCAATAATCGAGTTGTGTGCATGGCTGACCCGTGCTGACCAGTGTTCAATACCTCTAGAGGGTTAGAGCGACAACATTCTTTATGCCCCTCCAGAGCCGTCAACAAGAGAGGGATTTCAGTCGACTCGAAACACTCCGGCACACCAAATGTATGTGCATCGGAATTTGCCTAACTACCTGGTGCACGAATGCACGTACCCCTAGAGGCTTCAGGCCCTGCTTCTTCTTGATCCCCTCCAAATCGTCAATCTGAGCTGAGAGCGTTTTGAATTGACTCAAAACTCACCAGCATGCATCTACTTACCTCATGAATTGCCTAATGATTGGAGCACGAATTCACGTACCTCTAGGGGGTTCAGGCCCTGCTTCTTGATCCCCTCCAAATCGTCAATCTGAGGAGAAAGGGAAGAATAAGGTGGGCGAAGAGGAAAAGGAAGGAATAATCTGCAAATAAGGAGGGCCAATGGAATTAGGGCTGAGAGCTTTGCAATGCTCTCCAGTGTGGGGTATTTTATTAGCGTATTCTAAAACTGCCAGGGTTGGGGACTCGAGACGAGGAGCAGCAGCACGTGATACACAGTGCATACATAAAACGACTTTTGAGACGTCTCAAAAGTCAGCACGTGATACACAGTGCATACATAAAACACACCTTGCACCCGTTCATAAACTCCATTGTCAGGACTCTCTTGGTGGTGAAGTCCTGGTGATGGGAAAGAACGAGAAGGGGGAGACAAAGGGGAGATTATGACGATTGACTGTGTGACATTGTAGCGAGTTGATTTTTGAGTCGACTCAAAAAAGAACGAGAAGGGGGAGACACAGGGGAGATTATGACGATTGACTTTCAGGACACACAGCAAGAACAAATCATGAAGCAGAGCTAGCACAGAGACAGACACACACGGCGCCAGAACACACAGCCAGACCCCAAACCTTTTGCGGCTCCTCGAAACTCTCACGATTCAACCATGACGCAGAGCTGACACAAACACCGGCACAACGCAGACCACAGCAACTCATGTCCAGCTCTCACCCACAGTATCTTGGGCACTTTGACCTCCTCCTTGTGCACAGGAACCCTGGATATCCTCATAAATACCCGTCAAACACACAGGAACGACCTCCCAGCTCTCACCCACAGGATCTTGGGCACTTTGACCTCCTCCTTGTGCGCAAAGTTCTCTGCTGTCAGCTCTGCGTTGCGCCCCTCCTTCTCAAAGTCTGAAAGTTAGCAATCACGAGGACAAACAAGAGGGACGGATGGGATAAGAGAAGAAGCTACAACTTCAGAGGGGATTCAAAAAAAGAAAACTCTGCAGGCCCGAATTTGGCTCCAGAGTTGAATAAGTAAACACAAGGGTGTGGCAAGAACGGACACACGCACGATCCAGGAGCATGGAGAACTGAGTTGCTGCTGCAGGTTGTCTGTGAGGACCAAGGCACGTTCCAGAAGTATGTACCCATTGCCTGATTTACATACAGCGATAGCCACGCTTCTTTCGAGTCGAGTCAGAAAACACAAGGGTGGTGAAGGAGGTGTGCGTGTGGTGAAGGAGGTGTGCGTGTGGTGAGGGAGGTGTGCGTGTGGTGAGGTAGGCGAAGGATGGACACTTGCACGCACCAAGTTGCTGCTGAAGGTTCTCCTGAAACTGAGGCACGATCCAGCTGAATTGGTAGTTTGGAAATATCTGCACGATACACAAGGACGCGAGGCAATAGGAAGGCATAACATGCAGCAGACAATATATCAGCAGAGGAGAAAGGAAGCGCGGGGGAAGAGGCAACAGGAAGGCATAACAGCAAGCGAGGAAGGAAAGAGGAAAGCATGCATTGGCTTGGGTGGACCTAATACGTGCGCCTCTTAGTGCATTGGGTGCGCCTATACAGCATAGGTAGATTCGACGTTAGTTTCCTGACCTTAGTGCCATGATGGGTACATTCAAGCAGAAACAGTGGGAAATACGGGTCACTGGTCATGAAGAAGAGCTGCAGCGTGAAGGATCGCCTTAGCAAAGAACGATAGTCACTGCAGCTCTTCTTCATGACCAGTGACCCGTGGTACATTCAAGCAGAAACAGTGGGAAACAGGGAAATGATTGGCGGGCAAGTCTCTTAACCGCTTGCCATATGCTTGACTCAAAACGAGTAAAACGTCTGAACAGCGTCAAGACTCACCCATTTGACAGCCCGCGAGAGAAAGCCCATGGTGTAGATGTCCGTTGCTACCTGCTCCTCCAGCCGTGGATATTGCACCTGAGAGAACGAGAGAGGGGAGGGAGGCAGGTGGGGAAAGAGTGGTCTGGGAGCGAATAACGAACCGACAGGAAGGAGACTAACCCAGCCCATGGTGTAGATGTCCGTTGCTACCTGCTCCTCCAGGCGAGGGTACTGCACCTGAAGACGAAAAGCATAAGGGGATGAGAGAGGGAGGTGCAGGGGATCAGAGAAAGCCCATGGTGTAGATGTCCGTTGCTACCTGCTCCTCCAGGCGAGCTTAAGGGGATGAGAGAGGGAGGTGCAGGGGATGAGAGAAAGCCCATGGTGTAGATGTCCGTTGCTACCTGCTCCTCCAGACGTGGGGACTGCACCTGAACGTGTGAGAGAGAGGGAAGCGGAATGGGGTGAGAATGGGTTGCGGGGGATAAAAAGCAAAGGGCTGGGAAGAGTAAGGAAGCCCATGGCATAGATGTCCGTTGCTACGTACAGCCATGCATCTATACAGTTACACACCGTTCAGCCACACATGCAGCACCCACCTTCACAGCCGCTTGCTGCCCTGCCCTGACGGCAGTGTCGCTCAGTGCTCGTGAGGCAGCATGCAAACACTCGCACCCGTTTACACAAACACACATGCACAACGTGATACAACACAGCCACATACCTTCACTGCTACTTGCTGCCCTGATGGCAGCGTTGCTCGGTGCACCTGCGCTAGTGATGCCGCTGCTATCGCCTCCTCCTCAAAATGCTCAAAACTGAGAGGGCAGCACGGTCAACAACAGCAACACAACAGAGTCACAAAGTAACGCACACAAAGGTCTTTTTTGAGTCGCATCACTGAAGAAACGCAAACCTCCTTATAGTGTACAAAGCTGAGAAGGCACTACGGTCAACAGTGACACCGTAGGGCCACAAAGCAGCACAAAACAGAAGCGATGATGAATGCACGATAACCTATTACAGCAACGTTTTGAGCCGGTCATGCACTGTCATGATTCGCACTGACACACCCCCACTGCACAGCACACCTCCTTCACCACACCCACATCTCCTTGGCACTCTTGCCGAATTCCTCCTTGAACGCGCATTGAGTGCAGAGCAATACTCTGAGTGATGACGCAACCACATGGTTCCTTCACCACACGCACACCTCCCTCACCACACGCACACCTCCTTCACCACACGCACACCTCCCTCACCACACGCACACCTCCTTCACCACACGCACACCTCCCTCACCACACGCACACCTCCTTCACCACACGCACACCTCCCTCACTACACGCACACCTCCCTCACCACACGCACACCTCCCTCACCACACGCACACCTCCTTCACCACACGCACACCTCCCTCACCACACACACACCTCCTTCACCACACGCACACCTCCCTCACCACACGCACACCTCCACCACACGCACACCTCCCTCACCACACGCACACCTCCCTCACCACACGCACACCTCCCTCACCACACGCACACCTCCCTCACCACACGCACACCTCCCTCACCACACGCACACCTCCTTCACCACACGCACACCTCCCTCACCACACGCACACCGCCTTCACCACACGCACACCTCCCTCACCACACGCACACCTCCTTCACCACACGCACACCTCCCTCACCACACGCACACCTCCTTCACCACACGCACACCTCCCTCACCACACGCACACCTCCCTCACCACACGCACACCTCCTTCACCACACACACACCTCCCTCACCACACGCACACCTCCTTCACCACACGCACACCTCCCTCACCACATGCACACCTCCTTCACCACACGCACACATCCGTCACCACACGCACACCTCCTTCACCACACGCACACCTCCCTCACCACACGCACCCTTCACCACACGCACACCTCCCTCACCACACGCACACCTCCGTCACCACACGCACACCTCCCTCACCACACGCACACCTCCTTCACCACACGCACACCTCCCTCACCACACGCACACCTCCTTCACCACACGCACACCTCCCTCACCACACGCACACCTCCTTCACCACACACAACTCCCTCACCACACGCACACCTCCTTCACCACACGCACATCTCCCTCACCACACGCACACCTCCCTCACCACACGCACACCTCCTTCACCACACGCACACCTCCCTCACCACACGCACACCTCCTTCACCACACGCACACCTCCCTCACCACACGCACACCTCCCTCATCACACGCACACCTCCTTCACCACACGCACACCTCCCTCACCACACGCACACCTCCCTCACCACACGCACACCTCCCTCACCACACGCACACCTCCTTCACCACACGCACACCTCCCTCACCACACGCACACCTCCTTCACCACACGCACACCTCCTTCACCACACGCACACCTCCTTCACCACACGCACACCTCCCTCACCACACTCACATCTCCTTGGAACTCTTGCCGAATTCCTCCTTGAACACGCGGTCAATCACATAAAACGGACGGCCCCGAGCCTGCAAGAAGAACCAGCCAGGGCAGAGCAGTGAACAAGGCAAGTTTCCCATAATCCTTTCTTCCACACACGGCCAATCACACTGAGCTGAGCACACGACCCCCAGCCTTGAACTGACTTTTGAGGCGCCTCAAAAGTCCTTCCACACGCGGCCAATCACACTGAGCTGAGCACACGACCCCCAGCCTTGAACTGACTTTTGAGGCGCCTCAAAAGTCCTTCCACACGCGGCCAATCACACTGAGCTGAGCACACGACCCCCAGCCTTGAACTGACTTTTGAGGCGCCTCAAAAGTCCTTCCACACGCGGCCAATCACACTGAGCTGAGCACACGACCCCCAGCCTTGAACTGACTTTTGAGGCGCCTCAAAAGTCCTTCCACACGCGGCCAATCACACTGAGCTGAGCACACGACCCCCACCCCAGCCTTGAACTGCCGTGCGTTGATGTGAATGTCCCATGCGCTTGAAATCCCCCGATCCTTCTAACCCCACCTTGGGGATTTCTGACAACGGGCTAAAAGCGTGGGGTTCAGGTTTCTTCAGTGTACCTGATCCTGCAGCACAGTGATGCATGTTTTCGAGGGGTCGCAAAAAACTGCCCCCTTTTGATGTAAACGCCAACGCCATGATTTGCCTCGAGATTTCCCAGTTGCCCCAGCTTGAGGGTTTATGACAAAGGGTTCAAAGTTCAAAATTTAGAACTTTTCCCAGCACCTGATCCTGCAGCACTGTGAGGGTCGTGCGGTATTCCTGAGGCAGCTGCTGCCGAGTGGCAATGAGCTGCCCCGCCTTGATGTAGATGCCACGAATAGCCTTGAGATTTCCCAGTATCCCTCACCCCAGATTGAGCGTTTGTGGCATAAGGTTCAAGGTTCAGGGTTTAGGTTTCTTCAGCACACCTGGTCCTGCAGCACAGTGAGGGTCGTGCGGTAATCCCAAGGCAGCTGCTGCAGAGCGGCAATGAATTGACCTGCTTTGATGTCAATGCCGGAATTTGGCTCGAAACCACAGATTGGGCGTTTGTGGCAAAATCTTCAAGGTTCAGGGTTTTTTTTTTCACTCCACCTGATCCTGCAGCACAGTGAGGGTGGTGCGGTACTCCCGAGGCAGCTGCTGCAGAGTGGCAATGAACTGCCCTGCTTTGATGTAGATTCCACGATTCGCCTCGCACAGCCGCAGAATCCTGTCCGCTGATCGCTGGTGGATCTGACGGTGTGGAGTGAGGGATAGAGTGAGAGGGGTTGGGTGGAGGAAGGAAGGAAGGAGAAAAGAATGGAAGCCAGCAAGCTATCAAGCAAGGAAGGGGGCAAGAAAGGAAACCTTCACTTGAAGCCCTCACTAAAAGCCCTCACATGACATTTTATTCTGTCTCAGGCCCACCTGGGACCAGATTCGTACACATTCTGCTGGCGCTACTCTTTTGGAGTCGAATCAAAGCCATAATCTCTCAGTCGGTCTAAGACCCACCTCTGACCGGATCCGTGCATATTCTGCTGGCGCTTCTTTCTTGAGCTTATCCAATGAATTGGTCAATGCCGACACCTTGTAGTCGATGCTGTTAATAGCGAACTGCAAATGAGGGGAGGAATGCATGACGGAGGAACGGAACAGAGGAGCGAACCACGTGGCCAATAAAACCACTTTCAGCTCTTCGTTTACTATCTATCACAAACGTTCAGCTATCAATTCGTACATTAACAATATGGCTTTAAAATGTCACTAATTCTTGACACGCCAAGCTGCAAAAGGATATGTGTCCTTCTTCCAGGCATCACAATCAAAGAATTGCGCTCGTAGGGAATAACGATTGTGGAAAGCAATCATGGATCGCCATTTCCCTTCTCCAGTCTCCCCTCTCTCACGTTAATCAGGGAATAACGTTTTATTGGAATATGCAGTCACGGATCGTCCATTTTCTCATCCAGTCTCCCCTCACTCACCGTTCCCACGGCTCTTGACGATCTCACGATCCCATCTGCGCTAAGCATCAGCCGCTTAACATGCCGGCTGTCAGTCTTCAAACCGCCGTCTGTCGCTGCTATGGCGGCTCCGCCGGCACCCAGGCTTCCCAGCACGAGAGCTCCGACGATCCCGGCTGGCCTCTTAGCAAGAGCTAACGTGCCTCGTCTTAAAGTGGTTAACATGGTGAGTTGAATAGTGAGGTGTACACTACATATTTGAGACCTAAAGTCACATGCACACTACGTCCTAAGGGACTGTAGCTACTGGCGCTATGCGATCGAGATGCGAGAAGAGTTGAGAGTCTAGAAGGTCAGATAGACTGTGAGCTGACCCGACGATCAGCTTGAAACTTCGTCTAGAGCTGCCTGAAGTAGTTTTGCTACGCGAAGACAACCAGATGGTGACACGAGCAGGGCGGGTCCATATTAGGAGGACAGAATTCCGTGAAACACGGAAGCTGCTATGATCACGTACAACAACGGAAGACAAAGCCGAAGGTTCCAGCCTGATCAAACCGTCTCTTCCTGATCAAGTGGCATCTTTCCTTTGGTGCTGAACTATACTCCATTTAAGCTCACCTCCTCTCACTGAAGCACCAAAATTACAGTTTCTGCTGTACAACGTAAAACGAAATGCTTCCACTTTCTGTATCTCTGGAGCCTTCGTGCGCAGAAAGAATCCGATTGGCCACAATGTGAAGCCGACGTGGCCGGAATATTTGAGGACCAATGTCGGCGTGAAAATCGCGGGAATAAGGGCATTCAGCGCGTCGGGAGAGCTCCGTTTGTGAGTCCAACCCTACCTGACCTAATTGAACCGTATTAGAGTGATCTCACACGAGTGAGTGAAGTGAGTCTGCATGCTGCCTTGAATCACCTGCGAAATTGATGTACAACGGAAAGGACCTACCATACCGTACGAAAACTTTCAGAACCTAGGCGAACCACTCTGACTTTAGGGCTCGAGTTTTTCAAGTCAACTACGAGAGGGTCGCAGTTCCAAAACAAGCTCGTGCGTGAATCTGTTGCGCTGTGAGTCTATTAGTATTTTTTTCGCACTGAGCAGCCTAACAGCAGATGATGCCTGAATAGTATACTGTCTGTCACCACGTTGCGATCGCTCATTCGCGATCGCACTGAGATCAGCTCGGCGGGTTTCCTACCGGGATCCCCGCAGTGATTGAGCAACAATTATTCCGTAACGTCCATTTACTGGTTGTGTCCAGTTTTCTTCGCGGTATTTTGCTTGAAGTGCTCAGCACTTTTTTTTGCCGCGATTCGTTTCAGGGACACAAAAAGTCAACAATTTTTATCATCACTTCGCCGATACTCACAGTTAATATACGAATTCCTTGTTCAGGAGTTATCAACCTTGAGACATATTCTGCTATTTTAGTTGTCACAGCTAGTATCCCGAAGAAATCATCCAGCTATGACTGGACTCTTCACTCTACCGTCATCCAGTCAAGCCCTTCAACCACTATGGAAGGTGCGTGGTTCGTGTCAAGGTTACTTTTGAGACCGACTCTAGAGTCGACTTAAAATCCACCAACCCTCACTCCGTTCAACAAGTCAAGCTTTTTAACCACTATGGAAGGTGCGTGTTTCATGTAAATTTTGAGGCGACTTTTAAGTCGACTCAAAGGTCACTTTGTTCCACTCATGGCTGGACTCGCGTCCCACCAACTTCTCACTCTACCTTCAACTAGTCCATCTAGTCAACCTCTACGGAATGTTCGTGATTCATGTGAAGTTTGAGATCAACTAAAAGTCAACTCGTCTAGTGACGCGTTCAAACGTTACAAGCGCTTCGTAGTTCATGTAACTTCGTCATGCGTGTATTACTCCGTTATCCCGCCATACTGATGGTCCTTAACACATATTCGGTCTATTTGCAGGGAAACACCTCGTCGGCGCCTCCCCGCAGGGCTTTTCTCAAAACCTCTCGATCCCGATTCTGTTCAGTCAAATCCGTCCGTCCATCTGTGCGGGCCGAAGCCTCTCCGCAGTCCCAGTCAGGTAACAAGCACAATCAACAATCTTACGGAGTCATGTACTAAATCAATCCGCTTGACCTGCCTCGTGCTTGACTCATGCTTTTGCTGAATGCTATAAGGCAGTTTTAACACAGGCATTCCCTGTGTTCTCATGCTCGTGCCCCCTCTCTGCTTGCAGCTCCCGTCACTGCTGCGTCCGCGTCAGCAGCAGCTTCGCCACCAGCAGCTGAGGAAGAGGCTCAAGTACGAAGGAACAACACGAGTAGCAGCATCAGCAACAGGAACAGCAGAAGCAGCAGCACCACCACCAGCAGCAGCAGCACTGGCAACCGCACCGTCGCAGGGGAAGACCATTTTTCAGCCGCATCAATCGCCACTACGCTGCAACTCACAGGAGGATCCCTGGGGTTCGCCGGAGCAACGTCGCCCCTTGTCCCGGCAGGCCCGGGCCAGGCGAAGCAGGCTCGGCAGCAGAAGCGGATCGTGCTGATCAGGCACGGGCTGAGCTCGTGGAACGCAGAGGGGCGCGTTCAGGGCCGGTCGGACGAGTCTGTTCTGTCGGAGACTGGCGAGATCCAGGCGCTGCGATGCAGAGAGGCTTTAAGGGATACGCACTTCGACTGCTGCTACTCCAGCCCGATTTCGCGAGCAAAGGTGAGGCAAAGGACGGGTATGGTGTGGGAGGGATGAAGGAGAGGAGGAGGGGAGAGAAGCGCATTGTGCTTATCAGGCACGGGCTGAGCTCGTGGAATGCGGAGGGGAGAGTCCAGGGCCGGTCGGATGAGTCTGTTTTGTCGGAGACTGGCGAGATTCAGGCGCTGAGGTGCAGAGAGGCGCTGAGGGATACCCACTTCGACTGCTGCTACTCCAGTCCGATTTCTCGAGCTAAGGTGAGACATGCAGACGTGCAAGGCAAGGCACGCTGTTGTGGTATGGATGAAGGAGGCGGAGACTCAGGGCTGGGCTGACGAGTCTGTTCTGTTGGAGACTGGCTAGATCCAGGCGCTGCGGTGCAGAGAGGCGCTGAGGGATACTCAGTTTGACTGCTGCTACTCCAGCCCCATATCACAAGCCAAGGTAAGGCATGCTGGGGTATGGATAAAAGAGGGACAAATTCAGGGCTGGGTTCATGAGTCTGTTCTGTCGGCGACTGGGGAGATCTAGGCGCTGCGATGCAGAGAGGCTTTAAGGAATACGCACTTCGACTGCTGCTACTCTAGTTCCATATCGCGGGCTAAGGTGAGACGTGCAGATGTGCAAGGTGAGGCGTGCTGGGTTTTATGGATGAGGGAGGGGAGGAAGGTAAGACATGCAGATGTGCAGGTGAGTCAGATGGACGCAGGACAGAGTGGGGCGAGTACAAAGCCGGGATGACGTTTGAGTCGACTCAAAGGCATTTCGACTGCTGCTAATCCAGCCCCGCGAGCCAAAATAAGATGCAGATGAGTCAGATTGACGCAGGGGAGGAGGAGGGCAGAGTGGGGCGAGTGCGTCACCCCCATCAAAGCAGTGCATTACCTGGGAGGGGCGCAAGGAGCCTCTCGTAGTTCTGGAGTTTGCATTTCAAATCTCCCCACCCTCACACTCCCCGCTATCCCCCTTTCCCCCCACGTTCTCCCCCCCCATCAGAGCAGTGCATCACCTGGGAGGGGCGCAAGGGAGCCTCTCGTGTTTCTGGAGGTTGCGTCTAATATCTCCCCAACCACCCAACCACCCAACCCCCCACTCCCCTCTTATCCGCTTCCCCTCGCGTACTCACCCCCCATCAGAGCAGCGCAGAGATCATTTGGGAGGGGCGCAAGGAGCCCTCTCATATTCGACCCCTTCTCCCCCCCCAAACCCCCACTTGCGCTTTGTTGCCATCAGAGCAGCGCGGAGATCATTTGGGAGGGGCGCAAGGAGCCTCTGGTGTTCCTGGACTCCCTTAGCGAGGCCCACCTGCACTTTCTTGAAGGCATGCTCAACTGTGAGTGGCAGGGCAGGGCTTGTTATAAGGGGGATATATATTGTGACTGTAACGAGCTAGCTTTGTGAGTGAGGCCTACCTGCGCTTCCTGTGTGGCTCTCCTGCTTTATTCTTGTCATCTTTTCCAACACTCTTATTCCCTTTGCTTCTCACCCGCTGCCCCTGCTTCCTCTTCACTGCTCTTGCCGAACCTCCAGCCGAAGCTAAGCGGCTGTATCCGGACCTGTTCCGAGCCTGGCGAGAAGATCCGGCGAACTTCTGTGTGGATGGGGTGTTTCCGGTGCACCAGCTGTGGGATCAGGCCAGAGACACGTGGCGAGAGCTGCTAGAAAGCCCAGTGAGTGTGACTGTAACGAAGGTTCCTGGTACTATAACATGCATGTTTCTGTTCTAAGGTGGATGGGGTGTTTCTGGTGCACCAGCTGTGGGACCAGGCTAGGGACACGTGGCGAGAACTGCTTGAAAGCCCTGTGAGTGTGACAGTAACGAAGGTTACTGTACCAAATGGTATCATACTGAGTATTTTCCTGATTTAGTGTGAATGGGGTGCTTCTGGTGCACCAGCTGTGGGACCAGGCTAGGGACACGTGGCGAGAACTGCTTGAAAGCCCTGTGAGTGTGACAGTAACGAAGGTTACTGTACCAAATGGTATTATACTGAGTATTTTCCTGATTTAGTGTGAATGGGGTGCTTCTGGTGCACCAGCTGTGGGACCAGCCTAGAGACACGTGGCGAGAACTGCTAGAAAGCCCTGTGAGTGGTACTATGGCGAGTGGTATTACACAGAGTAGTTTTCTGCTGTAATGTGGATGGGATGTTTCCAGTGTACCAGCTGTGGGAAAACAGAAGTGTTTTGAGACGTCTCAAAAGCTTTCTGCTGTAATGTGGATGGGATGTTTCCAGTGTACCAGCTGTAAGACCAGGCTAGAGATACGTGGCGAGAGCTGCTTAGAGCCCAGTGAGTGTGACAGTAACGAGCTGTACTACCACAGGAGTCCATCCATGCAGGGCTCTGACACACATAAGTCCTCGAAACACACAAGTCTCGGCTGAGAGCTTTGCATTGCCCTGCTGTTAGCTTTGCATTGCCCTGCTGAGAGCTTTGCATTGCCCTGCTGAGAGCTCTGCACTGCCCTGCGGAGAGCTTTGCATTGCCCTGCGGAGAGCTTTGCATTGCCCTGCTGAGAGCTTTGCATTGCCCTGCTGAGAGCTTTGCATTGCCCTGCTGAGAGCTTTGCATTGCCCTGCTGAGAGCTTTGCATTGCCCTACTGAGAGCTTTGCATTGCCCTGCTGTGAGCTTTGCATTGCCCTGCTGAGAGCTTTGCATTGCCCTGCTGAGAGCTTTGCATTGCCCTGCGGAGAGCTTTGCATTGCCCTGCTGAGAGCTTTGCATTGCCCTGCTGGGAGCTTTGCATGGCCCTGCTGGGAGCTTTGCATTGCCCTGCTGAGATCTTTGTTCTGTTGTGAAGCCCTGCGATTGCCACTGCCCTTGCTCCTGCCACTGCTACTACCACTGCCACTTGTGTTCCTGCCCGTCCTCCCATGCAGGGAGCTGCCAGTCCCTGCTGAGAGAGCTGCTCTGCTCGGCATTGCACTGCTCTGCTCTTCCATTCACGTCATCCCTTTCGTATGACAATCTCAAGGACATGCTGCCATTGCGCCCTGCCCTCATCCCATGCAGGGCTCTCAGATTTTGGTCGTCACACACAAGTCCCTGTTGAGAGCGCTGCTCTGCACTGCTCTTGGCATGGGCCCTGACAAGTAAGAGATTTTAAATGCGCCCAGGAGGGTTAGATTTTGATTTTTGCAGGAAATGTTCTGTGCCTTCTGTTATGGGGACGAGAGGGGGGGCTTTTGAGTGATCCCAGGAGGGTTAAACGGGGTGAAATACCTTGGGGAAGAGGATGTCACAACAAGTGTGTTTTGAGTCGACTCAAAACACAGTCAAATACCTTGGGGAAGAGGATGTCACAACAAGTTTCCACTTCTGAGCCTGGTGATTTTGAGACGTCTCAAAAACACCCTCGCTATACAAGTTTCCACTTCTGAGCCTAGTGATCCCAGACCATTACGCATAGGTGTCTGATATAGTACGCTTCAGACTGTCTTCCCCTTTCTCTCTCACATTTCTCAGTATTCCCCTTGTCTTTCTCTATCAGGCCCCTTTTTTCCACAACATTTCCCTTCCCTCGCTTTCTGTTACCCCGCACTTGTTTCACTGCCCCCATACCAGGTTCAGGGCAATGGACGTCAACAATGGGGGCATGTGTGTGGTGATGGTGAACAGTAGAGGCGAGCCCATGGTGGAGAGTCTCAATGTCACGGCGCATCTACAGTCACATGCAATTAGTTACCACTTCAAACCGTAGAGGCGAGCCCCTGGCTGCAACAGGAGATATGGTGAGATGGCAATGTGGGCCCACACATTGTTCATCTACAAACTCATATCCTCATAATGGCCTGCTAACGGTTATACATGTACATCGTGCATGTTTTGCCGTACTGGCTGTGGATTCTGCAGTGCTTTAAAACATACGGTACTAACACATGTATCATAAATGGAAGATAACTAGTAACAGCGGGATGTTTGTATGAGGTGTTGTCACCTGAGTCATATATACATGTTCGATTATAAGGAGGGCAGGACAATACGCGACTTATGGCTGCCACTGAGCGTCTTTCGCGAATGAATTTGCTTCTGATGTGGGGTCGGACAAAAGGATGCCTGAACACGTCATTCCTGGGTAACAGCGTTATCGTCAACAATCTGTAACAGATGGAACAAGTATTGCGAGGTTTGCTCGGGCAGCAACGACAATCGTTACGACACTCAGCGCAAACGCTCAACCTGCTCAAACCAATCCCAAGAGCCTAGTCCCCTGTCACGTTGTGTTACGGGCGTTTGCCATTTGAGACGCATTTCATCTCGTCATATATCTTCGATATCAGCTTCTGTCGCGTCCAGCTTGCTGTTCTAGCTTATAATATTCTCGTGAAAATTATCTGCACCCAACGATCCAATGTCCGCTAGCGTTGGGAAAAAACTACTGTAAAGCATCGCTCGGAGACACGCGGTCCCTCGAGCAACCTGGTTTTATTACGAGCCGTGACCATGACTAGGGTGGCTAGGCATCCTATTGTTCCGAACCAAAGTTTTTCATTCCTTCCCACGAAACACTTCTGATAAGGACGCGTTACGAACAAATCGGAGTGGCGAAAAAACATGATCAGGGATGTAAAAGTGGGGTGACTGGTTATGGATACATCAACTAGAATGCGGGGACCAGGCGGGTTTAACCTATTCGAGTCAATTATCATATGGAAGAGGAGAGTTTTGTGCCCGCGGGCAGATGACTGCGGGCATTCGGTGCTCATTTCCACAGGTCCATTTCGGTGTGGGTGTCGGCTACCACGTGCGCTTTCGCGCCGGCGACTAGGCAAACCGCGGCAGAAACATTACGTAACTGCACAACCCACTACAGAATGCTTATAACCAGTCACTCAATGTGAAACAATGCCATTCATGTCTCCTCCATCAGGAAATTTGAACCCTCTGAAACTGCTGCCTGCAAATTTGAATTTTATTCCAACAGACAATCGAGAGATCTTCAAACGTCAACCAGAGGCCCTCTCGATCATCGTAGTTACTTTATTTTCCCATGGCGCATGCGGTCGCTGCTTCTGCTATTCGCAGTCCTGGCATTCCTGTTTTCACGGGAATTGCAAGGCCAGCTGGGATAACCAGCGCCACAATCCGACTCGACTCTCGATGCAGTCACATGCCGTACCAAATTCGCCACGTGTCACCCCGACAGGAGCGCGCCTCGTCCGCCATTAGTAGCCGCGAAGCAGCTCTCTTGCCGGCTGCTGATTTTTCGCGTACTGACCCAGTAATCGCGCTTCCGTCCGCCAATAGCAGCGCAGAAGCATCTTTTTCCGCCGCGATTCGAGCCTCCTTGTCCATTGTCCGCCCAGACGCTGCACTACGCTTCAAACCAAGTCAGCTTCCAACTCGCGCTTACGGTAGCGAATCAGGGCTGCCACGTGGAAGGATCTCATTAACAACGGGACAGCGCAGTAACATTGGGGCAGGCGTGTCAGCAAGAGCAGCAGCTGGAGGAAGGGTGGAAGGCGGAGGAGAAGGAGGAAGCGAGGGAGCGGCAGATGGGGTGGGGGAGAGTGATGTTGAAGCAGCTGCTCTCGCTCACCGGCAACGTCGATTAGAGGTCTGCCCCATTCTCTAAATACCCCTTCCTCTCGCTCCCACCCATTAAAAGCGCCTCAAAGGTCGACAAAATATGCTCTGACTCGCTCGCATTGTGAGCCGCCTCAAAAGCTCGCCCTGCCACTCTCCCTTTTCCCTACCGTTGAATCCTCCACAGCCCCCCTTTCCCTTCCCCTCCACCGGCTGCTCTGCTGCTACCAGCGCTGCTGACAGTATCCCTGGGAGTGGCCAACCGAGTGCCATACAATCCGAGACCCTCTTTCTCATGCCCTCTTTCTCATGCCCTCTTTCTCATGCCCTCTTTCCCATACGTTTCCCCTCTTCCATCCACCAGATGCTGCTAGCAGCGCTGCTGACAGTGTCTCTGGGAGTGGCCAACCGAGTGCTCTACAAGCTGGCGCTCATTCCACCCAAAAACCCCAAACCCGAAATCTCATCTCTACCCCATCAGCTCCTAGAACTAGCGCTGCTGACAGTATATCTGGGTGTGGCCAACTGATTGCTCTACAATCTCGCCCTCATTCCCTCATCCCGCCCCGCCCATCCTCTCTCGTATCTCCTTCTCTTGCCCTACCTCTACCTCATCAGCTCCTTCTACTAGCACTGCTGACAGTATCTCTGGGAGTGGCCAACCGAGTGCTCTACAATCTCGCGCTCATTCCGATGTGTCGCTACCCCTTTTTCCTCTCGCAGCTCACCACATTCAGGTAAATTTAACCGCTTCTAAGCGCTTTCCATAACCCATCACTCCTAAACACCCTCTGTGCAGCTACCCCTTTTTCCTCTCCCAGCTCACCACATTCGGGTGAGTCTCATCCTCCTCCTCGTCTGCTGCTCCCTCGATATGGTCACACCCGACATGCTCCCTCGTCTCGCAGCCCGTCCTGTGCCCTGCTCCCCCCCTTTCCTTCTCGTCCATACCTCCCTTGCCCCTTTTCCTCCTCGTTCGTACCTCCCTTGTCCCTTTTCTCATTTCCCTTTACCGTTTCCGCATCCGCCCCTTGGCAGCAGCATTTGTCAAGAAGCCGCCTCTGCCCACTCTCCTCTCCCCCCTCTCCCTGCTCTCCCCCCTCTCCCCGCCCTCCCCCCTCTCCCCGCTCTCTCTCCACTCCCCTCAATCTCCCCCCATTCCCTCTCCCAGCTACGTGGCAGTCTATTCACTCACCCTCCTCGCCCGCACCTCCCTCAATATAGTCACACCCGACATGCTCTCTCTGCCCAAGCTTCCCTTCATGCTCATGGGGCTGCTGGAAGGAGCAGGACTCGCATTAGGCATGATTGCTGCTGGTGAGTTCAAATGACACTGCTTCCACCCCAAACCTTTTGCCCCTAACCCCTACACCCAAAGCCCAAGCCCCGCACCCGACATGCTCTCGCTGCCCAAGCGTCCCTTCATACTCACAGGGTTGCTGGAAGGAGCAGGACTCGCACTAGGCATGATGGCTGCTGGTATGTGTGCTGCTGATGATGCCTGATTAGCCACGTGAAAGAAGTGAATATTTGAGATGTCTCAAATACTCATGGGGTTGCTGGAAGGAGCAGGACTCGCATTAGGCATAATTGCTGCTGGTATGTGTGCTGCTGATGATGCCTGATTAACCCTAGGCCTAGCCCCTAAACCCTAGCCCCTAAACCCTGGCCCTGAACCCGACATGCTCACTCTGCCCAAGGGCCCCTTGCTGCTCATGGGTCTGCTGGAAGGAGCAGGACTCGCATTAGGCATGATGGCTGCTGGTGAGTTGATCGGCAGTGGACAACTTTTGCTCCACCCCTTACCCCTTACCCCTAGCCCCTAACCCCGAACCCCTAATTCCTATCCCGACATGCTCACTCTGCCCAAGCGCCCCTTGCTGCTCATGGGGCTGCTAGAAGCAGCAGGACTCGCGACAAGCATGAAGGCTGCTGGTGACTTGAAAGGCAGTACATCTAGCCCTTAGACCCCAAACCCTCGCCCCCAAACCCTCGCCCCCAACCCGACATGCTCACTGTCTGTACCCAAGCGCCCCTTGCTGCTCATGGGGCTGTTAGAAGCAGCAGGGTGGCTGCAAGTGCTGAGGAAAACCCTTATCAAATCTCGTGACTCGTCACAAGCACCCGTAAACCCAAACCCCTAGCCCTTAACCCAAGCCCTCAATCTCCTCATCTTCTCACCCCTGCTGCTGCTCCCTTTGCACGAGGTGCCAACACATATGTCGTTTGCACGAACGTCATCCCCTCTGCTCCCGTGCCCTCCCCTGCTGCCTTCCCCTGCTGCCCTCCCCTGCTGCCCTCCCCTGCTGCCCTCCCCTGCTGCCCTCCCCTGCTGCCCGCCCCTGCTGCCCCCCCAATGCCCCCCCTCTGCAGCGCACATGCCAGGAGTCCTCATCCCAGTGCTCTCACAGGTATGCCCTTCCCTTCCCTCTTTGCTGTCGCACTGCACCGCACACAACCTCTGTTCCCCACTCTTCGCCCTGCAGGTCTTCCTGGTGTGGCAGGTCACCCTCGCTTATCTCTCTCACTTCTTTCTTCAACCATCTCTCCCGCTCTGCACCGCACACAACCCCTTCAGGTCTTCCTGGTGTGGCAGGTCACCTTCTCTTATGTCTTCCTCGGCTGCCGGTACTCGCTACAGCAGCTTCTGGGATGCTTCCTCGTGATCATGGGGGTTGCCGTGGTGGTGATCACAAGGTACTGCAGACGCATGTGGTGACACGTCATGCCACGTCATGCCACGTCATGCCACATCATGCCATGCCATGTCATGCCACGTCGTCTTACGTCATGCCACATCATGCCACGGTATGCATGGCACATCCCTCGTCCTGTCGTGCCACATCATGCCTCGATGTTCATGCCATTGCATGACTACCATGTCCAGTGGTAATAGTCATGGTACGGTACCCTCTGCCGCTGTTGCTTCATTCCCGTAGTAATAGTCCTTACTTGTACGACCACCACCAGTATACGACTATTACAATGGCATTTCACCTGTGGGAATGGATACTCAAACCTCCTCCCATTCTTCCTTCCTCCCCCCAACCCAACTTCTTCCGACCCTTCCCTCTCCCTTGCCTTACCCCGCTTCCCGTCCCGCTCCAATCCCACCGCACTGCACCGCAGTGGACCGCCATTGCATATTGTGTCCACGTTATTAGCTTCTCTGCTAGCAGCAACACCGATCCAGTGGCCCCTCCTCTTCCTATTGTCCACTGTGCTTCCAGCAGCATCCTCTGTTCTTAAGGTGAGATTCTTTCCCCGCTGCGAGTCCATTGCGCCTTTCCTCTATTACTCAAGCCTTTTGTTTCTATCTCAACCATTCTATCTGAGAAAAGGCCTTTTCCATCGGCCCCCCAACTAGTTCTTTTGCAGAATTTTATGTTTTAGGGCAACAGTTGAGTCAACCGCAAAGTCATTCACACAACACAACTTGGTGTTTAGGTGACTTTTGAGCCGACTCAAAAGTCACCCCGTTTCAGGGCAACCCTTGAGTCAAGTCAACCGCAAAGTCATTCACGAAGTCACAACTCGGGTGTTCTCTCTCCACGCTTGTGCTCACTCACCTTCGCCCTTTGATTCCTTATTTCTTCTTCGAAACTGCTTGCTCTGCTCTGATCAACAGGAGCGTGTCTTCCGAGATTCGGCCAAGAAGCTCAACGTAAGCCTTACTACCACATCCCACATCCCACATCCCTAGTAAAAAGCCCAGCTTATTTGTGAGGCGTGGAAAAGATCAAGCCAGGGGGTTGGACAGTGAGTGGTCACAGGACTTGGTCTCTATGCTCATATGTCACACAAGCAGCCGACCTCTGTAAATGTGAACCATCGTGTTCCATATCACATATCACATTTCACGTCCGCATGTGCACGCATATGCAATGTTCCATGCCAAGCCTTCTCATCCTGCCCCACCACACCATACCACACCACAGGGTCGCTCGTTGGACATATTTGTTGTCAACACCTTCGGATCAGCCTTCCAGGTGCTCCCCCTTTCGACCCTCTATTCGCAGATTCTCCCGTTCATTTCCCCCCATTCTCACTTTTCCTTTCATTTCCCTCCTTTTCCTTCCATCTTCTTTCTCCCTACCCTCCTCTCTTAGTACACTAAGATGTTCCAACAGAAATACCTCTTCCAGCTCTCATACCCGTTTCCCCACCTCCTTCCCCTCATCTTCTCCTACTGATCCACGGATCTCCTCATTTGGGGCGATTCTGGAGGCGTCTTTTGAGTCGACTCAAAGGTCACTCTCATGCCCTTGTCCCCATCTCCTTCCCCTCATCTTCTCCTACTGATCCACGGATCTCCTCATTCGGGGTGATTCTTGAGGCGCCTCATCATTCTACTGTCTCTTTTGTGTCCTGCTCGACCGGCAAAAGTGTAAACTGCTTTTGTTTTCTTCTATCGCTTTTGAGAATTCTTAAAAGTGGCAAAAGTTCCTTTTGAGAATTCCCAAAAGTTCCTCGCTTGGCAACACCACTTTGATCTTTTACAAGGCAACTCCTGAGTCGACTCCAAATTCACCCCTCTCTCTATTCATTAGTATATATATGACTTCTTAGAATCTGAATCCCCCACATCCTCATTCTAAGTACAGGCGCTTTTCATCCTCATTCTAAGTACAGGCGCTTTTCATCCTCATCCCCCTGCCGCTCCTCTCCTCCCTGGGTACACACCATTGCAACTAAGTGACATTTGAGTTGACTCAATACCGGATCTACTTCCTCTCCTCCCCTGCCGCCCTTCCCACCACCACAGGCGCCATTCATCCTCATCCCCCTGCCGCTCAACTCCTGTCTGGGTATACACCATTGTGGCCTAGAGAGGAGCTAACCCCGTTGTCTTTTGAGTCAACTCAACAGCTGACCCACTCTTCCCTCTCCTGCCGCCCTTCCCACCACCACAGGCGCCATTCATCCTCATCCTACTGCCGCTCAACTCCTCTCTGGGTATACACCATTGTGGCCTAGAGAGGAGCTAACCCCGTTGTCATTTGAGTCGACTCAACAGCTGACCCACTCTTCCCTCTCCTGCCGCCCTTCCCACCACCACAGGCGCTTTTCATCCTCATCCTGCCGCCCTTCCCACCACCACAGGCGCTTTTCATCCTCATCCTGCCGCCCTTCCCACCTAAGTGGGAAAATACGCGTATTGCGTATATACGCGTGTCGTATATACGCACGCGTTTATACGCTATACGCAAAGGTCCCGAGACCCTAGATACGCTATTTCGGGCAGGTTAAAAAAACATCGGGCAGCTAAAATAAGACCCCCCTGCAATACTACTGGGGTAAGTTTCCACGGGGGTAGGATTTCCCGGTTTTTTTTCCCGTTTTTTTTTTTTCACCAACATTACAATGACAACTACTCATCCCATACTACTACTACTACTTCACATACTACTACTCACGCTAGTCCAGATCAATTAACCCACCTACGCATACTCATCCTCCAAAATGTCGTCTTCCCCCTCCTCCTCCTCCTCATCCCCCTCCATCACATTGTAGCCCTCGGGCACGGGAGGCTCCGGGATGTTCCCGAGCACCACACCCGGCATGACATCTGCACGGGAATGCCAGTTGCGCACAACGCTCCAGTTGTGCGCAACAAAAACCAAATCCCGGCACTTGGCAGAGCCAAGCCGGTTCCGGCGGGCCGTGTGCACCCCATCCCACGTTGACCATCCCCTCTCACATGGTGAAGCCGACACGGGCTGAGAGAGAGTCCTGATGGCTAGGGCCGCCAGCTTTGGTGCGTCAGTGCCGTGCCACTGCCACCACTTTACCATGTCATACTTGCCTTGCTTGACCAAGTTCCTCTGAGCAATTGCATCCCCCATCCCGAAGCTTCCCTTCATATCCAGAAATGCCCTCACCCCGTCCTGCAGTTCCATCAAAACCTCGCCAATGTCATCCCCATCATCCCCCTCCTTCCCGTAATTGCACAGGTGCTCGGCGTGCTGAGTGATGTACGTTTTGAATACCCTAGTGCACTCCGCGTCTGAGCCGAAGATGTCTTCATCCTGGTTCGCCGGGTTGAGAATTCTGCCCGCAACGTGCATGGGGCAGGCCAGGCTGTCGTCCCACCTGTTCTTCAGCAGGCGGCGGATGTTCACTTTGTCGGAGTAGCTCAGCTGCTCCTCATCCTCCTCCACCACTGTCCCCACATCCTCGGTCAACTGCAGCATCACATCATACATCCGGCCCATCATCCCCTTGGCATCCCCATCGGTCTTACGCATTGCCATGAACGGGAGCTTCATCAGCTTGGAGAAAAACTCCGCCGTCCGCCACCACGCGTCATCAAGAACTTGTGACGCAAACTTATCCGCAGACTTCTTCCTATCCCCAACTGCCCAACCCTTCCACACATCAGACACCACCATCTGTGCAAGCGACTGCCGCAGCTCACAGAGACGGGACACAACAATGTACTGTGTCCCGAATCTGGTTCCAGCCGGTTTCAGCGCCTGCAGCATCTTTTCACCCACCAGTCCGGGGGTCCTCAAGTATCCCCTTGTCCAGTGGTGGTTGCGGACGAAGGAGCTGATCTCGCCCGCAGTGTCCACCACCTTCTTGGCCCACGTCATCTTGCCGACGTCCTCCATGAAGAGGTCCAACACGTGGGTGGCGCATGGCACGTGTTGAATGTGCGGCCATTCCGCGATCAGCTCGTTGCACGCCACCGCGTAGTTGGACCCACCGTCCGTGCAGAACGCCACCACGTTATCGGGACCGACCTCCTCCACCACGGGCCTGAGGATGCTGGCGACATAACCGCCGGTTTTGGTCTACATGCGACAGTCCACGCTGTCCTTGAACACCGCACCGCTCTCGTTGACGAGAAACACGTTCGCCCGGGGGCGACCGTTCTTATCAGTCATCATATCAGAAGAAATTGTCACGCCGGTCCGCTTCCAGCTCGCCTTCACTCCAGAAAGCCCTCTGTCGATGTTCTCGCAACAGAGTCGCAAGCCCGCCCCGCCGATGAACGTCCTCGTCGGGGGGACGTATCCTGTGCCGGAGTCCCTAATGGCACAAACGGCGTTGATGAAGAGAGGGTGTGCCGCCACGCGCTCCAGGATTCGACACGCCGCGAACATCAGCGCCAACGCCTCGTGTGCATCGCGCTTCGCAGCTGCCGCATCCGTCTCCAAGTAGTCAGTAATGCGGCTCCTCTTTCCGCCACTGGTGACCGACGCAATGGCATCCGATGTCGCCTGGCGGCGCTGATCCGCCGCTGCAGCCTTAGCCTCATACTTCTTCCGGATGGCAGCCCGTACTTCAGAGGGGGCTTCCTTGCATAGCGCCACTTCGCGGCGCCTCATCTTCCTCCAACTCGCCAAGTGCTGCGCGCAGCGGGTGGCGGCGCCAGAAAAGACATTGCAGCAGTACCTGCATTCGTATTGCTGCGATTTCCCCTCGTCCACCTTTATGCGGCGGAAATGCTTGAACACCTCGTGGTCGACATCGGGAAGGTAAACTCGCGCCGACTGAACAGGACTGTCCGTGCTGGTATTAGGAGGGGGAGTGGACGGGGTCGGGCTAACATCTGCAGAAGACATTCTAAAAAGGTCTGTGAAGGTACATGGGAGGATGCATTGACGAGAGAGAACAATACCTGATTGTGAAGTAGCGTGGGATGGAGTGGTGGGGAGAAGTTGAATTGGAGGGAGTTTGTAGGTCGAGAGCGGTACAAATTGGTGGAACTCCAATGTGGAATGTCAAGGACATCGCGACTCCAAACATTGGAGCCACGTAACCCAACTCACAGTCGCGGGGCCGCGAATTGAAAGCACGGAAACCAACTCACCTCCATACATTGAAGCCACGTCCAGGCCAGGGTAGATCTCGGACGTGCATTTCGAGCACGGCATCTTCTTCGCCGTGACAAGACGAAACTTTTCAGATATACAATTTTTTTTTCGTTTTTGGGCTGCCCTGAAAAAAACCCCCGAGCGTATTGCGTATTCGTTAGCGTATAGCGTTTTGCGTGTATACGCAAGCGGATAACGCTAAACGCTTAAAGGCAAAAGCGTATTTTGCCACTTAGCTTCCCACCACCACAGGCGCTTTTCATCCTCATCCTGCCGCCCTTCCCACCACCACAGGCGCTTTTCATCCTCATCCTGCCGCCCTTCCCACCACCACAGGCGCTTTTCATCCTCATCCTGCCGCCCTTCCCACCACCACAGGCGCTTTTCATCCTCATCCTGCCGCCCTTCCCACCACCACAGGCGCTTTTCATCCTCATCCTGCCGCCCTTCCCACCACCACAGGCGCTTTTCATCCTCATCCTGCCGCCCTTCCCACCACCACAGGCGCTTTTCATCCTCATCCTGCCGCCCTTCCCACCACCACAGGCGCTTTTCATCCTCATCCTGCCGCCCTTCCCACCACCACAGGCGCTTTTCATCCTCATCCTGCTGCCCTTCCCACCACCACAGGCGCTTTTCATCCTCATCCTGCCGCCCTTCCCACCACCACAGGCGCTTTTCATCCTCATCCTGCCGCCCTTCCCACCACCACAGGCGCTTTTCATCCTCATCCTGCCGCCCTTCCCACCACCACAGGCGCTTTTCATCCTCATCCTGCCGCCCTTCCCACCACCACAGGCGCTTTTCATCCTCATCCTGCCGCCCTTCCCACCACCACAGGCGCTTTTCGTCCTCATCCTGCTGCCGCTCATCTCCTCTCTGGGGTACAGAGTCCCTCCTGCGCAGCTTCCAGGCTACTTCCGGGAAGGTGCCACGTGCCTTCTCAACTTCAACCAGGCCGTACCAGGTGCGTCGGCAGTTAGATGTGAATGGATCGCAGCTATTATCCACATCGTCAACTACTATTGTTTTCCCACTCGAGCCTTCAATATCCCTCTGATGCAGCTGCTCTTCTTGTTCCTCCTCCTCCGCCTGCTGGCTGCTGGCTGCTGGCTGCTGGCTGCTGGCTGCTGGCTGTTGGCTGCTGGCTGCTGGCTGCTGGCTGCTGGCTGCTCTCTCTGCTTGAATCCGCTCCTTCCCATTCCTTTTGAGGCGCCTCAGAAGTCAACATCCCTCTGATGCAACTACTCTTCTTGTTCCTCCACCTCCGCCTCCGTCAACCCAGCCTTCAACATCTCGCTGCTGGCTCTTCCTGTCTCCACTCCCCCCGTTCCCCCTCACTTCTTCATTCTGCCGCCCTTTCCCCCTCGCCTCCAGGCTGTCAGGGAGCCCCACTCCTCCCGCTGCTTTACGTGGCAGCGAACGTAGCGTTCAACGTCTCCCTCCTGGCTCTGCTCAAGAAGTCGTCTGCAGTGGCGGCATCTCTCTCCATGACCCTCGTGGGTGAGTAGTGAGTGAGAGGGCAGGGCATGCTACGCAAGAGATGCACACATTCACACGTGCATACACGAACACTTGCAAGAGATGCACACAGTCACACGTGAATATTGGAGTGACTTTTGAGAATTCTCAAAAGTCACACGTGCGCGCTTGCTCATATCTCGCTGCTTATTCTGCTCAAGACGTCGTCTGCAGTGGTGGCATCTCTTTCCGTGACCCTCGCAGGTACTTATGTGTGAGCTACATACACTGAAAGTATGCATGTGTGCATGTGTGTGCATGTATGCATGTCCAGATGTACATATGGACATGCACACATGCACACACATGCACACACATGCACACACATGCACACACATGCACACACATGCACACACATGCACACACATGCACACACATGCACACACATGCACACATGCTCATATCTCGCTGCTTATTCTGCTCAAAAATTCGTCTGCAGTGGTGCCATCTCTTTCCATGACCCTCGCAGGTAGTGCAGTGAGCTACATGCATGGATGCACATGCACATGTACACATGCACATGTACACATGCACATGTACACATGCACATGTACACATGCACATGTACACATGCACATGTACACATGCACATGTACACATGCACATGTACACATGCACATGTACACATGCACATGTACACATGCACACCTCTGTTGGTGGGATAGCTGCTAACACCCTTGCGATCTCTCCTCCGTTCCGTTCCCCTTCTCCCCCCCTCCCGCCCTCCCCAGTGCCCCTGACAGTGCGGGCATTCACATCCCCCCTGCCCCTACTGGGCCCGCCCCAGCCCTGAGGGGGGGTGTTGTTGGTCGGAGCCCATGTGCTGCGGTTGCAAGTATTGTCTTGCTGACCCTCCAAACCTCTCTTCCCATTCCTCCCTATTCTCCCCCTCCCCCCTCACCACCCCTCCCCAGTGCCCTTGACAGTGCTCGCTCGCATTCACCTTCCCCCTGCCCTTGCGAGGCCCGCCCCAGCCTCTGAGGGGGGGCGTTGTGGTGGGGACCCACGTGTTAACAGAAGTGTTTTGAGACGTCTCAAAACACTTCTGTTTACTGAGGGGGGGCGTTGTGGTGGGTACCCTCGTGCTGCTTCTGTGGGTATCGTTCAAATCTCTCCTCCCATATCTCCCCCCTCTCTCCCCCCCCAGTGCCCCTGACAGTTCTCGCCTTCACCTTCCCCCTGCCCCTGCGAGGCCCGCCCCAGCCCCTGAGGGGGGGCGTTGTGGTCGGAACCCTCGTGCTGCTGCTGGGGCTGGCTGCTTACAGCCTTGCCAATCCTGGAAGCACAGGCGGGGGAGGGGGAGGGGGAGTGAAGTTGGCAGGAGGCGGGAAGGAAGAATAGGTGTGTTGTGGTCGGAACCTTCGTGCTGCTGCTGGGGCTTGCTGCTTACAACCTTGCCACGCCTGGGGGAGCAGGAGGGGGGTTGAAGTTGGCAGCAGGGAAGGAAGACTAGGTGGTTAAGGGAAGAGGGGGGGAGGCTCAACCTCATCCCCTGAGAGCAGGGGTGTTGTGGTCGGAACCCTAGTGCTGCTCCTGGGGCTGGCTGCTTACAACCTTGCCAAGCCTGGGGGAGCAAGAAGGGGAGTAGGAGGGGGAGCAGGAGGAGGAGCAGGAGGGGGAGCAGGAGGGGGAGAAGGAGGGGGAGAAGGAGGGATGTTGAAGTGGGCAGCAGGGAAGGAGGGCTAGGTTGGATGGGAGGCTGCCAACTTCCACAACCTAGTTGGCAGCAGGGAAGGAAGTTGGCTGTGGGAGGAAGGCTCAGCTCTGCCCCTGAGGGGGGACGTTGTGGTTGGAAACCTCGCGCTGCTGCTGGGGCTGCAATAGACAGGTGAACGGGAGGGGGGTTTGAATTGACAGGTGAACGGGAGGGGGGTTGAAATTGGCAGGTGAGAAGGAGGACTAGGCAAGAAGACTCTCGTGCTGCTGCCGGGGCTGGCTGCTTAGGTGGGATGGTGAAGTTGTAGCTGGGTTGTCTGCGTGCTTGCATCATTGATAGGCTTACAGGCATGAAAGACGGAGGAGGAAGAGGAGGATAAGATAGTGGGGTCTTTGGTGTGTTGCTTGCAGTGTTGCCAAGAGGTCACTTTAGGGGGGCAGGGAGGGGTGGGGAGGCGTGGGGAGGGGTGGGATGGTGAGGAGTTGAGTTGTCTGCGTGCTTGCATCATTGATAGGCTTACAGGCATGAAAGACGGAGGAGGAAGAGGAGGATAAGATAGTGGGGTCTTTGGTGTGTTGCTTGCAGTGTTGCCAAGAGGTCACTTTAGGGGGGCGGGGAGGGGTGGGGAGGCGTGGGGAGGGGTGGGATGGTGAGGAGTTGGGTTGTCTGCGTGCTTGCATCATTGATAGTCTTACAGGCATGGAAGGCGGAGGGGGAAGAGGAGGATAAGATAGTGGGGTCTTTAGTGTTGATTGCAGTGTTGCCACGCCAGCTTTAGAGGGATCGGAAATGTGTTGTCACGAGCATGGCTTTACTGCATGTTTTGAGTCGACTCAAAACACCAGCTTTTGAGGCGTCACGTCACGACTCACAAATGTGTCATGAGCATGGCTTTATTGCAAGGGGACGGGAGATTTGTGTCACATTCAAGATTGGAGTTGACGCCAGCGAGGAAATCTAATCCGGGAGCAGACAAAGACCAAGTCAACAATATCTATGTTCCTCTTTTGAACATGCAACTTACGGTTAAAAGTACGATAACGATAAGAGAGAGTGAGCCCTGCCCTGCTGCGAGCTTTACCAACAGAGGGCTCATGAGACTGCCACTGCCACTGCCACTGCCACTGCCACTGCCACTGCCACTGCCACTGCCACTGCCACTGCCACTGCCCTCCTAGTCCTGCTCTGTTCTGCTGTGCCATTCACGCCCTCTAATTAGTATGTGTGTGTGCTCAAGCGCCTACTGCCATTGCTTCCTGCCTGCTGCCATTGCTTCCTGCCTGCTGCCAACTCCCCCCGCCCTCCGCCCAGGCAGGGCTCTCAAATCCTGGTCGTCACGCACAAGTCCCTGCTGAGAGCGCTACTCTGCACTCGTGCAAACTCGTGACTCTCAGGGTCCTGCCACTGTCACTGCTGCTCCCCGCCCTCCCATGCAGCGCTCTCAAATCGTGGTCGTCACGCACAAGTCCCTGCTGCGAGCGCTGCTCTGCACTGCCCTTGGCAATGGGCCCTGACAAGTAAGAGTCTTTAGAATCACGCTCAGGAGGGATAGGTGACATCAGTATTTGCAGGAGCCTGTTTTGTGCCTTTAATGTCTTGTTGTTCGAAAAGGAGAGGTGGGACTTTTGGGTGATCCCAGGAGGGCTGGTGAGTGTGTTGAGTTTGGGTGCCTCCTCTTTCCCTGCCAGACCGCAGAAGGTTTCTCTTCTGAGCATGTTGACTTTTGAGTAGACTCAAAAGTCAACCCTGCCAGACCGCAGAAGGTTTCTCCTTTCAGCATGGTGCATCCTAGATCGATCTCTTTACGTGTCTTTTGAGGTGCCTCAAGAATTGTCCCAGACCGTTCTGTGGACATGTCCCATAAGATTGTATTTTCCTTTCTCACGCCCCTCCATTTCTAGTTCTCGCCCCTATTTCCCTGCCAGATCTCTTCCTTGAACTCATTCCCCTCCATTTCAACCCCTTCTCATGTCCTGTCATTTCAGTTTACTTGTTCCCTTTGCCCGCCATTTCCATTCCCCTGCTTTCTTTTTCCCCGCCCTCATTTCCCTCTTAACTTCCCCTGTTCCCATATCAGGTTCAGAGCTATGGATGTCAACAATGGGGGCATATGTGTGGTGATGGTCAGCAGTTCCCTGTTCTTGGACCCCACCATTCTGCTATCCTCTTTCTCATTCCCCATCGTTTTTTCATACCATGCCAGGTTCAGAGCAATGGACATCAACAATGGGGGCATGTGTGTGGTGATGGTGAACAATTGAGGCGAGCCCATGGTGGAGAGCCTGAATGTCACGGCGCATCTGCAGTCACATGCAATTAGTTACCACTTCAAGCAGTAGAGCCAAGTGCATGGTTCAAGCCTATATCAGTGTGATTATTTGCATGTGTTGAGTGTTGAGGATTGCTCAGCCCAACAGTATGCAACCAATTACGCACTTCAAATACCATACTACAAGCATGCCGCATTACCAATTCTGGATGGCACTGCAATATTACCGTTGCATGCACTACTTCAAACAGTAGGTTGATGGAGGGCTGTCCGTAAAAATTCCTGTACTTTTATAGCTAGCCGAATCCCTGCAACCCTTGCACATATAAGCTGTCTTTCATTACGGTATGTGGAATTAGTGTAATGCTGCAAATTATACCTACTCAAGATCTGGCAATAACTTAATACCAGGTGATAGAACGGCCAGCTAATATCGCATACCGTGGGTCGTGTTTGCATATGGTGGCTAGAATCTTTCATGTCGTCCGATATTTTATATGCGGATCAGAATCGACCTATTTTAGGGCGCTTCACCTGAGGGGCGGAAGGCCAAAATCCGAACCGACGTATCAGTTTGACTGTACGAACAGTATCCCAAATGAGTTCGAACACAAATACGTACAATGAGCGAATGTGACACAGGCCATCACAGGTGACGCCATCGCTATTCGCACACGCGGTCTGTTCGAACACAGCGACGTCGCCCACAAAAGAGCGACGTCGCCAAACATTGGGTCCCAAACATTGGCGACGTCTGGCCGGGTCGCATTCGTTCATGGGCGACCCGGAAGACTGTGGACCAATCATATCAGTCGTTTGTGCGGAATTGTGTGTCACCTATCCCAACCTGTTCGAACAAACGTGTTCGAACGTGCGGGATGATGAAAATCGTGCTTGAGGTGACAGCTCTGTTCAAATTGGCGAAATTGTGCTTCGCGACGTCACGAAAACCACTACGAACATAGGCGAAACGAGTAACGTTTCGCCTGTTCGAACGAGTGTGTTGTTCGAACCGACAGGTGAAGCGCCCTTAGCACCGTATTCCGTGGAGCAGCGGATGTCTTCGTGATGACACCATGTGTAATCATCAATACTTCCGAGTGAATCATCTAGAAACCTGTCGACTTGTTGAGTACGCTGTGAGTGACTGAAAGTCTGAGTGTCGACGTCATCCTGGCGTGGCATCGTTTTTCGACGAAACGTCGCGCCACCCGCGTAGGCAACAAGTTATCTCGACGAGAATCGCTCAACGTTCGCGAGATTTTCAGCCATTTCCAACATTCGCGATTTTTTCAGGCATTAGGTCTGATTCGCTAATCTCCCGCACTGATTCGCTAATCTCCCGCGGTTACGCCTTCAAATGGCGCATGCCGCAGCTGCCGCTGCCATCCGCTGTCGTGGCATTCCAGTTTTCACGGCAATTTCTAGGCCAGCTTCCAATCCAAGTCCAGCTGGCGTAACCAGAGCCGCAATCAGACTAGACTCTCGATTCAGTCACATGCCGTACCAACACCGCCACGTGTCACTCAGACAAGCACGCGCCCCATTGGCAAAGAGGCATGGTAGAAGCGCCGAAGCCGTATCAGCAAGAGCATCAGCCGTAGGAAGGGTGGAAGGGGGAGGAGGAGAAGGAGGAGATGGAGGAGGAGGAGAGGAAGCAGGAGATGGGGTAGGGGAGGAGATAGATGGAGGGGAGGTGAAGCTAGGAGGGCCGACGACCGCAACTGGGGACGAAGCAGCTGTTCTCGCTCGCCCACAGCGTCGACTAGAGGTATGCTTGTCCCTCTGCACACTTCTTCCTCTCGTTTCCTCCCTTTGAGGCGCTTCAAATCTCAAAGCAGCTGTTCTCGCTCGCCCACAGCGTCGACTAGAGGTATGCTTGTCCCTCTGCACACTTCTTCCTCTCGTTTCCTCCCTTTGAGGCGCTTCAAATCTCAAAGCAGCTGTTCTCGCTCGCCCACAGCATCGACTAGAGGTCCGTTTGTCCCTCCGCAAACCCCTGCTCTCTCGCCCACCCTCCCTCTCTTTTTCGTTTTCTTTCACCTACCTCACAACCTCCCTTTCTCTTTCCCATTTTCTCAGCTGCTGCTACTGGCACTGCTAACTGGCACTGCTAACAGTATCCCTGGGAGTGGCCAACCGAGTGCTCTACAAGAAGTGGACACCAGTTAGGTGCCATTGCTTTAATACGTGGCAGCAACTTGGGTTCAACACCTGTGAAATGTCAGTAGTACTTTGTAAAAAATGCTTGTATAAAAATCACGGTGGTAACCGGTTTCGGCTAAAATGCCTTCTTCAGACCAGAGGTATGCTTGTCCCTCTGCACACTTCTTCCTCTCGTTTCCTCCCTTTGAGGCGCTTCAAATCTCAAAGCAGCTGTTCTCGCTCGCCCACAGCATCGACTAGAGGTCCGTTTGTCCCTCCGCAAACCCCTGCTCTCTCGCCCACCCTCCCTCTCTTTTTCGTTTTCTTTCACCTACCTCACAACCTCCCTTTCTCTTTCCCATTTTCTCAGCTGCTGCTACTGGCACTGCTAACTGGCACTGCTAACAGAATCCCTGGGAGTGGCCAACCGAGTGCTCTACAAGCTGGCGGTCATTCCTTCAACCCGCCCCACCCATCCTCTCTCGTCTCCTGTTCTTGCCCACTGTATTCCCATCAGCTCCTACTGCTAGCACTGCTAACAGTGTCTCTGGGAGTGGCCAACCGAGTGCTCTACAAGCTGGCGCTCATTCCTTTGCACCGCTACCCTTTCTTCCTCGCCCAGCTCACCACATTCGGGTAAAGTTAACTGCTAACCTTGTTAGTGTATTCTGTTTGCTCTCTCACATATTTGAAGCATCCTGCATTGAATTGGAGCACCCTTGTGCCGCTACCCCTTCTTCCTCGCCCAGCTCACCACATTCGGGTAAAGTTAACTGCTAACCTTGTTAGTGTATTCTGTTTGCTCTCTCACATATTTGAAGCATCCTGCATTGAATTGGAGCACCCTTGTGCCGCTACCCCTTCTTCCTCGCCCAGCTCACCACATTCGGGTAAAGTTAACTGCTAACCTTGTTAGTGTATTCTGTTTGCTCTCTCACATATTTGAAGCATCCTGCATTGAATTGGAGCACCCTTGTGCCGCTACCCCTTCTTCCTCGCCCAGCTCACCACATTCGGGTAAAGTTAACTGCTAACCTTGTTAGTGTATTCTGTTTGCTCTCTCACATATTTGAAGCATCCTGCATTGAATTGGAGCACCCTTGCGCTGCTTCCCCTTCTTCCTCGCCCAGCTCACCACATTCGGGTAAAGTTAACTGCTAACCTTGTTAGTGTATTCTGTTTGCTCTCTCACATATTTGAAGCATCCTGCATTGAATTGGAGCACCCTTGCGCTGCTTCCCCTTCTTCCTCGCCCAGCTCACCACATTCGGGTAAAGTTAACTGCTAACCTTGTTAGTGTATTCTGTTTGCTCTCTCACATATTTGAAGCATCCTGCATTGAATTGGAGCACCCTTGCGCTGCTTCCCCTTCTTCCTCGCCCAGCTCACCACATTCGGGTAAACCTAACCGCTTTAAGCACTTTCCGTAGCTCACTTCATTGACGCACCCTTTGCACCGCTACCCTTTCCTCCTCGCCCAGCTCACCACATTCGGGTAAATTCCATTTGAACCACTCCTTCTTTTGCCTCAGCTCCCCACATTTCTTTGCCTTTCCAGCCCACCGCACTGAAGCAAGCACCCCAATCAACCACGGGGCCCTATTCTTTTCCATCACCCTAGCTATTGCCCTACTACCTCGCTATTCCCCTGCCGGTTGGCTTGCTGCGGTTCGAATCCTTCCTTACTGCAAGAGGCTACCTCTACCTCGCTATTCCCCTGCCGCCCCTGCCGTCCCCGCCTTCCCTGTCCCCCCTCTTCTTCACCCTTATCCTCCTCGTTCCTCCCATGCCGTGTTCCCAACCCCCCCCCCCCTTTCTTTTCCCTCATCTCCTCTCCCCCCTCCCTCCCCCCTCCTCCCCACTCTATTTCCTCCCAAACAGCTACGTGGCAGTCTATTCAATTATCCTCCTCATCCGCACCTCCCTCAATATAGTCACACCCGACATGCTCACTCTGCCCAAGCGCCCCTTCATGCTCATGGGTCTGTTAGAAGCAGCGGGACTCGCAATAGGCATGATGGCTGCTGGTGAGTTGAATGGCAGTGAACTTCCCTTGCCCCTAGCCCCTAGAGCTTAACCCCGAACCCCTAGCCCAACATGCTCACTCTACCCAAGCGCCCCTTCATGCTCATGGGGTTGTTAGAAGCAGTGGGACTCGCGACAGGGATGGTGGCCGCTGGTGAGTTGGGTGCTGGTGGTCTCGTCTTGAATCCCTAAACCCCTGAACCTAGCCCTTAACCCCAACCCCTAGCCCCTGACCCGACATGCTCTCGCTACCCAAGCGTCCCTTGCTGCTCATGGGGCTGCTGGAAGCAGCGGGACTCGCGACAGGCATGATGGCTGCAGGTGTGTGAATGACACTAAGCATCCCTTGCTCCACCCTTATCCCTTACCCCCCTAGCCCCTAACCCCTATCCCCTACCCGACATGCTCACTCTGCCCAAGCGCCCCTTCATGCTAACGGGGCTTTTAGAGGCAGCAGGGCTCGCGACAGGCATGATGGCTGCAAGTCAGTTGGCTGGGAGTCCACCCCACCCCACCCCTCACCCTTACTTTAAACCCGAAACCCTAGGCCTTAACCCCTTCAAGTCGCTCAAAATCGCACCCTATTTCCCCCTCTGCTGCACAAATATTGGAGCCTAAAGGCCTCATCCCAGTCCTACTTGCACCCCCAATCTCCTCTCCTCACCATGTCAACCCAAATCTCCTCTCCTCACCATGTCAACCCAAATCTCCTCTCCTCACCATGTTAACCCCAATCTCCTCTCCTCACCATGTCAAGCCAAATCTCCTCTCCTCACCATGTTAACCCCAATCTCCTCTCCTCACCATGCCAACCCAAATCTCCTCTCCTCACCATGTTAACCCCAATCTCCTCTCCTCACCATGTCAAGCCAAATCTCCTCTCCTCACCATGTTAACCCCAATCTCCTCTCCTCACCATGCCAACCCAAATCTCCTCTCCTCACCATGTTAACCCCAATCTCCTCTCCTCACCATGTCAAGCCAAATCTCCTCTCCTCACCATGTTAACCCCAATCTCCTCTCCTCACCATGCCAACCCAAATCTCCTCTCCTCACCATGTTAACCCCAATCTCCTCTCCTCACCATGCCAACCCAAATCTCCTCTCCTCACCATGTTAACCCCAATCTCCTCTCCTCACCATGTCAAGCCAAATCTCCTCTCCTCACCATGTCAAGCCAAATCTCTTCTCATCACCATGTTAACCCCAATCTCCTCTCCTCACCATGTCAACCCAAATCTCTTCTCATCACCATGTTAACCCCAATCTCCTCTCCTCACCATGTCAAGCCAAATCTCCTCTCCTCACCATGTTAACCCCAATCTCCTCTCCTCACCATGTCAAGCCAGATCTCCTCTCCTCACCATGTTAACCCCAATCTCCTCTCCTCACCATGTCAAGCCAAATCTCCTCTCCTCACCATGTTAACCCCAATCTCCTCTCCTCACCATGTCAAGCCAAATCTCCTCTCCTCACCATGTTAACCCCAATCTCCTCTCCTCACCATGTCAACACAAATCTCCTCTCCTCACCATGTCAAGCCAAATCTCTTCTCATCACCATGTCACCCCCCCCTTTCTGCTCCCCTATCCTCCTCCTTGCTGCAGCGCATATGCCTGGAGTCCTCATCCCAGTGCTCTCACAGGTATGCCCTTCCTCCTCGCCCCTTCCCACATGCGCCTTCCCACATGTGCCTTCCCCTGTTGTGCCTGCCTCTGCTCTACCCTGTGCATCGCACTCTACTCTGTGCCCCCCCTTTCTTCTCTTCAGGTCCCACAAGGGGTTGTCCCGCCCTAGCAGCTCTGCCTCTCTTATCTCTTTCATCCTCTCGTGTAGTGAGGTTGTTTTTGCCACAAGGGGTTGTTTTTGAGACGTCTCAAAAACAACCTCACTACACCCGCACTAGCAGCTCTGCCTCTCTTATCTCTTTCATCCTCTCAGCCATCCAGCACCGCACACAACCTTGGCCCGCCCCACCTCTTTCCGCCGCTTCTCCCCCCTCTAGATCTCTTCAGGTATTCCTGGTGTGGCAGCTCGTCCTCTCTTATCTCCCTCTCACTTCTTTCTTCAACCCTCCCTCCCTTTTTCCTCTGCACACAACCTTGCCATTGTTCCACCCTCCTCTCTCCCGTTCAGGTCTTCCTGGTGTGGCGGTTCATCCTCTCTTATCTTCCATCCTTTCTGCCGTTCTTCACCGCACACAACCCCTTCAGATCTTTCTCGTGTGGCAGCTCACCCTCTCTTATGTCTTCCTCGGCCGCCGCTACTCGCCACAGCAGCTTCTGGGATGCTTCCTCGTGATTGTGGGAGTTGCGGTGGTGGTGGTGACCAGGTACTGCCGGCGCATGTGATGCCACGTCATGTGATGCCACGTCATGTGATGCCACGTCATGTGATGCCACGTCATGTGATGCCACGCCATGTGATGCCAAGCCATGTGATGCCACATCATGTGATGCCAAGTCATATGATGCCACGCTGTTTGATGCCACGTCGTGTGATGCCACGTCATGTGATGCCATGTCATGTCATGGCGTCATGCCATGCCACGTCATTCCCTGCCACATCATCCGATGCTACATTATACCATGCCACGTCACATCATCCATGTCAGGACTGTCGGTCATGCCACAAGTTGCCAGCGCGTCTCTCACCTCCTTGCTCTTTTTTTTTCCACTATTACCTTTTCCAATCATCGCTCTTCACTGCATTCGAACCCTCTGTCCTCACCTCACCGTCCCTCCATTTTCCCTCCTCCCCAATCCACTCCAACCCCACTCAACCCAACTCTCTCTCTCTCTCTCCCTTGCCCCTCCCTTCCTCTCACCCACTCCAATCCCATTCCACCGCACTGCACCGCAGTGGACCGCCATTGCATCATGTATCCACGCTATTAGCTTCTCTGCTAGCAGCAACAGCGATCCAGTGGCCCCTCCTCTTCATAGTATCCACTGTGTTTCCAGCAGCATCCTCTATTATTAAGGTGAGAGTCTTTTCCCACAGCAGCAACTGTTGTCCCACTGCTAGTCTTGTTCCAAGGAACAACAGTTCTCGTTGTTCCCTCAGCTATATTATTCCCAACAGTATCCTCCATAGCATAATCATGTGCAAAATTTTATGCTTCATGACAGCACTTGAGTCAACTAAAGAGCTATTGATGCAGCAAATCCTGTGTTTTCTTCCTTTTGCCTTAGCCAATGCTCACCTTTGCCAATGTGTTCCTTGGCAGGAGTCTGTGTTTCGAAATTCAGCCAAGAAGCTCAACGTAAGCCACACACACCACCACCCTCCCTAGTTAAAGCGCTCTTCTATGTAGGCGCTTGGAAAATAAGCTCTCATTGGACTGGTCTTCTTGCCGGAATGTCATCCAAGCCATCCACTTTTGTAGTTGTGAACCATTTGTGTACAGTGTCACATATCACATATGCATATCTCAGATGCGTATCGCATATGCATGCGCACTCCCATTCGCACATTGGAGTGCGCACATGTCAAAACTCGCTTGTTCCATACCAAGCCTCCAAAACTCGCTTGTTCCATACCAAGCCTTCGCATCCTGACCTGCTCCACTGAACAACACCACACCACAACCCAACCACACCACACCACACCACACTGCACCACACTACACCGCAGGGTCGCTCGTTGGACATATTTGTTGTCAACACCTTCGGATCAGCCTTCCAGGTGCTCCCTCCTCTGCCCTTCGTTCTGCGATTTCGCCCTTTTATGAACCCCCAGTACCCTTTCATGAACCCCCAGTACCCTTTCATGAACCCCCAGTACCCTTTTATGAACCCCCAGTACCCTTTCATGAACCCCCAGTACCCTTTCATGAACCCCCAGTACCCTTTCATGAACCCCCAGTACCCTTTCATGAACCCCCAGTGTTAGAATTAGGCTGTCAACACTTTGTGTACTATATTCTATATCGCGTAGGTTATTTGTGGGTTGGGTGTAGTTTGTGATCCCAACCCTATCTGGTTGGGATTCCCTCGTAATCCTGCAAATCTGCCAACTCACCAATTGGAGATTTGCTAGGATTCCCATCCCATCCTTTCCCTAGCCTTGCCCATCCCAACCTTGTTTGTACTTAAGACCTAGTGCCTTCTTTCTTAATCAATCAGTTCAGATCCAATTCTATCATAGTATCGAGCTAGCAAATTCCGCTCACGCGGACTCCGATCCTTGGCGTCGCGATCATTCTCTTCCTCTCGGCTATGGCGTTCTCGGTTCACGCCTTCTTCGCTTAGCGTTTTTCATCTTCACATCGTCGCACTGGTCAAAAGTGCTTTCCCGCTCCGTCTACGTGCATTTCCGATTTCCACGGCGGCACATTTCTCCGTCAATTTCCTTCATCGTGAGCTCTGAAATTTCAAATTTCCGTTGCAATTTTCTCACATTCGAAACTTCCAGCAGGTTTTCATCGGTGCAGCAGAGCAGGTTCAGCGGCGCAGCAGAGCAGGTTCAGCGGCGCAGCAGAGCAGGTCAGCGGCGCAGCAGAGCAGGTTCAGCGGCGCAGCGGAACAGGTTCAGCGGCGCAGCAGAACAGGTTCAGCGGTGCAGCGGAACAGGTTCAGCAACGCAGCGGAACAGGTTCAGCGGCGCAGCAAAACAGGTTCAGCGGCGCAGCAAAGCAGGTTCAGCGGCGCAGCAGAGCAGATTCAGCGGCGCAGCAGAGCAGGTTCAGCGGCACAGCAGCACAGGTCAGCGGCGCAGCGGAACAGGTCATCGGCGCAGCAGAAAAGGGGTCATCGGCGAAGCAGAGAAGCAGAACAGGAATCGCAATCTTATTGGCAAAATCGCACATTTCCGCATTTCAGACTTCATCAATTTTCAAAATCGCCGCTCCGCTTCGTATCGTTGACTTCTGCGCTGCGCTCCGCGCGAATGGCGACTTCAACTTCTACCCTCGTCGGAAACCTCATCATTCTCAACCTCGCTCCCAACGGCACGAGCACCAACTTTGGAGAATGGTGCTATGGGGTGGAGAAGCACCTCCTTAGCACGAAACTGAAAGGGATTTGCCTTAAGGACATCCTCCTCAACTGCGGCAAGGGAAAGATGCCTCTCCCTCCCGATCCCCTTGGCGAAGGCGCCACTGCCGCAGAGAATGCCGCTTTTGACGCTTAGACCACCAAGTACGAGACTGATTTCAGTGTGTGGGAGCAGGCAGATGCAGCAGTTATTAGGGTTTTCATCACCACCACTCCGGTTGAGCTCGTCAAATCCTACAGCACCTTTCGCTCCGCTCATGCGATTTGGTAGTACCTCCAGGACCGTTTCCATGACAAGACAGCAGTGGGTGTTGTCATCCTCATCCCTCGAATGTTCCAGGTCCGCCTTGAGGAATGCCCTGGCATGGCAGATTACATCTCTGAAATCCGCAACATTCATGAGGAGGACATTTGGATCATTTTCCCCGAACAGGCACCTGCAGCTGGCCTACTTGTAGGACTGACCCCGGCCTACAATGTCACCAGCTCCATGCTCAAGCAACTTCCCACCAAGGAACTCACCTTCGAAAAAGTCGCATCAGCTCTCCTTTCCGCCGAAAAGGACCTTGCAGCCCAAGCATCCGTCAATGCTGTGCGCAACACCCCTGGAATCCCATTCCGCTCCCAACAAGGACCAAGGCGCAACTCCTTTCCCCCATGCCCCTACATCATTAGGAAAGGCCCACGTGCGGGGCAGAAATGCGGAGGCACCAACCACCCTGAGGCAACTTGCTTCAAGAAGCGAGATGATGAGTGGTACGACGTCCATGGTGTCTCCACCAACAAGCGCCCTCCCAACTGGGCCCCACCCCGTCGCGTGAACTATGTCGATGCAGAGGAGGTGCCTAGTCCCTCAGTTGATAGCACCCTATCTGATATTCGCCTCAACCTGTTGTTCTCAGGTGCTGGTCTTATTAATGAGAAGGGGTCACAGTACATCGAGGTTTCAAACACACAAGGGATCGAGTTCATACTAGACAGTGGTGCCACCCACACAGTGCTCAAAGACCAAACCACGTTCGTTCCTTACCAGGCTCCCATCCCACTCCTCGGAGCCGACTCTAGCTTCTCCATCCAATGCCATGGGTCCTCCAGAGTTCCTTGTCCAGCATTTCCATCGGGCACAGTCATTGGCATCTGTGCCCCCACCCTCCGCCACAACCTTCTTGCACAAAGTGAAATCCAACAAGCAGAAGTGATCACCATCTTTCCCAATGATGTCGACTACTGTGACCTCTTTGACGCCAAAACCGGCATTCATCTAGCCCGCTTCACTCTCAACTCCAACAACCTATACACGCTCGTAGTACCTCCCATTCAAACGTGCTCCCTCACAAACCTCCCGTCACCTTCCCTTGACTCCTCCACCTATCACTGCCGCCTCCTTTCCGACAAAACTATGCTCTTTCATCACTGCCTTGGCCACATCAACTTTCACGCGCTTTCAGACCTTGCCACAAAACAACTCCTCCACGGGCTTCCAACCTCACTTCCCTCTCCTACCTCCACCCTAGGGTCGCCTTGCCTTGACTGTGTACAGAGCAAGCTTCGTGAACAGCCCCATCCCCTCATTGAGTCCATCTCCGTTGCACCTCTCGATCGCGTGCACATGGACCTTTGGGGCCCAGCTCCTGTTCGCTCTCGCGGTGGACACTTTTACTTCCTTGTCATTATTGATGACTACTCTCGCTATGTGTCTGTCCACCTTCTCTCCTCCAAATCCAAAGCCCCAGGCGTAATCATTGAATGGGCGAAGCAGGCTCATAAACACTTCAAAACCACCATCAAGGTCCTTCACTCTGACGGCGGCGGTGAATTCCGCAACAACACTCTCAAAGCTTACTGCTCCACTGAGGGTATCCGTCAGACCTTCACTCTCCCGCACAGTCCCCAACAGAACGGTATTGCCGAAAGCTGGAACCGTACATTGGTGCAAATTGCTCTCTGCCTCCTCACGCACGCCTCCGCCCCTCCCTCTCTCTGGGGGTACGCCATGCTTCATGCTGCCGCCCTCCACAATCTCCATCCCCATCCTCATCACACCCACACCACCCCCGCTGAGCTATGGACGGGTCAAAAACCATTTGTCCGCCCTCTTCGTCTATGGGGGTGCACTTCTTATGTCCTCCTCAACTCCCAAGCCCGTCGTGCGGCTGGCGGCAAACTTGCTCCCAGAACGATCACGTGCGTATACCTCGGGCACAACGTAGACTCGCCAGACTATCTCTTCCTCCATCCTTCCACCAACAAGCTCTATCGCAGCCGGGACGTTTACTTTGATGAGTCCCACCCATTCTACCCCTCCTCCAAGGCTTCCCCCTCTCCTCCGCCTCCCTCTCTTACTTGGGCTGACTTTGACAGTCTCCCTCTTCCCGACACTCCATCTCCTCCTCTTCCCGCTCCCTCCACCATTTCTGATCCCCCATCACCCGCTTCCCCCTCCAGTACCACACAGTCTCCCTCGCTCCCTCCCTCCTCCGCTACCCCTCCTCCATCTCCTCTCGCATCTCCTCTTATCGAGCCCGTTCCTCTCAAAACCTACCAACGCCGTCACCCAGCTCCTCCTCCTCCTGCTCCCACCCCTGATCACGATCATGTCTCCACTCTCCCTCCCACTCCCACCTCCCCTTCCGCTACGCCTACTCCGGCCTCGCCTCCCTCACCCATCGCTTCTCGCACCCGCTCTCGCACACCTCCACAACCGTTCTCCCTTTCCGTTCGCGTCTCTCTCAATCCTCCTCCTGTCGGGGGTGATTATTCTTTCATGCCATCCCTCCTTGAAGACAGACATGAGGAGTTGATTGATATCGACTCAGCCATCCACGCACTCTGCTCTCTCTTTCCAGACATCGCAGACTCTCCCACCCTCAATTTCTCCGACAACCTTTCCATCCCCACACCTCTCACCTATGCTGAAGCAGTCTCTGGTCCTCACGCCGCTCAGTGGTTGGGGGCCATTGTCGCAGAATGTGAGGCCTTCATTCACACAGGAACTTTCACAGACGTCTCTCCTCCCTCCGGCGTTAACATTGTGAAGGGAAAATGGGTCTTTCGGGTGAAACAACTTCCAGGCGAATTTCTTGTCTTCAAAGCCCGGTACTGTGCCAAGGGATTTACCTAAAAGCGTGGACTAGACTTCTTTGAGACATTCTCTCCCACAGCCAAACCTCCCACACTGCGCACCCTTCTCGATGTCGCTGCTCGAGATGACATGGAGGTTGACTGCATGGATGTGTCTTCTGCGTTCCTGCAAGGGATCCTTCGAGAAGAAATCTTTATGGAGCGGCCCGAAGGATTTCCAGCTCCTTTTCCACCAGGCACTGTATGGAAGCTGAATCGGCCAGTGTATGGCCTCAAGCAAGCTCCCCGGGAATGGCACAACAAGCTAAAGAGCACCTTAGGGTCCCTCGAGTTTCACCCATCCACCTCTGACCCCAGCCTCTTCATCCGAGCAACACCCTCCCGGTTCTTCATCCTCGTTTATGCCGATGACATGATCCCTGTCACCAAGGATCAGACTGAGCTGGCAGCAGTCAAAACCGCACTTGGTGAGAAGCTGGCCATGAAGGACCTTGGGAAGCTGACGAACTATTTGGGAATGGAAATCACACGTGATCGCACAGCCCGCACCATCACCCTTTCGCAGAAGTTTTACATCAACAACGTTCTGACGAGGTTCCAGATGCAGGAAGCAGCATCAATGCCCACCCCACTCTCTCTGCAACACCAACTCACTGCACCCTCCGTTCCCTCACCTGAGCCCTGTGACGAGCCTTACCCCGAGCTTGTGGGATCCCTCATGTTCGCGATGATGTGAATTCGACCAGACTTAGCCTATCCAGTCAGTACACTGTCCCGCTACGTTGCACCTGGTCGCTTCACTCGCCACCACTGGTCTGCCGCCAAGCGGGTTCTTCGCTATCTCAAAGGCACACTGGATTATGTGCTCACACTTGGCGGCACTTCCCCGGCTCGCCTTGAGGGGTACAGTGACTCATCCTATGCTGATGACCAGAGTGATCGGCGCTCGTCCCAAGGGTATTGCTTTACCCTTGGCAGTGGGGTTGTAAGTTGGCGCTCCACTCGGTCGTCCTCCGTCTCATTGTCGACCTGTGAGGCAGAGCTGTATGCCGGGACCATGGCTGCACAGGAGGCTCGTTGGCTCTCCTTCCTGCTGACAGAACTGGGGTATCCCCAACCAACCCCAACGCTTTGGTGTGACAACGAGAGCACCATTCATCTCACCAAAGACCCCGTTTTCCATGGCCGCACCAAGCACATTGAAGTCCGTCACTACTTTCTTCGGGAGCTGGTGTAGCGCGAGCAGCTGAAGGCTGAACACATTGCCTCCGACTGCAACCTTGCTGACTTGTTTACCAAGTCGCTTGTTCGCGAGGATCATTACCGCCTCCTCTCGGCCATGGGTGTTGGGCCTCCTTGTGGCTGATGTGTTGCAGCCTAGGGGGTGTGTTAGAATTAGGCTGTCAACACTTTGTGGACTATATTCTATATCGCGTAGGCTATTTGTGGGTTGGGTGTAGTTTGTGATCCCAACCCTATCTGGTTGGAATTCCCTCGTAATCCTGCATATCTGCCAACTCACCAATTGGAGAGTTGCTAGGATTCCCATCCCATCCTTTCCCTAGCCTTGCCCATCCCAACCTCGTTTGTACTTAAGGCCTAGTGCCTTCTTTCTTAATCAATCAGTTCTGTTCCAATTCTATCACCCAGTACCCTTTCCCCTTTGATGGCACGCGGTGACTCTCAAGTCATTTTGCCACTCATCTATGGATATGATTGGCACGTCGGGTGATTTTCAAGTCTACCCTCAACAGTCACCTTTCTGTTTTTGAGTCGACTCGCTACTCATCTCCTCACTGGTATGCACCATTATAACGACGTAACTTATGAGTCAACGCACAATCAGACCCAATTCTTTCCTCCTTGTTCTTTTTTTCTGCCGCCCTTCCCACCACCACTCCTCCCACCACCACTCCTCCCACCACCACTCCTCTCACCACCACTCCTCCCACCACCACTCCTCCCACCACCACTCCTCCCACCACCACTCCTCCCACCACCACTCCTCCCACCACCACTCCTCCCACCACCACTCTTCCCTCTCACAATCAGCTGACCCACTCTTCCCTCATCCTGCCGCCCTTCCCACCACCACAGTCGCTTTTCATCCTCATCCTGCTGCCCTTCCCACCACCACAGGCGCTTTTCATCCTCATCCTGCCGCCCTTCCCACCACCACAGGCGCTTTTCATCCTCATCCTGCCGCCCTTCCCACCACCACAGGCGCTTTTCATCCTCATCCTGCCGCCCTTCCCACCACCACAGGCGCTTTTCATCCTCATCCTGCCGCCCTTCCCACCACCACAGGCGCTTTTCGTCCTCATCCTGCTGCCGCTCATCTCCTCTCTGGGGTACAGAGTCCCTCCTGCGCAGCTTCCAGGCTACTTCCGGGAAGGTGCCGCGTGCCTTTTCAACTTCAACCAGAACATTCCAGGTGCGTCGTCAGTTGCAGCTAAACGGATCATAAGTGCTGTAGCATCTTGCCTGGTTACAGCTGAACGGATCATAAGTGCTGTAGCATCTTGCTTGGTTACAGCTGAATGGATCATAAGTGGTAACCACTCACTTATGATAACAGTAGCATCTTGCCTGCTTTAATGGACCTGAAGGTTATGCTACTGTTATCGCATCTTGCCTTACATATCCGCGTGCCTTGTCAACTTCAATTCAACAAGGACATTCCTGCTGCTATTGTTATTGCATCTTGCCTTACAGGCCTGGTTAAAGCTGCACGGATCGCATGTGTTATTCTGCTGCAATTGCATCTTGCCTTACAGGCCTTGTTTTGAGTCGACTCAATAAAGGTCTGCCGACATTTCTCTGCCCCAATGTTGGTGCGACTTTTGAGAATTCTCAAAAGTGGACTCAATAAAGGTCTGCCGACATTTCTCTGCCCCAATGTTTCCGTCCCCACCACTCCTCCCGAAACTCTACATTGGAACGGACCTAGCTTTCAGCATCTCCCTGCTGGCTCTGCTCGCAATCATATTGGTGCGACTATTGAGAATTCTCAAAAGAACGAGTCTGCTTTTGAGAATTCTCAAAAGTAGCTTTCAACATCTCCCTGCTGGCTCTGCTCGCAATCATCTGTCCTCCTGTTTTCCTTCTCACCGCTCCCCACCCCATCTTTCCAGGCTGTCAGGGAGCGCCCCTGCTCCCGCTGCTTTACGTGGCAGTTAACCTTGCGTTCAACATCTCTTTGCTCGCTCTGCTTGAATGCACTCTGCTTATTGAGTATTCTCAGTAAAACTTGAATGCGCTCCTTCCTCTTCCACTCCCCCCGGTTCCACGCTCTCCTCCACCCTATCTTTCCAGGCTGTCAGGGAGCGCCACTCCTCCCGCTGCTCTACGTGGCAGCCAACCTAGCGTTCAACATCTCGCTGCTGGCTCTTCTCAAGAAGTCGTCTGCTGTGATTGCGTCTCTCTCCATGACCCTCACAGGTAAGATTTGAGTTGAGTGAGATGACATGCATCTCAATAAGGGATGCATGCAAGCATGCGCTCAGGAAGTCGTCCGCAGTGGTGGCATCTCTCTTTATGTCCCTCACTGGTAACTCTTGAGTGAGAGGGCATGCTGTGCACGTGCACACATATCTACATACATGCATACATATCTACATACATGCATACATATCTACATACATGCATACATATCTACATACATGCATACATATCTACATACATGCATACATATCTACATACATGCACACATATCTGGATACATGCACTCATGCACACATACACACGCACCTGCATACATGCACATGCGCACTTGCTCATATCTCTCTGCTCGCTCTGCTCAAAAAGCTGTCTGCAGTGGTTGCATCTCTCTGCATGACCCTCACACGAATTGAAGCCAGCTGCATGCACTCATGCACAAAATCACACACGCACACATGCCCACAGGCACACTCGCACTTACATACATGCACATCCTCGCTTACGTCTCACAGCCAGCTCTACTCAAGAAGTCGTCTGCAGTGATTGCATCCCTCTCCATGACCCTAGCAGGTGTTGAAGCGAGCTACATGCATTTATGCACTCATGCACACATGTGCACATGCACACGCACCTGCACACATGCACACATGCACATGCACACATACACATGCACACATGCACACATGCACGTATACACACATGCACATGCACACATGCGCACATACACACATGAACGCCACTCCTGCTGGGGTAGCTGCTAAAACCCTTGCGATCTCTCCTCCCTCCCCACCCCTTCCCCCCCCAGTACCCCTGACAGTGCTCGCATTCACCCTCCCCCTACCTCTACTGGGCCCGCCCCAGCCCCTGAGGGGGGGCGTTATTCTTGGGACCCTCGTGCTGCTGCTGGGGCTTGCTGACCCTTTAAACCCCTCTTCCCCTTTCTCCCCCCTCCCACTCCCCCAGTGCCCCTGACAGTGCTAGCATTCACCCTCCCCCTACCTCTACTGGGCCCGCCCCAGCCCCTGAGGGGGGGAGTTATTCTTGGGACCCTCGTGCTGCTGCTGGGGCTGGCTGCTTACAACCTTGCCACGCCTGGAAGCATGGGTGCAGGAGGGGAAGGGGGGTTGAAGCTGGCAGCAGGGAAGGAAGACTAGCTGGGATGGGAGGGGTAGGAAGCAGGAAGCAGAAGGCTCATACCCAGCCGCTGAGGGGGCTGAACCCTCGTGCTGTTACTGGGGCTGGCTGCTTACAACCTTGCCAAGCCAGGGGGAGGGGGGTTGAAGTTAGCAGCAGGGAAGGAAGACTAGGTGGTTGAGAGAAGGGGGGGTGCAGCTTCAGCTGCTGAGGGGCTTGCAGCCTTGCCAAGCCTGGGGAAGGAGGGGTTAGGGGAACAGGAGGGGGATTGAAGTTGGCAGCAGGGAAGGAAGACTAGGTGGTTGAAGGAAGGGGAGCCGTAGCCTCAGCTGCTGAGAAGCCTTCTGGCTTGTACTAGAGGGAGGAGTCGTGGTCGGAACCCTCGTGCTGCTGCTGGGGCTCACACTGCTGCTGGGGCTCACACTGCTGCTGGGGCTCACACTGCTGCTGGGGCTCACACTGCTGCTGGGGCTCACACTGCTGCTGGGGCTCACACTGCTGCTGGGGCTCACACTGCTGCTGGGGCTCACACTGCTGCTGGGGCTCACACTGCTGCTGGGGCTCACACTGCTGCTGGGGCTCACACTGCTGCTGGGGCTCACACTGCTGCTGGGGCTCACACTGCTGCTGGGGCTCACACTGCTGCTGGGGCTCACACTGCTGCTGGGGCTCACACTGCTGCTGGGGCTCACACTGCTGCTGGGGCTCACACTGCTGCTGGGGCTCACACTGCTGCTGGGGCTCACACTGCTGCTGGGGCTCACACTGCTTACAACCTTCCCAAGCCTGGAAGCACGTAAGGAGGAAGGGGAACGGGGAGAGGGAGGGGGATTGAAGTTGCCGGGAAAGTAGATTAGATTGATGGGAGGGGACTGAGGTGGGGTGGCGTTGGAGCTGGGTGTTCCGCTCGCTTGCATCATTGATAACCCCACAGGCATGACGGTAGAGGAGGATAAGACAATGGGTGGTTCGGTGCTGCTTGCGATGCTGCTAGCCTTTGAGGTTTCACAACTGTGTCACGAGCATGGCCTTGTTAGCAAAAGGAAAGTGATTGGATGGAGCCGCTCTGAGGGGAAACACTGAAGCTACAATGTTGAAACAGTAGGAAATGCGATGCTCCTCGTGCACACGACTCACTGTTCAGAGTGCAAATAATGTATTATTGCCTTGCCATGCTTGCAATAAATGTATTGATTACATACGAATACATATGAAGAGTCAGGCCTGTCATCATTGTGGCTTCTGTGGGGATCGGAGTTTGGTGTCGCACAAAGTCAGGCCTGTCATGATTTTATTATGCCTATACATTGGAATAATTTTTTTTGTAAAACTAACCAGAAATATCATAAGGACACTTGTGTCGAGTACAGACCATACGAACCTTCTTCCGTGCTTCTCTCTGATCCTATCGCTGGTACAGCTGCGTAGGCCCCGTGTGGGCGGGGGGGAGGGGACGCTTGGAGGCGCTGCTTGTAATTGGTGCGCGCAGGCAGCTGCGATTGCCAGAGAGGTCGCCCACGCGACTGAGAACTGACGACGACCCAGCTCGCCGACTCTGAGTCGCAGACCTGCAAATTCGGTCTGGGACTGACTCCTCTTCGCGTGCCAGTCAGCTATCAGAGAGGCACTCGCATGACACGATCAGTTCTGTTGGCGTTTCCGCAGAACGCGATCTGTGCCATCCCATTTCGGGTCGCGTGCGCTTCGATGTCAGTCAGATCAACTCGAAACTCCATCTGTCACACATTGCTGAGCCCAATTTTCGTCTTGCGACATATATATCAGCTGCTGAATTCAGTCAGCATCACAATTTTCCAGATTCGAATTGGGAGCTCCACTCAACATAAGCTTACTACGCATTGTACTCGAAGCTTGTGAGGACCATTGAAACGTTCTGTCACCAAGCAAGCAGCCATGCGGCGACTCTATCTAGGGAGCGCCAAGTGGGCGCTCCTGTCGCTGACCGTCGCAGCCTTTGTCTCAGCGTTTGCGACGACGTCGCATGCGCGCGTCTTGGACTTCGGCGACAACAAGCTATTCCTGGAGCAATTCAGCACCATGATCAAAATCGACACAAGACCCGCCATTCGCGCTGCCAGCGCAGCTGAATGCCAGCCGTCAACTCTGCCGGACTTTGCATCCGCTGCCACCCTGTCGCACGGCCTCGTTCTTCACTGGACGCCCGCGGCCTCCGGCGGTTCCGTCAGCATGGCCGTCGAAGCACCCGCGAGCGCCGGATGGATTTCCGTCGCATTTTCGTCAAGCGGAACCATGGCTCCGTCAGATGCGGTGATCGGCAATGCTGACGGCGGCGCAGCCGTCCAGGCGTACAGTATCACCGGCTACGATATGGGCTCCGTCAAGCCGAGCGGCAAACCGTCGCTGGGCAGCGCTGGGCTGACGAAATCCGGCGACAAGATCATTATGCAATTCTCGCGATCGGAGGGCGACGGCGGATCTGTCGCATTCAAGTCCGGGAAAAATAAGCTCATCTGGGCGACGTCGTCTGGCGGCTCTACGACACTCGGCTATCACGGCAGCAACCTGTAAGCTCCTTACCCAAGCGGTGCATATGATTTTCATGCATAACTAACCAAATCCCGAAAGATTAATGAAAGATAATTTGGGAAGTGTTTGGCCCTGTATTCACGGAACGAACTCTTATTAATCACGGAACGAACTCTTATTAATCACGGAACGAACTCTTATTAATCACGGAACGAACTCTTATTAATCACGGAACGAACTCTGATTAATCACGGAACGAACTCTTATTAATCACGGAACGAACTCTTATTAATCACGGAACGAACTCTGATTAATCACAGAACGAACTCTTATTAATCACGGAACGAACTCTTATTAATCACGGAACGAGCTCTTATTAGTCACGGAACGAACACTTATTAATCACGGAACGAACTCTTATTAATCACGGAACGAACTCTTATTAATCACGGAACGAACTCTTATTAATCACGGAACGAACTCTGATTAATCACGGAAAGACCCAGCTCCATTTTCCTGCTGCTCTTATTAATCACTCTTCCACATATTCCCTATCTCTCTCAACCAGTGGCGCCGGCGAAATCGATTTCTCCTGCAACGGCGGCGGCGGAGGCGGAAGCAGCGGCTCTGGCAGCGGAAGCGGAAGCGGAAGCGGAAGTGGAAGCGGAAGCAGCGAAAGTGGAAGCGGCGGAAGCGGCGGAAGCGGCGGAAGCGGCGGAAGCGGCGGAAGCAGCGGTTCTTCCAGCCCGCCAAAGTCTCCCCCAGCCAGCCCCCCACCCGCCAAATCCCCCCCTTCTAGCCCGCCTCGTGACAATCCTCCCGCCTCTTCGTCCCCCTCCTCCCCCTCCTCCCCCTCCTCCTCGTCATCCTCCTCCTCGTCCTCCTCTTCCTCTTCTTCCTCTTCTTCCGACTCCTCATCTAACTGGTGGGACGCCTACACCTCTTCGTCCTCCTCTTCCCCCTCCGGTTCCTCCTCTTCCCCCTCCGGTTCCTCCTCTTCCCCTTCAGGTTCTTCCTCCTCCCCCTCTGACTCCTCCTCCTCCCCCTCTGACTCCTCTTCATCCTCTCACTCCTCCTCGTCTTCCTCCTCTTCCTCCTCCTCGTCCTCCGACTCCTCTTCTTCCTCTTCTCCCTCTTCCTCCTCTTCCCCCTCCTACAACGACTATCAATCCTCCCCCCCCTGGTGGACAGCTTATGCCAAACCCTCCCCTCCCCCCTCCTCCTCCTCCTCCTCCTCCTCGCCCTCTTCCCCTGATTCCTCTTCGGGCAAATCGTCAGATTCTATTGCATCAACTAAGAGCACCGACAGCAGCAGCAGCGCCGACAGCAGCAGCAGCGCCGACAGCAGCAGCAGCATCAGCAGCACGGACAGCAACAGTGGCAACGGAGGCGGAAGCTCCGGGGGTGACAGCGGCAGTGACAGCGGCAGCAGCAGCGGCAGTGACAGCGGCAGTGACAGCGGCAGCAGCAGCGGCAGTGACAGCGGCAGTGACAGCGGCAGCAGCAGCGGCAGTGACAGCGGCAGCAGCAGCGGCAGTGACAGCGGCAGCAGCAGCGGCAGTGACAGCGGCAGCAGCAGCGGCAGTGACAGCGGCAGCAGCAGCGGCAGTGACAGCGGCAGCAGCAGCGGCAGTGACAGCGGCAGCAGCAGCGGCGGTAGCAGCTCCGATAAATCCACTTCCTCCTCGCCCTCGTTTTCCTCCTCTACTGCTGCCTCCTCCGGTTCTGCCTGCCCCGGGTCCAGCCTGGCCGGATATACCTACTCCACGCCACTCAGGGGCTCAGAGTAAGCACTCCGTAGCCTATTCTCGCCTGGATTCTAGTAGCTCTTCTCGCTTTACATTGGTTCAATGCGGTTGAATCCTGTTCTAGGCCTGGTTCATACTTGGTCTATCCCCTCACGCAAGCTGATTCAGTCCCCACGTTCTTAACACGTCCTTTTCGTTCCTGTTCTATTTTTGTTTGTTTTTTTTGCCAGTTTTGTCCTGCACTGGGCTGCGCCAATCAACGGGCAGCTGGATATGGCCATGGAGGCGAAATCGGGCAGCGGCGCGGCGAAGGGATGGATGTCCGTCGCATGGTCCGCCAACGGAGGCATGGCGGAGAGCACCGCCGTCATCGGCAACATGGACGGCGGAAACGTTGCTGGTTACCACATTACCGGTTACAGCATGAGCACCGTGAAGGAGAACGGGATGGATATTGGCGGGGATGCCGGGACGAGCAACGAAGGCGGGTCGACCGTTGTGAAGTTCCTGCGGCGCGAGAATGACGGAGGGGAGGTGAAGATTAATCTCGGCGGGAAGAATAAGCTCGTGTGGGCCTACTCCACGGGGTCCAAGTCTCTCGGCTATCACGGCGGCAACTTGTAAGCCTTTTCCCGTGCTCTCTGTCTCTCCTTTCCCTTCACGCACTAGCCCATAAGCACAGAAAACACACATAAGCTCGTGTGGGCGTACTCCATGGGGTCCAAGTCAGTAGGCTACCATGGCGACAACTGTAAGGCTTTTTTTGGGACTTGGTAGTTCTCTCTCTCCCTCTTCCTTTTGCGCTCATGCACACGCACACACACACACCAACCAATCTGAGCGGGAAGAATAAGCTCGTGTGGGCCTACTCGACGGGTTCCAAGGGCTATCACGACGGCGACTTGTAAGGTTTTTCCCGTGCTCTCAGTCTCTCTTTTCCGTTCACGTACAAACGCATAAGCACAAGAAACACACGCATAAGTCTCTCGGCTACCATGGCGACAACTTGTAAGGCTTTTTCTGGGGCTCGGTACTCTCTCTCCCTCTTTCGTCTGCGCTCATGCACGCGCACATGCACGCACACACCAACCAATCTGAGAGGGCCGAATAAGCTCGTATGGGCCTTCTCGACAGTCTCTTTACCGTTTCCCCCTGGTCCGCTCAACCCCTTCACCCGTCCCCTTTCTTGCGCCCGCCCCTGTTTCGTTTCCCCCTATTCCAGCGGAAGCCTCACTGTTGACTTCTCATGTCAGTCCGCCCCTGCTGGGGGGGGCGGTGGGGGCGAGGAGGGGGAGGAGGGGGAGGAGGGGGAGGGGGGAGAGGGTGGTAGTGAGGGGGGTGAGGGTGGGGGGAACCAGGGAGGTGAGGGTGGGGGAAACAAGGGGGGAGAGGGTGGGGGAAACAAGGGGGGAGAGGGTGGGGAGAAGGAGGGTGGAGGTGGTGGGGAGAGGAAAGAAGGGGGAGGGGAACACGACGAAGGGGAAGACCATCACGAGGGGGGAGAACACGACGAAGGGGAAGACCATCACGAGGGGGGGGATGAGGGTGAGGAGCATGAGGAGGACGATGATGATTAAGCCGGAGTAGTGTTCTCAATCCAGTCCTTTGTAGATGTGCTAGTCGTGCATGCTCATGTGCATTTGTAATGTACCATTTTGATTGGAATTTTGGTTTGTAGTTTGTTTGATTGAGTTGTAACAGCCTCTGCTATCATATTGAACATTATAAACGATAAATTGAATGGACCCTCATCTGAAATGAGAGGGTTGATGTAAGGAATTTTCTAGGCATTCCTTACGGAGCCCGACTACATCGCGTACAGCAACAGCCATTGTTCGCCCGTTACTACTAACGGGGCTTCGCCGACTTCGCGCGCACTGTTTTGCCAAACCTCGCACTGCTGCCCCGGCCGTGTCGGCCTATGCGTCGGGACTAGCCCAAGCCTCGCTGCCAGGGTAGCACTAGCTAGCTCGCACGCACCGCGTTACCGTTTGCATGTTTCGCGTATAAATGTTCGCTCATGCATTCGCTCACATCTTTGTATTCGTTTTGACACCTTACTGCAATTCTCGCTACTTCGATTCATTGGACCCTTAACACTTGGTATCTGAGCCTCTTTCTTTCGGACCGCGCTTCTCCGCACCCCAGGAAATCAACTTTTGATTTTTCACTCGAAGGGACTCACGCACCTTAGCACCTAGGAGCCACTGTCCTCGCGTTCTCTCATAAACGCGTGCAGCCACGACTGCGCCTAGACTAAGACGAGCCGACACCCTTCGAAATGGCTGAGCATGTCGATATCACGACTCTCACGCGGGAGCACTTGAACGACCTACTGCGGCAAATCCGTGAGAGCGCCAAGGAAATCGCGACGCTGACGGCAGAACGCTCGTCCCTGCAAAACGACCTCACACGAGCACAACAAGCACAATCTCAAGTACCTGGCACTCTGGAACAGCTCGCACCACAAGCATCACAACACGGAAGCGTGGGGCAACCCGCGAGCGCGGCCAGTGATGGTGTCGTTCGCCCCGACGGAGACGACGACCACGGCACGACACACCCCGAAGCGACGAATGCGGCCCGAAGCCAGCCACGCGTCACAATTTCGGCACCAACCGACGGTTCGGCACTGCCGTCACCGATGCCGCTGAAGCCGCAACGTCTGCCATGCTTCGATCCCAGCCAACGTGGTGGTCCTACCGTTCAGGCGTGTTTGTTCATGATCAACGTATTTTTTTACGCCAACTACGTCTCGGAGGATACGGCGAAAATTCGCTACGCCGTGTCACTGCTGCGAGGACCCGCCATGGATTGGTGGCGCGTCATCGTCACGAAGCCGTTAGACTACACGACTCTACCGACACGGGAAGGACAAACCGGACCCTGGGCGCCGTCGTATTTCGTCGCCCCAATATCACACGTGGGATGCGTGGTGCGCAGGTCTGCGCGCTCGTTTCGAGCCAATCGCGGCTTCGATCGTGGCGCGACAGAAGCTCCGCACTTGGCGCCAACTCGGTTCCGTCCAAGATTACACGAGCGGATTTCTGGCGCTATGCGAGCAGGTGGGATATATGCACGAGAGCGAGCGCATCGACCACTACATCGGCGGCCTGAAGCAGGACATCGCTCAGGAAATCCAGCTTCGCGGCGTCACCGACTTTCAAGAAATTCTCGCTATGGCGGAGAAACTTGATTTCTTCCGCCGACCGAGATCGGGGTCCTACGGAAGCATGTCAGAATATTATGCTCTAGCCTTTAGTGGGGTGCTCTATAGCGAGTACAACCCTTCTAGGGTTTGCTATTTGTATCCTCATTCTTGCTAGTGCAACCCTCTTCTTTCTTCTAAACTTTTACATGCTATCAGAACAGGTCGATCCCCTTGGATCGATCCTGTGGGTGGGCTTACCACCTCCTTACTTCCGCTGCAACTGCTACCACTGCACTCTGTGCCGCACGCCCGGTGGCGTGTGGCAGTTTTTCTTTCCGCCGTGCGCCCCGAGGCGCGCGGCGGTTTTCTGCCCGCCGTGCGCCCCGAGGCGCGCGGCGATTCTCTGCCCGCTGTGCGCCCCGAGGCGCGTGGCGGGCTGGGGCGACGGGCGACGGGGACCCGCGCGTCGCCCCCCGTCGCCCATCGTGGCCTGCGCGCGGCTCGTCTAGGCAGCGCGCGGCCCGTACGGGATGCGCCAGGCCCGCGCGCAGCCCGTACGCACTCCGCCAGGCCCGCGCGCGGCCCGTCCGGGCTGCGCCAGGCCCGCGCGCGGCTCGGGCGGTTCGGGCGGCTCGGGTGACCGTACCAGGCCCGTAGTGGGCCCGTTCCTTGCTGCCCCTGCCCTCCCCGCTGTCTCCCATGCTTCTACAAGCGCCCCACCCCTCCTACTCCCCATTCTCTTGCATTAGGGTTTGGGGGTGAGGGGTATGGGGGTGACCCAACTGTGTGCCGTTCCCTGCTCCTCCTCCTCCTCCGTCTCCTTGTGCTGCAGCTGCCGCTGAGGGGGGGTGGACTTGTTGGAGCCGGTGGAGTGGTACTAAGGGGGGGTGAAGGGGGAGTGGAGCTAGGCGTGTCGCAGCGGGTATGTGTCAGGGGGAGTGGGATAGTTTGGGGAAGCTGAATGGAGGTTGTTGTCATGTCGCCAGCAGCACCTGTATTCCGGGGAGTTGCTCCGGTAGCCCAGTCGTAGCCAGCTGTGCCAGTCGCCCGTGGGTCCGTTGCTCATCTGCCGCTACTTTAGCCGCGGGGCCAGTTACCCCAGTATTCCGGAGCGTTGTTCCGGTAGCCATTGTGCCAGTGTGCCTCCTGTTGCCCGTGTGTCTGCAGCTTCAGCCGTCGCCTCCTATCTCCTCTCCTCTCACTCTCTCTCCTCCTCCTCACTTGCCCTATGCGATAGCCCCTAGCTTTGCTCATAATTGTGAACTTAAACTATTGCTTCTTGAACTTGTGCTCAGAATGTGTGGTGACATTGTGATCCACCCTGAGCTTGTACTGCTTTGCTTGCGCTGCTGATTACACCCCACTTTGGCTATGGGGGTGTGTCAGAATATTATGCTCTAGCCTGTAGTGGGGTGCTCTATAGCGAGTACAACCCTTTTAGGGTTTGCTATTTGTATCCTCATTCTTGCTAGTGCAACCCTCTTCTTTCTTCTAAACTTTTACAAAGCAGCCATTGGGGACATCGGTCTCGTGGGACAAACGAGGGTGCCACGATACTTGCCGTCGCCGCAAATGCCGCTGCCGTATCATTCAAAGGGCGCTGCTTTGCGTGCAATTGGCCGGGACATCGTAAGCGCGAATGCCCGGAAAAAGCTAAGGGAAAGGGGGAAGCTGAGCAGCAGAAACAGACCAAGCAGCAGGGAAACGCTGGGAGTCAGTAGCAGACGGGCCCTCTACTGATAGGTCACGCCGCTCACCCGACCCAACCGACCCTCACCGAGTGATTGTGCCGGTTCACGCAATCGACCACACCCGGCCGAATAAGGAGGGTACTAGGTAGACAACCCCGTACTGCTTAGTGGGAAAATCGGGACTGATTTAGTCAAATTATTCGTAGACGGAGGGGGCCAGCCACAGCCTTATCAACACTGCCACAGCACAAAAACTGCGACTGCCACTGGACAGATGTTTATCTGCGATCGACGCAAGACTGGTAGACAGCATGCCGCTGGCGATACGGGAACGCGTAGGCCCGGTTCGGATTCGATACGGGGGTAACTTCATGTTTAGCCAAGAAATGCTTGCAACGACCCTCGACGGAACCGATACTTTACTCGGGCGTGATTGGCTGCGACGACACAATCCGCGAATCGACTGGACGACGGTTGACTGCACTGTGCGAGTGAACGGTAACAACATCGCCTTACCTCGTTGGGGCTCGCCTGAGTCTTCGTCGGTGCGTGCGCGATCACGATAAAACGCGCCATAGCAGCAGGAGCTGACGTGTACGCGGTCGACATTCGGGAAGCCGAGGCAGCAGACAAAGGAGGGGATTTACAGGAATTGCTGACCGACGTACCGAGTGATCTGGCAGCACTGTTGAAGCAGTACAGTGACATCTTCCCGGACGACTTACCGACGGGACTGCCACCTCAGCGACCGCACGACCATAGAATAGAACTAGAACCGGGGGCATAGCCGACAGTACAACAACAATTTTGTCTGACCCAACCCGAACTGGACGAACTGAGGAAGCAGCTCGATTACCTGCTCGAGAAGGAGTTCATTCGCCCTAGTTCGTCGCCCTTCGCAACACCGATACTGTTCACACCGAAAAAAGACGGGGGATTTCGCATGTGCACAGATTACAGAGCACTGAACAGGGTTACCATCAAATCCCGTTACCCCATCCCGCGAGCCGACGAACTGATCGATCAACTACGCACAGCCCGGGTTTTCTTGAAAATGGACCTCCGAGGGGGTCACCACCAGATTCGCGTCAATCCGCCCGACTACCCTAAGACCACATTTCGCACACGCTACGGATCCTTCGAATGTATCGTCATGCCCTTCGGACTGACCAACGCCCCCGCCACTTTTCAAATGACCATGAACGAAGCTTTCCGCCCGCTCTTAGATAAGTGCGTCATAGTATACTTGGACGACATACTGATTTACTGCCCCGACAGAGCACATCACTTAGAGGACATCAAAGCAGTTTTTAAAATACTGAGTGAGAACCGCCTACTGACAAAAGCGTCTAAGTATGAGTTTTTACAGGACCGCCTGGAGTTTTTGGGACACATTATTTCAACTGCAGGAGTGGAAATAGACCCGAAGAAAATTGCGACGATTCAAGCATGGCACGCGCCGACCAACTTGACCGAGTTGTAGAGTTTTGGGGGTTCGTCAACTACGTGCGCCGGTTCGTCCCCGACATGGCGAAGCTGACTGCCCCGCTGACCGACCTGCTGAGGAAGGGGGTTGAGTACACGTGGGGGGAGAAAGTGTCAGATATATATGACATAGCTGTTGTAGGCTATAGTGGGGTAGCACATATGGGGTACAGCTCTCTAGGGTTTGTATTTGTACCAAACGTTCACTTAGTCATTTCATTCCTGTTCTACTATTCTCACATGGTATAGA